ACGAGCCGCACGGCTGAACAACTCCGCGAAGTGCAGCTCAAGCGGGCGGTGGATGAGGAAATGGCGTTCTACGTGCACTTCGTCCAGTCTGACATACGAAATCCTTCCGCTGCCTGGGCTGACGGCCTGAAGCAGCATCAGCTGATGCAGAAGGACCGATGCATGGTCTGCGTTTCGAGTCTGGTGCTTCTTACCGTCAGATCTTGGTTGCTTGACAGGCGGAGCCGGTGTTATTCACCTTCGACTCCTCGCTGGTCGCTGAAAACGGAGGCTACAGCCGCGTGCACAACGTGTACCAGCGACCGGCCGTCTTCGAGCGTGGCCTGTACGACAACTGCTTCCGAGTGTACGAGGCGGCTTCCAAGGACGAGGCCAGTCCTGCGACAGAGACAGAAGCTTGGTGCTTGGATTCAATTGTTTTCCGTGCATGACAGGACCGCTGGCTGACCTTTGATAGCGGCGTGCAGAAGGCCTCGAACACCATCCTGAGGTCTTTCAAGAATCATGGCTTGACGCCCCAGAGCATTATTCTGATCGGAAGCGAAGAAAGTGTTCAAGGGCGGAAAGACTACTTGCGGTCTGCGTGGCTTGGCCGCATGTTCTTGTGTTTGAGTGCAGTTTCCTTTTTTGGCTTGGCCGTCTGTTCTTGTGTTTGACTGCAGTTCATGCTTCCAGGGAGGAGAGGAACTGCAAACGGCGGAAGACGGGAACCGCTGGAAGTCTCATCAGCATCGCCGGGGCCAGGGAGACAATGTACTTCGGGTGCAAGTCCTGTCTGGAGAGCCTCCAGCCCCTCCGAGCCGATATTGAATCCCTCTGGCAGGAGAGACTTGACCAATGCCTTCCATCGGGGCGGCCTCGGGCGACGGGGCTGGACTTACAAAAGGAACAGAAGCATCAAAACAAATCCTGAAACACTTCAGAGCCAAGACACATAATGGAGAACCAGTTGCCCTGTCTCTGGTACAGGTCAATCTCGGCTTCCACTCTGCGACGGTACTTCTTGCCGAAGTTCCGGCCCTGACAAAAATACTTTTGCATGCAGCATGTGAGGTAATGTACAAACATCCGAGACAGAAATGATCGGCTCACAAGCGCCTTACCGGCCGATGATGCCGAAGCAGGCGGGCTCTGCTTGCTCGTGACGCGGCGAAGCGGTGCCTCACGGACGGACGAGCGTCACAGCAATGCACAGGAAGCATGGACTGACTCAGAACGCCAATGATGCTCCAGCAAACGCCAGTCGGCCTTTGGCGGAGGCACTGACACTGACCCGGAGGTGGGCTTCTGTGGCAGAACTACCTTTAGGACGCCGTGCTTCTTCTTCGGCCGGGTGGCCTGAACTCTGAACTGCACAGGGGTCACATGAGGATAATGCGATTTTGCCCAGAATAGACAACAGATTCAGTCAAGCACCCGCGCCGGCGGAGTCTCAGCCTGAAGACCTCGCTACTTTGGAGGCTGAAGCCGGCGAATCAGCCAAACGTCGCAGGACTGACAAGCAAGTTAGCCTGACTGCCGCCCTGCAAAAGTACAAGACCAAGAAGGAGGAATGGGCGACACTTGATGCTTCGTCCGAAGCAGCCGCTGCTGGCCGCCTGATAGAAAAAGAGCGGGAGGCTGAAAACGCTTCGAGAAGCTGAAGAAGATCGGCGTGGCCAGACTTTCAGCCGTGCGGTCTGACGTCCTTGCGGCCGACCGCGACCGTTTGATCATGGTGGTGCATGGCCATGACTCCAGCAAGACACCGGGCCTGCCTGATCTTGAACGACTGGGCAATGCTCGTGCTTGGCCTGAGTCGATCGAAGACCAAAGAAATTTGGTTTACGATCTGCTTCGTCATACATCTGAGGACTGCGGCAGTCATCGACTCCTCTACTGGGTCTGCTTGTCTGACGAGGTCGAGCGTGACTTCATCTTCAAGCCGTCTGAGAGTGCTTTCTCGGCTGTTGCTCGCCACTTGGGAGGCGGTTTTTGCGGTCGACAATGGGTGCAGGCATGCATGGATGAGGGCCGTCTCTTGCCAGCCTTGACATGTCTGAAAAGCAGCTTGACGACGAAACAGGAGCTGTGCTTGCATAGCTCCTGTATGTCTGACGACTCTGCTTTGCCCGCAACTCGGATGCTGGGAGCTGTTCTCGATGCCGCGGAGAGGGCTGACATTACAATTGCATGGACACGTCGCAAGAGATGGCGAGATGTTACTTGCAAGAAGTGTTCTGTCATAGTCGACGGTGAGACGGCTGAGAAGTACAGGAAGAAGAAGCAGAGGCATCGGGGCTGTTTGATGACAGTGTCTGAATTCATCGCTGCTAGCAACACGGCTCTATTTCGTTGGCTTTCGCACACAAGCTAGGTCATGAGTTTGCACATGTACGTATATAGTCCTCTACTCAGGCACGAAGTGGACTGACACCTGATACCGCCCGATGCTGCCTGAACGACTGAGCGACGAGGCCAAGGCTATAAATTTCATCTTGTCCAGTCTAACTTGTTACTTGACTTGGTCAGGCACTTCCACACAGCCATCGAGTGCTTGAACGGTCGGCGTGCACCGGCTCCGACGGCTTCGTCAGGAACCTCGCTGCAATTGTTATTTCTGTTGATTCCTGCCCTCACGTTCTCAGTGATCCTAGGTACCAAAGATGATGTGTGGCTTGCTTCGACAGCAATGCCGCCCAGTCGCACTGCTGTCCCTTTGCTGTGGGTTTCCCTGCTTGCTCTCGACTTTCTGAATCCTAGGCAGTCGTGCTCTGCCTACACGGCCTGATAGCTGGTGCAGGGGTGGGGCTGCCTTGAGCGCCTCGGGGATGTTTCCTTAAGTGAAACAGTCTGAATTTCACGACGTCTGATATCCATCTTGCAGTCGCGACACAATTATCCTCAAAACATAGCTTTCTATGTGATCTCGGCTGTTTCCACGGAAACTCGCTTTGTAGATGACTGATGAGTTTGGGGTGGAGCCGGGGAGACCAAAAAGTGCCGTCGCAGATCTGTCTGAGAAGTTGTGCTTGCATCGGCTTTGCCACTGTCCTGCTTTGCTTCGGCGCCTTCCGACCGCTGAGGTTTGACCCCGGCGGCAGAGTGAGTGCCGAAGCCTGAAGCCTGAAGCATCGAAGCCACAACACAACATCGCCTGACAAATCACAAGCTAAAGCCTGAAGCATCGAAGCCACAACACAACATCGCCTGACAAATCACAAGCTAAAGCCTGAAGCATCGAAGCCACAACACAACATCATTCTCACCTGGAATCGAGCAAGTGATGCGTGGAAAGAAGTGTTGGACGTCGCCTTGATGTGCTGTAGATGCTTAGTTTCCGGTATAAAAGTTTCAACTTTTATGGCCCGGGCCTTTCAGCCAGTAAGTTTAAGCAAAAGCCAGCAAGCCTTGAGATCAACCTCCGGGCTGCCGAGATGTCCGAGATGTCCATTTAACGGACCGTGTGCATCGTGTCTTGACTCTGTGCCTGAGCCGGATCCCCCATCCCCAATCTCCTGGAACCCTGAAACTAAGACGGTGCGCGCACCAGCGGTGGACTTCTGCCTTCAGAATACCGTTTGGCTGCAGCCTGGAAGTGTCCGAAGTCCCGAACTCCAGACAATCCCAGAAACTCATGGCGAGTATGAGCAAACCTCAAGACCCACATCTCTGCCTTGGTGATCCTACACCAGGCGAATATTTTGGAGAGCAACAAGAGCTTAAAATTGGTTTTCGGGATACATGTCGTTTGCTACGTTAAATGCATGCGTCGCTGGGAACAACCCTAAAGCCTAAAGCCTGAAACCCTTAAACCTGAACCCAACAAGCCCCATAAAAGCACGACATAGACAAACGCCTTCGTGCACACGGAGTACCTGCGAATACATGGTCGGTGGGTAGCCCAGTCTACGATTCAGAGTACGCACATGATACCCTTCATGAAGCCTTGACTAAACCGTAAGCTGAGACCCTGTACTTAGCGTCGACGAGGCCAAATATCTTGGTTCGCGGGTTAGTTTGACGAACCCAACCAAAGCGGCTATCGAGGCTCGCAAAAATAGAGGCCGTATAGCCGATCTCAAGACACGAACCTTTGGAGGAGCAGAATAATTCTCAGAGCCAAGGTTACAATTCTCATGGCCAGCATTGTTCCGATCCTCCTTTACGGTCTTGAAGTCCTGACCCTGGAGAACAGACATCTTAACATCATAGGCGCGTGATTCCACAGATTCTTGCGCGGACGCATCGGAGTTAAAGCATCGTTTTATTCCCATGCTACCAACCAAAGGGTATGGAGAGTAAGCAAGAAAACCGCCTCTACCGTCCCGGACCCTATTATTGCGCCGGCTCCAACAACTCGCGGACATCACGCCTAAACCGCCTACAGACCTCTTTCATCATGTCGTTTTCTCGCCAGGATACTAAATTCAAACATCGCGGCCACCCCTGCCGATGTTGGCTCGAGCCAACCGCCGAACACGCTCTGCCCATATGTCATCAATACCTGGACTACACCGCGCCCCCGCCAGTTCAGGGATGTCAGGAGGGACTGTTTAGGAATCAAACAACTCCTTCAAGCTTGCCCCGCCTTTCAATCGCACCTGGTGGCTGCGCCGACTCGCCAGCAGGAATTGCTCCGCTTTATAAATTGTACAGACGGGAGCGCATGGCAGCCTTAAAAATACCTTACGACAACTGTAATATCACGCCCCGAAATCAAACCCCTACCTCCAAACATTACCCCAGCCGGCTAAACCCCCAAGCGGAAACCCTAAACCCCAAACCCAAGAACCGCCCAAAGCGCTGCAAAAAGGAATCCCTTCAAACCCGGCCGCAGCAAACCTTGCACCCCGATGCCTTAAACCCCAAAGTTCTCAAACCCCAAGCCCCTTAAAAAGAACCTATGCAACCCCTCCAGGAACCTCTATAGGAGCCTGTATAGAACCCTTCTGGGCCGTTACAACCGTGAGTTACTCCGAAAGGGACTGGGGTTTGCTTTTCAATATCTCTCGCTGCAGGCTCTGCGGCTACGCAAGAAGCACCTTGGCTTCAGTCTTCTTGTGCTCTTAGGAACTATGCTGTATTTTGTTAACCATACAACTCCCAGGGATTGTTCAACACGTTTTGTTATGGCTCTGAGTTCGCTTAAGCCTATACTCTTTAAGTTCGGAGTCTCGGGGATTCGGGCGTTTCTGGCGATTTTTTGAACTTGCTAATTTCCTGAGAGGACCCTTAGTGATAGACACAAGTTCTATCAGACAGAGACTGGACCTTTACTTGGCATGTCAGTTTAAAAAGGATAAGCATTTTCGTTTACATTAAAGTAGAAGCCGAAAAGTTGAGCCATGACTATCCTCTTAACCTTGAGGTAAAAGTATAGGAAATCCGGGCACTAATCCGCAGTAACCTTAAACATGCCAAACCTTTGTAGAACCCTTATAGACCCCTTAGAGTAACCCCAAACACTAGACCACAGCAGAAGCTCGATGATCATTATCATCCCACGTAGCCCTAAACACACGACATGTTGCATCATAGGGACCCTTAGGGGGGGTAGGCGGAGGGGGGGGGCAGGGGGTTGATGCCCCAAAAAAAAGCCAAAAAGCCATAGTTAAGGAAGAATAGTCCCCTGCCCCCGCCCCCCCCCCCCTGACCCTCTCAAGGGCCCCCATGACTTCATGATATTCCCCTCATACATAATACCTTTACGTCACAGGCAGTTAAATTGCCTTAAGTGTCGACTTTATTCCGTATGTTTCACTGTTTCGATGATAAGATGCGCGATTCTATGTCTTGACTCCATTTAGGGCTTAGGGTTTAGTGTTTAGTAACTACACCCTCATAATAACCCTTATAGATCCCTTTATCATTGGCTAGGCTTCTGTGCTCCGACTTTTCGTCTGCACGAGGCCTAAACCCTACAGTACAAGCCAGAAAGTTGGAATATCATTATCATTATCCCTTTAAGGTAAAATATAGAGATCCTGCCATTATTCCATATTCCAACTTTCTGGAATTCCCTTTAAACCCCTTGACCCTACCCTAAACCCTAAATCCCAAATCTTGACCTAAAAGAGATCTTAAACCCGACGAATCAACCTAAACCCACAAACCCCGAAACCCGAAACTCCCAAACCCCAAAACCCGAAACCCTAAAAACCCTAAACCCCCACAGTCCGAACTTTAAATCCTAGCAGTTCAGGTCAAAAAATCGCCCCAACCCCCAAACCCTTCGTCCCCGGCCCCTTAAAATTCCTTTATCTCCCAACTCTAAACTCTAAACCCTGAACCCCTCATCCCTAAACCCTAAACCCTAAACCCTAAACTCTAAACCCTGAACCCCTCATCCCTAAACCCTAAACCCTAAACCTGAACCCCTCATCCCCAAAGCCCTGAACCACAGCAGCTTAGGTACCTCGATCGCCGCGAGGCGGCTCCGGAGGCTTTAGAGCCGCCGGAGAGCCTGGGGAAGGTGGGCTGGGGATTCAGGTTTGGGATTGGGGGGTTTCGGGGGTTTAGGGATTTAGGATTTTTGGGAGGGTTTGGTGGGGTTTTAAGGGGGTTTGGGGGGTTTGGGGCTTGAAGGGGGGTTTGGTGGGGTTTGGGGTTTGAGGAGGTTTGGGGTTTTCGGGTTTTGGGGTTTGAGGTTTACGGGTTGCAGGAGGGTTTATGGTTTTAGAGGGTTTGGGGGTTTAGGGTTCAGGGTTCAGTGTGTCGGCGTTCAGGGCGGTTTCGGTGGGTTTTGATGGGGGCTGTTGGCTTCTTTACGGGGGGCCGATTTGTTGAAGGAGCGTGAGTGTAGTGCTAGCCACCCATAGCCCCAAGTACAGCAAGTAGTACCAGTGGCGAACAAGCCAAGGCGGTGTGCAAAAGAGGCCTCGACCATCAACCTAGCTAGAGGCTGGAATCGAAACGCACTTGTCCTTCCCCAGAGACTCCAATATCCCTTAATTAAGGAATATACCTTAAATCGTATTAAGGATCCTACTATATTTTAAGGTATATTCCTCAATTAAGGGGTATTGGAGTCTCTGGGTCCTGTGTTTCTTTACTTTCTTGTTTCTTGTTTGCTTTTCTCCATATTATCAGACCGGGGACCTGCAAATCCGAGTGACCTGCATGGAGCCCTGGAAAGTCAGTCTTTCGAAGGCCTCGATTCGGGGTGCGGTTGATGATATAAATCCTGCATGACCCATAATACTTAGAGGATCATTGGACTTAGTAAGTAGGTTATAATTGGGGTTATAAGTCCCCTAAGTGGGGTTATCCTAATTATAAGCTACATGTAACCTTACTTGCTAAGTCCCATGAGCCTTCAAGTAAACCCTAAACCCTTAATCCTTAAAGGGAGCCCTGTTACAGAGCCCTTATAGTACCCTTAGAAGGGACCCCTAAGCCCCAGTTACTAAGTCCCATGAGCATTGAAGCAAACCTCAAACTCGCACACCAAATAATTGAGGTTATCCTAATTATAAGCTACAGATAACCTTACTACTAAGTCCCATGAGCCTTTAAGCAAACCTCAAACTCGTAACCCTAAACCCCAAACTCGCACACCAATGAAGGTTATGGTCATGGTGGACGGGCTGGCAGAGGTGCCAACTCACACAGCCAGCGTCGGGCGAAGGGCTTTGGGTTTAGGGCTCAGGGCTAAGCTCTGATAGTGATTTTGCTGTTAAAGCATCGAGGTTTCGGGGATTCCGGGTGGAAAAGGTTTCGTGTTCTGGGTTCAGGGCCAAACTTGACCGCTAACGCATTTGGGGCTCAGGGCCCAGACTCTGTACATGCAACTTCTCCGTTCGACCTGCAGCATAATCGGTAGCTGAGCTCCCCTTACAACTGGAAGGTCATGGATGTGTAGGCAAGAGTAATCGAAAACGACAGCAACGCCACTATGAAGCTGCGGCCAACAGCGACGGGCGAGTTTTCTCTTGTGCCACGTCGGAGTGCAAACTGACCACCTCCAAGCCGCAGCCTCTTCGAGCCATGAGGGCTGACATGCAGTACAAGGGCCTTGGCACTGGCTTAATGTTTTTGGTTTTAGGGGGACTTCATGGGGCATCGCTGCCGGGAACACCTGTGGAAGGTTTTGGAAGGAGATGGATCACCCAATCCATTGCATACCAGGCATATGCAGGTTGAATATTCGGGCATCATAAGTAGGCTTAGTTTAGGTCCAGAGGCCTGCTTAAGATGTCTGACCAAGGGCTGGGGTAGGCTTTACTTGAACATATAATAGAGGTTCATCCTTAAATCACGACGCCAAACGCTACGATGCCAAACCCCAACCGCTACACCCAAAGTCACACCCTGGCCCTAGTGTAAAGGCTTCAGAATTAGTAATACTTATTTCTCAGGGTTCCTTGTTATACCCACCTTATATACCCCCAAAACCCCATCTCAGTTATTCAGGTCCTTACTATGAATCTCTTATGGAAAGAAGCGCAAAGTGATTTCTGGAGGTCCACGGCCTCGACTTGCCGCCGCTGCCGACCCGACATGAATTCAAACAGGAGCGAAGGTTCAAAGGCTGTTGTACTTGGGTAGTTATAAGAGTTCCTTTAAAGGGATCTATAGGGATTCTATAAGGGAATGGGGTTTAGGGCCTACTTGGAGGTTCATGGGTAGTTATACGTGGGGTTACAAGTCCGCGAATATGGGTTATAAGTATAGTTACCCTACTTGTAGCCCGACTTATAACTCGCCATGAACCTCCAAGTAGGCAGGGCAATTACCTTGTTGGGTGGTTACAGGTCCTCTACCTCTAGACGGCTTGAAAGGGGTTTAGGGGTGCACGGGCAGTTCCAAGCCGGTTAGCTCTAGAGTGGTTATAGGGCGGTTATAGGGCTGTACAGAGGTTTGGGGCTTCATGTGGGGTTAAACCTCCAGGAACCCCGAACCCTGGACCTAAACCCCAAACCCTACATATACCCTAAAGCGTAAACCCGTCCCTAAACCCCAAGAACCCCGAACCCTGGACTTAAACCCTAAACCCCAACGAAGTCCGCTAGTCCGTTAAGTGGCGGTCACCGAAGCCCTGGGTTGCTCACAGCGCATTGGTTTTATGAGGCTGGGCTTTATGGCTTCACGGCATCTCGGGGTTTAGGGAACTTTACAAAGGTTTGGGGAGTTCGTGGTAAGGCATGAGGGGGAGGTGGTCTAGGGATTCTGGGTTTAGTGACTGTCGAGGCGTTTAGTCGTCTCAGGACTGGTCTTGCTGGGGTTTAGATTTTAGGGTTCGCACCACAAGACGCTAAACCCTAAACCTTAAACCCGACAGCTCTAAACCCTAAATGAGGATCGTTGCCATGTGGCCATGTGGCGGATAGGATCCCGAGTAGCGGAGCCCGTCCGCTGCCAAAGGAGGTCTCGAGATTCTTATGTTGGGTTTGTTGACCCTACTTGGAGGTTCATGGGTAGTGATATGTGGGGGTTATAAGTCCCCTATACCCGTTAGAAGTATAGTTACCCTACTTCTGTCCTAGTTATAACTACCCATGAACCTCCAAGTAGAGTCGACCCCCAGGTTTTAAGATGCGTTAAGGCGTATTCAGGGCTCAGGGTTTAGGAATTGGGCATTAGGGCATTGGGTTTAGGGTCAGGCGTTAGTTTCAAGTTCTTAGGACGACCCTACACCCTAAACCGGAGGACCTTATCAGCCTCTGGAAGATTGTCAAGGATCCCGAGTGACTCTCGGCTGGAGGATGCTTTACAAGGCTTTAGAAGCTTACTGGCTGTAAATTCAAGTTTTCAACTTTGGGGGTTCTTATAAGGTAGTCGATTCTGAAAGTTTCAACTCTTGTTCGCTTGGGTTTTGGACCAGTGAGGAAGAGTTGCCGAGGGACTTGATAGGGTTTTCCTAGGGGTCTATGATTCAGGGCTTACAAGGTTTTGGCGACGGTCCCAGGGGTTTGAGATGTGACTGTTTTGCACGGGCTGGAGGAGCGGTTTGAGTGTACTATAGGGGTTTAAATAATTACAAATACTGTTTTGGGGGTTCTTATTGTAAGAAAAGTCGAATCGTATTCTAATTACTAAGGGCCCCCTACTGTATCTTTGAGGGTTCAAGGTTAGGGTTCAGAGTTTGAGCTTAAGGATCCACACTGGGAAGTCGACGTGTGTCTGCCAGTATGCTTGATCCCATCAAGATGAGCTTCTTTTTGGAAGCTAAAGCCCCTAGACAAGAGCCTAAACCCCTACACTCTGCAGCCCTAAAGCTTCGTTAGGGAACCCTAAACCCTGAGCCCTTTTTTGTCTCGTCTTCTTTGGTTACAAAAGAGGGCCGGGCCCATCTTTCGAGGCAAGAGCGCTGCAATGAGCAGGCTGGAGAGGCCCCCCGGTTTAGGGTTTAGGGTTTGGGGTTTAGGGTGTGTAACATGCGCGCGGTGGGTGCGCCTTTTGCTTTAGGAATAAGGGGCGCGCCCACTAATCGCGCGCTTGCGTCAGCATGTAGTCCCGCCCCAACCACCCCAACTATTCTCAATTAGGGTTTAGGGTTCACCCCCCAAACCCCCCTCAAGGGGGGCTTTCTTGCTCTTTGCTTCCTTTCGCAGCTCGACATGTACAACAATATTTCTCCAGAAATCACAGCTGAAATGGATTGCGGTCGGGTTGTGGGTCCTCGCGGCCTGTAAGGGCTGCTCGAAGTGTGAACAAGGCAGGGCAGGGCGAGGAGTAGGCCAGGAGAAGGAGCGCGGCAGGGCAGCAGGGCAGGGGGCGCAGGGCGACAAGGCAGGGCAGAGGGGTCCCTGGAATCGGCCAGCCTGGTTTTGGCCAGGTGTAGGAGGGCAGGGTCGGGCAGGGCAGGGCAGGGCAGGGTGGCAGAGCAGGGCAGGGCAGGGCAGGGGGGGGGAGGCACCCCCCCCAAAAAAAGGCACAGCCCAATGGTGGGGGATTGGGGTTCTTCTTTATTGCCTGACTCCAAAGACGTCATTCGCGTGGCGGCGTCACTACAGTCCTCGTATACCTCTGACGGGACGCTCGGTCGGTCAGAGCCTCGAGCGCCCATGCAAATGGTCAGCGGCGCTCTCGGCAGTTTAGGGTTTAGGGTGTACGGGTTTAGGGTCTAGGGGTTTAAGGTTTAGGGAGGGTTTATTGGTTTAAGGTTTTGGGTTTCGGGTCTTTCGAAGTCTACACCTGCGTGGGTTCAGGGTTTAGGATTGAAGGCCTGGGGTTTCAGATGCATATGATGCATGCATAGATCCATGCTTGCATACGTGCGTACGCTGTGTACATCAATCTGTGGCATATCTATCTACCTATTATCTTTCTATCTATCAACTTACATGTTTAATCTAACCTAGACTAGTCTAATCTAAGCTACTCTAATCCACTGTAACCTTGTCATGTCGACGTAGGTAGGTAGATTTTTGCAAGCATAGATAGATAAACTGTATATCGCCGGTTGGTTGTTGGCGTTGCGCAATGTATGATTCTCATACGGGTGGTTGGCAAAATTGTGGTCCCTCTTTGGGCCCCTGTTGTAGTACGGCACATTTAATATTTTCAGGGTACCCCAAAAAACGTACAGGGACCTTAATTCTGACAACTACCCATGTGCATCAGTTGTCATTGCTTCTTGATTCTTACTCTAAACCCTACACCCTAAAACCCTATAGGCCCTATACCCCTAAACAAAAGAACACCTGGAAGGAGCCCCTATAGATCCCTGTAAGGAACCCTTAGAGGCACCTGTCCTTGTTTCGGGCGGGCGGTTCTTGGGGGCTTTTGAGTTTCAGGACCGAGGCGTAGGGTTGAGAAGGTTTGGGCTTACCTTCGGGGCGTTAATAGTTGTCTCTACTATTCTTGGGGGTTCCTTTAAAGAGTTCCTTAAAGGGGTCTATAAGGGATCTATAGTTGGGTTCTATAGTAGGGGCCAAAAAATTCCCAACACTATTTTTTTTTGGGGGGGGTTCCATTTTTATGCTTAATTATAGTACAAGATACCCCACAGCCCCATTCTAATTATGAAGGTTTCGACTTATCCTCCGAAGCCTACACCCTGAAATCCCAGGATGTTTGTTCCAACGCCGATGTTCCACAATGGAAGCATAACACAAACCGTAAGATCGTAGCGCTGACTATAAGGGTACCCCTAATTCATTCCGAGAGGAGTAAGTACCAAGTCCTCAACCCTAGAGCTTCAAGCCTGAATCTCCTAGTAGTAGCTTGGCGTTCTTCTGGTTGGACCTTCGGACTATAACCCTTCTAGATTTCTGTATGAGCCACAATAAGGAGGCTAAAAGTTTAACTTTTTGGAGGGGTTCAGAAGCCAGCCAAGGTGGTTTAGGTAACCTTAACTTGTAGTATAGTCCCGGTATAATCCTTATTTATCCTAAAAGGATAACCTTTAGTTCCCCATGATACCCGGCAAGTAGGATCTACTATGGGGACCGGAGCAATTACTGCAATTTGTCTCAGGGCTACCATCAGCACACACACACACACACACACACACACACACACACACACACACACACACACACACACACACACACACACACACACACACACACACACACACACACACACACACACACACACACACACACACACACACACACACACACACACACACACACACACACACACACACACACACACACACACACACACACACACACACACACACACACACACACACACACACACACACACACACACACACACACACACACGCACACACACACACACACACACACACACACACACACACACACACACACACACACACACACACACACACACACACACACACACACACACACACACACACACACACACACACACACACACACACACACACACACACACACACACACACACACACACACACACACACACACACACACACACACACACACACACACACACACACACACACACACACACACACACACACACACACACACACACACACACACACACACACACACACACACACACACACACACACACACAGACACAACACAGACACAGACACAGACACAGACACACACACAGACACAGACACAGACACAGACACAGACACAGACACAGACACAGACACAGACACAGACACACACAGACACAGACACAGACACAGACACAGACACAGACACAGACACAGACACAGACACAGACACAGACACAGACACAGACACAGACACAGACACAGACACAGACACAGACACAGACACAGACACAGACACAGACACAGACACAGACACACACACACACACACACCGACCGAAATCCGATTAGGGTAACTAAGCCCCCAAACCCCAACCCCATTGTGTAGGGTTGAGGTTTTGGGATCTAGATTCTAGTCGAGTCTAGTTGTTAAGGCCCCAACATCATGGCTTTGCACTTTCCCAACTTTGCCCCTGCCGCCAGGCTCAGCAATGCTTTCCAGACCTATCAGACACTCGCCGTGGAGTTGAACCCTTTACCCTAAGCCAACGTATCGGGAGCTGAATAGGGTTTCGAGTTTGGGACCTGATTCTGAGATACATTCTCTTGAGTTTTTCGGGTTGTGTATCACAGCTATCGTTTGCTATGGATGGATGATCAGGCAACCAATGAGATTTGGCATTTGTTCATGCGGGTAACGTTGTAGGCATGAATCTCGGCTTCCCAGTCTCTTATACTTGGTTCTATTGCACAAGATAATCGCTCCGCCGATGCAAACCCCATGTGCTTGTCCAACCTACACGAATTGCCGTGGCGAAAAGCTATCAGCTCGAACGTGTCTCTAGTGGTGCGAGAGGCTTTCGGTTGTATCTACTTAAATGATCATGAGACTTAGTAATACGGTTAATATTAAGGTAACTATACTTATAACACCAATTAAGGTACTTATAAGCATACTTACTAAGTCCCATGATCCTCCAAGTACGCCTAAACCCACCCCCTGGAGCTGAAGCCCTCAAGCCGAAACTGTGACGCAGGCAGAAAGGTACATCTTGGACCCCTCAAGCGCCAAGGCCTTAAATCCCTAAACCCCTAAACCCTAAACTTCCTAAGCCCGATAAACAAGAGCCTTAAACCCCAAACCCTCAGCCCCAAAGCCCCGGACCCTAAACTTTAAACTCCGGAAAGCGCCAAAATTTATATTCCCTGTGCCCTTATTTCCTAAACCTGGTAAACAACAACTCTAATCTTAAAACCCTTGAACCCTAACCTACCCCCCCAAACCCTCAGCCCTGACCCTAGACTTTAACCCTTGGAAGTGCCAAATGCTAAGTTGTCGAGGATGAACCCTGAACCCTAAACCCCAAACCCTTAAACCCTAACCCCCGAACCCTCAAACCCTAAATCCCAAACCCCCAACCTCAATGTTTTGAACGCTTGAAAGCCCCAAACTGCCGAGGATGGACCACTCCGAGGCTGAGCGAGGTGAGGCCGCGACCATCGCCGGCGACCTCTACTCGGTGCGGAGCTCAAGTTTAGGTGTTCACAGGGTTCCTTTCAAGGCTCCTTGTTTCAGTCTATCTATAAACTACTTAGCTACTTGTTGGGGTTCATAGGGTTCCTCTATACCTCCCCTTAAGCCTATCTAAAGGTTTGTACGGGTTTGAGGCTTACGGCTTTAGGGCTTTAGAGTGTAGGATTTAGGCAACTTTAGACATCACATTTATTCAGCTTTGTTTTTGAGGGAGGTGGGCGGGGGGGGGGCTTGCGATTCTATCACAGGTGTAAGTTGGCACTGAGAAGCACCAGCGTCCGTTTAGGGTTTCGCGTGTCCGGGTTGCAGGTCATCCAGGCGGGCCCAGACGGTTGGAACACGATTTGCGGATGCTGGATTTGGGGTGTCGGGTGTCGGGGGAAGGGCACCAAAAAATAGGAATGCGACAAAGCAACATTTGCGCAGTAGGCATTTGCGCTATCTAGCTTAGGCTTTACGGAGGAGATGATGGGTTTCAACAGGCTGTGTGCCTAATAGGTAAGCAGCAAGGGAGTCAAGTATGCGTCATATTCGTTTTTGACATTGGGTTGTATCAGCCCCAAACCCCTAGCAACCCTGAACCACCAAGCTTGGGTTCAGAGTTCGGTGTTCAGGGTTCACGGCCTCTCCCGAGACAACCCCGATTTGTTAAAGAGTATCCCTTAAACTACACTCATGATTTCTGTGTACTTTCAGGTTTATGCAAAAATCAAGAACGCTAGAAGAGAACCGTCCAAAATCCTTCTACAGCCCTGTAGAATCCTGCAAGACCCTGTAACTGCCAACAGCTTTGATTTAAGGTAATGATTCTGCCTCGACAAGCGTTTTGTAGAGCCTCTGCATGACGTCCGGCAGGTCATGAAGGTGGACAATCACATACACCTTGCGGCAGCCATGACGCCGAGAATGCTACTGAGGCGGTCTTAAATCAGGGTCCCTTTCTCAGTCCCCAAAATAGTACGGCACCCTCATAACAATGAGCCCTAAGGGGATCCTTGTTGTGATATAAGGGCCTGGCAGTCAGAGTCTAGTACAGTCGTACAGCCCTGCACGTTTAGGCACCGTACACCCCCAAGGCTCGCAAAATGCCCCGACTCTCCCACGTAGTTCTTTTTTAGCACAGAGTGATGGATTTAGGGTTTGCTGTTAAAGGTAAGTTTAGGGCTTAGGCCAAGTACATGCCTGGGACCCGCTAATGCAGAACGTGATCACTAGATATTTATCGTGTGATGCCTGCTACAGACCAAACGACCTGATGCTAAAGCCAGGATGCTGAACTCAAAACTCCACTCTCCGAGCAGCCTAAACCCAGACGCTAAACTTCACCCTAAACCCTCCGTGGACCTGAAACCCTGAACCCTACACCGCACATCCTGCACCTTGAACCCAGACACTGCAGGGAGACGAAAAGCTCTTGAGCCCGTGACCATGGCAGGTTCATCAAGGACAAGCTCCGAGACGAGCCCACCAGGGAGGTTGTGAAAGGACGGACGGCGTCGGTTGACTTTAGGATTGAATCGTTTCTGGCTTTAGTAGTTTGGGCTTGCTGGCTTAAAGGGCCCAGTTGTTTTAGGGCCTCAGGTTTCACGGTTGAGGGTACCTTACCCGACGCCTTAAATCCTTGAGGCCCAGAGAGGGAGAGGGCCTCTAAACCCTAAACCCCAACACGTTACACGTTACAGGCACAACGTAGAGGCCTCAATGATTTTCCAATAAGGTTAGGGGAAATCCAGGGTTTCGTGCGGAATACCTTAAAGTAGGATCCTTGTCCTTAAGACTATGTTTAGCATGGAGCACAGATCCTGCAGTCAACACGCTGTCAATAGAAGGTTCCTGCATAGCTCTAATTCCTTTAGCCCTTAGCCCTTCATTGGGTTTAGGGCTTAGTGTTAAGCAGTCATAGCTAAGGCTACTCCTACTTCCAACCCCAACTTATACCTACCACATGAACCTCCAAGAAAAACCCTTCAAAGAACCCCTATAGCTCCAGTGAACAACCCTTTATAGCATCCTTTCATGGAACAATTTAATTTACAGAACCCTTCTTATAGGACCCTAAACCTAAACCCTAAACCCTAAACTTAAATCCTGAACCCTAAACCCGAAGAACCCTTAGCCCGATACCAGGCAAGACGCTGAGAAAACTACTCAGTGAGGCGGCCGCTCTGGCAGCAGCGCAGCCTTAGGGGCATGTCAGGGTTTATGGTTTAGGGGTCCAGGGTTTAGGGTTGAGGGTTTAGGCTTTCTTAGTACAGTGAAAACCCTGTATAAGAACCCCGTTCGGCGAGAGTAGGGTACCCTAAGGTTCTTAATTTCCATTACATGTGATTTTGCCGTTCGAGCAGCTAGGGTAGGCTCAGGTTCTTAACCACGTTCTTATCCGGTACCTTGACCAATGGACCAAGGGCTCTCAGGAAATTTACTTTTGGATTCGAAATTTCCTGGTGGGGGGCGGTGGGCCATGGGGGTCTGGAAAATTTAGTTTTCAATTCTAAAATTCCACAGCTCGTCGAAAGGACTCGGGGCGGAGGGCACGGCCAGGGGCCCTCCACAAAATTTACTTTGGATTCTAAATTTCCTGGTGGGGGGCGGTGGGCCATGGGGGTCTGGAAAATTTTGTTTTCAATTCTAAATTTCCGCAGCCCTCCAGAAAATTTACTTTTGGATTCTAAATTTCCTGGTGCCGGGGGTGTGGCTTGGGCCAAGGACCACAGGGCCAGGAGGAGGCTGGTGGGCAGAGGGCTTCTTGATGTGGAGGGTTCGGAAATTTAGTTTTCGATTCTACATTTCCTTGGTGAGGGAAAGCACTCAAAAAATTAAGAACCTGACCCAAAAAACTAGGGTACCCTAAGGTTCTTAAGATTGAGGCAACTTGAATCTGGTGAATTCCGCCTTGGGTAGGGTCTCAGGTTCTTAAACAGTGGGTTCTTATACAGTATTTTCACCGTAGTGCAGTAAAGTGGCCTTGGACCTGTTTGGGGTACCATAGTCCGTTCAGAAAGGGTTAAGCTTTTCTTCCCCCACGATGCTGGACAATTAAGCCATCATGATTGGAGCTATGGTATTGGGCAGGTGTCAGACTCGGATTCAGCGCATGAGAAGGGGCTTTTCGTAGTTTTCGGACCTGACCTGATGGGTTGTCCGCCGTCTGTTCGGGCTTCCTTCGCCCTGTGCCAAGCACTAACCACTCTAACCTGTTCTGCCTCAACAGTTGGCGCCGCTCTTGCGCACACGTGCATGTACATTTGTGTCCAAACAATGCCGTTCTGGTTTACGATTCAGCAGATAAACTTTGTGTTTTGTCTCACTGTTGAAATTGGCTCGCGTCCGCAACTCCGACTGTATTCTTGGCCCCTGTGTCAGGTTTCTGTGGCATGTGGGATCACCGAAGCATGCTAACGCTGCTGAGGTACTCAGGAGTCTTTGTGTTGAGGGTTTATCGTCTCGGGATGTCGAGTGACGCGTAGAGTTTGCGCTCGCTCGAACCTGAGACTCTTGAAACGCTACTGTAGAGACCCTTCAGCGGACTTGTGCAGCCTTGAATTTCCCCAAGCCTAAACTACCTAAACCTTCAAGCCCTGAAGCGCGAAGCCCTAAACCGAAAACCTAAGACCCTGAAGCCGTAAACCCGATGCCCTGAGCGCTAAACCCTGGAAAAGCCTAACGCCCCAAACCCGAAGCCTTAAAACCTTAAACCCTAAAACCTCTATAGATCCCTTAAAGGAACCCCTATCACCCTAAGCCCGAAGCCTCAAAGACGGAAAACCACCAAATCCTAAACCCTAAACCCCTACACCCCTAAACCCTAAACCCCTAAACCCCTAAACCCTAAACCCTTAACCCTAAGCCCTAAACCCATAAACCCTAAACCCTTAACCCTAAGCCCTAAACCCGTCCTAAACCGTAAGCCCTAAACCTCTAATTTCACGGAAAGCCCACTGCCCCACGCCCTAAGCCCTAATCCTAAACCCTAAACCCTAAACCCCTAAACCCTAAACCCAAACCCAAATCCCCAGTCCTAAACCCTAAGCCCTTAACCTCTAATTTCACGGAAAACCACCAAACCCTAAACCCTGAACCCCTAACCCCTAAATCCAAACCCTAAGCCCTAATCCTAAACCCTAAGCCCTTAACCTCTAATTTCACGGAAAACTGCCCCACGGCACCGAGATCGGCGTGGAGGAGGAGCTGCTAGGGCTCAGCGTCCCGGCGAAAAGGGCTTCAGGGCCTACTTAGAGGATCATGGGACTTAGTAAGTAAGGTTCCCTAAAGGGCTCCTTAAAGGGATCTATCGGCTTCCTTAGAGGGATCTATAGGGTTTAGGGTTTAGGGCCTGCTTAGAGGATCATGGGACTTAGTAAGTAGGTTATAACTGGGGTTATAAGTCCTCTAAGTGGGGTTATAACCTTACTTACTAAGTCCCATGAGCCTTCAGGTAGGGGTTCAATCAGGGTTTCATAGGTGCCTTTAAGGGTTTCTTTAAGGGATTTATAGGGGGTTTAGGTTTTAGAGTTTAGGGTTTCATGGGGTCCTTTTAGCGTTCTATTGAGGTTCCTTTAAAGGGATCCACAGGGTACTGTAGGGCTTTAAGGGTTTCATAGTGTCCTTTGAAGGTTCCTGTGAGGCTTGGGGTACTACTTGAAGGCTCATGGGACTTGGTAAGTAAGGCTATAAGTAGGTTACAGAAAAGGATAACCCCACTTAGGGGACTTATAACCCCAGTTATAACCTGCCTACGAAGTCCCATGATCCTCTAAGTACAGAGTATAGGGTTTGGGGCCAGGGTTGCAAAATATAGGGGCCTCAAGAACTAGGATGCCCAGTAGTACCCTTATTCCCTTTTTGTAGTCCTAGGTTCCTTATAAAGTTACCCAATACCAAAAAGAGAGGCCTTTTTTATTCTTAGGCTACTGGGTATCCTAGAGAATCAGAGCAGGGTCCTTTAAGGATTCCTGTAAGGGGCTGAGGTTTAGGATAAGGGTCTTGCCACGGCTTCCTTTCTACAAAGAGCAGGGTCTCAATTATCAGAGAAGGGTTCTGTTCAGGGCTCATTTACGGGAATCTGTAAGGATGCTATATTTCGCGATCAGGGTTTAAGGAGTTGTTGATGAGGGTTTTGTGCTGTGGGTGTAGTGAGCTGCGTTTTAAAATAGGGTTCGATGACCCATTTCAGGATCTTTGTAGGTTCTTGCGTGGGGTTTGTCGGTTGTATTTGTGCGGGTTTTTCCTAGACCCTAAACCTGAAACCCTACACCTTTAACCCTAAACCTTCCGAGCAGTCCTCTAACTATCACCAAAGCCCAGAACGCTAGACACAAGGCTTCCAAAACCCCAGACTTTTCAGCACGGCTATTCCGCAAACCGGAACAAGAGCTAGGTTCCCCAGTGGTACCCTTTTTCCTTGCTTCTTGCGGGGTTCCCTCATTAACACCAAATACTAGGAACACCGGCACCCTCGTTCATGATTGGAGGGCTAGCCCTAAACGCTCGACCCGAAACCTAAACCCTAAAAAACTCTAAACCCTAAACCCAAAACCTAAAACCTAAACCCTAAACCCTAAACCTAAAGCGTGGAACCTAGACAAGCGAGCGCACATGGGCTTGCCAGGCGAGGGCACCGGAAGCGCCTCCCCTTCAGAGAACCTCAAGGTGGAGTGCTCCGGTGGCCTTAGGGGCTACCACGGTTGATGATATGGGTGTTTCCGAAAACTAGGGGTACATTATTTTCGAGTCCTTATATAAGGATCCTACTATTTAAGGTACTATATTAGGGTCCCCTATTTTCGGAAACTCCCATATAAACCCTGCATTACCCCTACGTTGCCCACGAAGATTCAAGTCCTACTAAACCTTGCGCCCTAACCCCTAAACCCTAACCTCCACGTCCTAACCCCGAAACCCAAAACCCTAAAAGCCCTAAAGCCCTAAAGCCCTAAACCCTAAAACCCTAAACCCCAAACCCCTAAACCCCAAACCCCTAAACCCTAAACCCTATAGATCCCTTAAAGGAACCCTTAAGGATCCCCTATAGATCCCTTTAAAGGAACCCTTAAACCCTAAAAACCCGTAAACCCAAAGCCTGAAGCCGAACCCGAAAGTGTGGGGCCTCGGACATCAGGGATTTGGACTGCGGGGGTCGGGGGTCCAATGCTTAGAGGATCATGGGACTTAGGGTTCCTTAAAGGGCTGTTTAGGGTTTAGGGATCCATAATATAAGGGTTCTAGAAGGGGTAGTTTAGGATACTTAGAGGATCATGGGACTTAGTAAGTAGCTTATAATTGGGGTATAAGTCCCCTAAGTGGGGTTATCCTAATTATAACCTACTTACAACCTTACTTACTAAGTCCCATGAGCCTTCAGGTGTGGCTTAGTGAAGCTTTGGTTTGAGAGTCAGCGTTTCGGTTTGCAAGACTTTTGGTTTCTGGCTCTTGTTCAAAATATTGCGTATGAGTCGGCGAAAACACAAACCCAGGCAGGATGCCTGGAGGTTTCGGTTTAGGGTTTATAGGGTTTAGGGTTTAGGGTTCTTGCTTGAAAGGTTCCATGCTCGAGGCCGTGCCAGCTCTGCAAGCACCTGCTGCTCCAGGCGTCAAAGCGTACTCCGTCAAGTTTAATCCGCGGCCTTAGCCGAAACGCCAAGCCCTGCGTCCTATACCCGCAATCCCAGTATCCAGGCCCTGAATGCCGCAACACCAAGGACTGAGGCCTAGATCCTTAAAACCCTCATACAAAGACCATAAAGCCAAACTGAGCGGCCAATCTAAACTTTAAGCCCTATAAACTATAAACCTTTTACGGAACTTGTGTAGGCCCCAGCACAAACTCTGATAAACACTAAAGCTTGTCTAGACCCCCAACAGACGTCTATGTAACTTATACACCCGCACGAACCCAGGCATTTGGACACTTATCTGCACGTGGACGCCCTGAGGCTTGGCTCTGCTGCAGAGAGGGGTGAAGGGGAATCTAAACCCTAAACCCTAAACCCTAAACCCTAATTGCTCGTGAAGATATCCTCTCAAGGTTCCATAAGGGTGCTGAAAGGGTTCTAGAAGGGGTTTAGGGTTTCGGTCGTTAAGTTTGGGGAATTTGTGGGTCTAGTGTATGGTGATTTTGGGCGGGGGTTTCCGGCTATCATTGCCCTAGCGCCGTGGATGAACATCTATGGCAGTTCTTCAGCTTAAGATGCCACGCACTCCAAACTCCACCGCCTACTCAGAAGCCCACGCCGCAAGCCTCACAGAAAGCTGAAACCTTGAAGCTAATACTCTTAGGATGCCCAGTAGTACCCTCATTCCCTTTTTGTAGTCCTAGGTTCCTTATAAAGTTACCCAATACCAAAAAGAGAGGCCTTTTTATTCTTAGGTTACTGGGTATCCTAGAAGCTAACACTCAAGACCCTTCTCACTGGAACGATGAAGCCGGAAAGTGTTTCAAAACATTTGAGCCCAACCCTGTAAAAGCCGCTCGGAGCTTTTAATAACGCCCGGCGAGAGTTCAAAATCCCCATCACCCCACTTAGAATGCCTCAAGAACAACCAGAAACTCTAAACCCGACGAAGATTCCTTTCCCAAAGACCAATGGGACGACTGGCTCGAACCTTCCAAGCTGGGGTCGAGATCCATAAAAGGGCATAAAGATTGCAGACAGTATGGGTTAGGGTTTAGGGTTTAGGGTTTAGGGGTTAGGGTTCAGAGTTCCTGCGTTCTAGAGGTAAGTGTTTAGGGTTCTAGGCTTCTGGGGTGTAGGTTTCAGGACTCTGGGGTTCTAGGGAGTTTATGGTTCTAGGGCTACCAGCGCACCGGGCTCCCATCATGTGACACGGGAGGACCACACTCGTGCAAGGGTACCCTCAACCCTATTAAACTTTACGAACTCAGCGCCATGTTCTTTTCTTCTTCGGAGTACAGATTCCGGGTGCACCATCTCTCTGGCGAGTTGTGCGCCGAGCTCTCGCTGCCTGCAGGGGCTCTGGTGCGCGACATACTTGCGGCTGTAGAGTCGAAGGAGGGTCCCGGCAACTTCGCCGCTCGCTAGGCTTAGGGTTCGGTTTGTAGGGTTTAGGGCTTAGTGTTTGGGGTTTAGTGTTGAGTGTTCAGGGTTTTATGTTTAGGTTTCCGCCGGTGGTACCCTGAAGGCCTTTTGGGTGTTGGTGTTTCCTTATTGAAGCTGAGTAAGGGGGAGCAAGGCTACCCTCATTCATCTCTGTTGTTAAGCGGGTCATACCGGGGAACCTGGCTTATACAGCCTTCTTTAAAGCCGTACAAGACGCCAAAAAACCCACAACATCCTGTACTGGGCAACCTAGGTGCTCTTGCATGGGGGCAGCGCTTTGCCAAAGGCATCTGCTGTGGAAACCTTGGGTTTTTCTGCCGAAGCCGTGGACCTTCAGCTGATACAGAAGACAGCAGACGTACGACTTGTCCCCCCGTCCGAGCGACGTCTCTTCACGGACTGCCAGACTACACTGAGATTTGCTTTAGTCGGCCCGCGCGGTGCAGGAAACTTAGGGATAATTAGAAATATGTTTGTAAGTTTTGGTTGGTATAGTCCCTAAGAAACAGCTAAAATTATGATTTTTGCTAGGGTTCTAAGTTCAGTATAGGAAAGACCAGCCTCCAGAGAAGCTTTTGTCAAAACGTCCTCACCAACATGAACACTCTCGTGCAGGCTGGGGTCTTGACAGGGAAAGGGTTTAGGGTTCGGGGTTTCGGGGTTCAGGGGTTTACGGGATTAGGTTACTGACAATTTTAGGGGCCTTAACAATTAGAATGGGATTTGGGGGTATATTCTACTACAGCCACAGTAGCAGAAACTCCCAAACCCCATTCTTACATTAGTTACCTTAGGTTTGTTTAACCCTAAACCCTAAACCCATTAAGAGCAAGCCAGCAGGATGTGTATGTGGTCTGCGATGGTTCGCCGGTGAGGGTCGGACTCTGGGAGGTATGGGACAGGAGCAAGATGCCTTTGATGCTGCCAAAGAGAGATGCTGCTCCTAGGCCTTGTAGTTTTTCCTTATCTTTATGGTGGATATTAATTAACATTTTGATGAATATTACTTCTATCAGTATGATTACATACTGTTTCTGTTTTGGGGGTTTCCCTTTCCAGACGAGAAGAGCAAGAGGAGCAAGGGTGTTACTGACAGCCAAGGCGCTACTTGTCGTAGATCTTGCGAGCCCTGACACTTTGCAGCAGGCCAGCCAGCTGGCCAGAAACATAAACAGCCAGCGAGTTGTCACGAAGCTGCTCATTGGAAACAAGCTTGACTTGTCGTCCGAAAGAGAGGTCTCATTCGAGGCGGCCCGGCAATTTGCTGCGGATCATGGCTTCCGGTATTTCGAAACATCCGCGAAAGACGGAAGCTTGGATGTCTAAGCTGAGTTCAGGGCAAGCTGCTGTAGTGGGGAACCTAGCTCATCCAACACAAGCTTCTAGCGAAATGGCCAAGACAAGTCACTGCTGCAGATTCCCGTGCGTGGTCTTCTTGTCGCGATTCCATTGAGGTGTCCTTGAAACCCTGAAGGCCCTAAACCCTATACCTTCCTAGGATGCCCAGTAGTACCCTTATTCCTTTTTTGTAGTCCTAGGTTCCTGACAAAAGTTACCCAATACCAAAAAGAGAGGCCTTTTTATTCTTAGGTTACTGGGTATCCTAACCTTCATCCCTGGTCCCAAAACTCTGAACCCTCACATCTGCAACCCTCAGGGCCCTGAGCTACAATATCCCCAAATCTTACACTGTAAGGCAGATTAGGACATGTCACATGTCATAGAAACCCTTCTAAAACCCTTGCAAAGGAACCAGTAAGAAGGGGGGGAACCCTGGTAAAGGGAACTCCAGAAAGTTGGAAAATGGTTTCAGGGTAGGAAACCTCTAATTTACCATAGAAGGGTTAGGATAATCATATTCCAACTTTCTGGCTTTTACTTTAAAGGGGAAGCCTAGGAGGCACCCCATGCCCTTTGCCAAGGTACGGGGGTCGAGGATGCCCTGTGCTACGCAGTGGCGCATGCTTTGGAGCATCCGGCACCCGCAAAGACTAAGAAATTTGCGGATGCATGTAGCATCTGCTGACCTTAGTGCTCTCTTCTGTACAGTTCCCATGAGATATGTGAGGGCAACCGTAAGACTGTACATAGTACATGGGTTTTCGGGGTATCCAGAACTTCGCCTTGAAGAATACTGGGGTCCGGAATATCAGTGGTATTTCCTTGCAGTCCGACATTATTAGTCCAGAATATGCTCGAAAGTTTTTTTGATTATTAAGGCTTCTATGTTGGGCTTAGGAACTTGCTTCTATGTCTTCACAGCGGGAGTGCACCCAAGAGGAAGGAGCAGGTCAGTGACTCGAAGAATTTTTCGGATGGAGCGCACATCCAAGACTCAGAAGAGCCGCCAGCGAGCTGCAAAAGAAGGCTTGAAGTGCCACTGAGCTCTTCAAAACGAAGTTCAGGCATACTCCGAGACTCCACAGCTCCAGTTGAATAATATTTTTTAGGGCCTCCTTTAAGGCATTGTATAGGGGCCGATTTAATTATCAATATCGCTCCTTGGGGTTCTTTATTATACTCATACCATAAAGGAGCCCAAAACCCTATTCCAATTATTAAGGCCCCTACATGTCTGCAATTGCGGGAGGGCTGGGACGCTCTGGGAATATTTGGGTCGCTACTTTAGGGGTATACTTGGAGGTTCATGGGTAGCTATAACGTGTCACCGGACATGGTTATACTACAAAAGGGTTCCCTAAACCCCTTAGCTTTGCCATACCCGCATCTGGGTTTGAACCGGCTGTTGTGTGCCCGAAACCCTGAGCCCTGAAGAGCATTATTCCCATGTGCAGGACCGTGGCAGATGATCACTTCTACCACAGGCCGCGCAGCGGCAAAGATCTTTGGTTAGGCATAGGGATACCACGAAGGTCGCCTAAACCCTAAACCCAATGAGGCTTCTGTGGGGTTTAGGGCTACGGGTGACTACCGATGAAACTTCAAGTGGCCCTGAACCCGAAACTCGAACTCCTTGTCTCCAAGTTCGAGTTGTTTCTTCACATCGGCTAACTTTTCTCGACAAGTCGACAAGTGTAGTAAGCCAAGAATGCTCGTGCATGAGAGCTTGTAGTTGTTCTCATACCGTGAAATCGACCACGTAAACCCAAATGCTCGCGACACTGACGATGAGGTGTCATTTTTCAGGGCTTTTGTATCGGAGCCATAGAGACTCCTTGTTTCCTGAAGTGCCACATTCGACACTGCCCCATGCTGCACAAGACAATGCAGCTCAAAAGCCGCACAGACCTAAGCCTAAAGCCTTTACTGTAAACCCTTTTCCTAAACCTTCAACCCTAAGCAGAAGAGGTTCGACAACTTCAACGATGCCTATAGCCCTTTGGGATGCGCCCACCTCCGGATGCTTGGCCTAGCAGTTCTCAAAAGCTGGGATTTGCCGTGTAGACTTTTTGATTTAGGGTTTACGATTTGGAGTTTTGGACTCAGGATGTTCTGCTTCGGGCTTGGGATTCAGGGTTTAGGGTTGAAGGGTTCAGAATTCAAGGCGTAGGGGTTTTGGGGGACCTCCAGGTCTGAATTTGGGAGCCCAGTTTGAACCAGATGACGTGTCCGTACCGTAAACCCAGGTAGGCTTTTGGGACAGTTTATATGTTCCCTTATTGCCATGGGCTCAATATGACCTTATTTCAGAAGAATTTTTCAGAGGCTTCAAAGGGCCAACCTGAACCCTAAGCCCTAAACCACTACCCTAATCCCTAACCACTGTTCCTATGGCTCCACCTGGTAAGGTATTCCCACTGGTACTTGCAGTTGGAAAAGGGCCCGAAAAAAAACACCCTGTTCCTTTTGTCAGGAAAAGGGTTTGGGAAGCTCTGGACTTCCCCAAAAAGGCCCTAACTAGTCAGAACTAATCCCTGAAAACTGTAGCCTACAATCTCAAGCCCTCAAGTGCTGAAGATTTTGAGGACACCTCGAAAATTTTTCCCGGGGGTTTCTGATTTAGGGCTTAGGGTTTTAGTAATCGGATCAAGGCTGGTTTGAGGTTTGTGCTGGGTTGGGGACTTTAAACAAACGTAGGGTGCCCAGTAGTACCCTTATTCCCGTTTTGTAGTCCTAGGTTCCTTTTTCAGTGACCCAATACCAAAAAGGGAGCCCTTTTTATTCCTAGGTTACTGGGCATCCTGGGAACTTATCTGGCTTGTGGACGGGTCTGCGAAAAATATTCTGCAATCCCACGAACCTTTTTCGTGGGGTTCTTGTGTTTATACAGGGTTCTCTAGGACACTAGGACCTTTACGCCTTCTATGGGCTTCTTACAGGACTCATGTTAGGGCCGTTGACCCAGGTTATCTTCAACCGTTCTGGCTTTAAGGATTGCCTTGTCCCATCAAGAGTGGGAGTGTCGACTAAGCACACGACCAGGGTAATATGGAGGTCTGATTGATATCTGTATCGCGATGATATCCCGGATGGTCCCCAAATCCTGAACCCTGGACCAACACACTCCCTCGACCCTAAACCGGCCGAGGACAGTGTTTCTTAAGAGCTCCAACCACATCGACGGCGCCTACTTCGGGGAGTTGGCGAAGGCAACTTGAAACCGCTTGGTTTAGGGTTTAGGTCTTATCAGGATGTCGTAGAGTTGCAACATAATTCTGTAGTGTTCCTTTTCATAGTCATAGTCTAACATACCCGGATACCCCAACACCCTCATCTAGTCCTAGGACCCAGAGTAGGCCCTTATTCCCTTTTTTGAGGCTTAGGTTCCGGTATAAACCCCTTTAAACCAAAAAGGGCACCCTTTTTATTCCTAGGTTACTCTTAGGTCTAGAGTCATGGGGGCTTCTATTAAGACGGTCTTCGGCCTTCTGAAGGGTCTCGCAAGGGTCTTATAGAGGCTTGCATGTTCCTGTTCCGTGAAGGTTCCTTGCACTGTTTCCTACAGCTATAGTCTCCTGAGGAATTATTTGGCATTTTTGTTCATATAGAACCCAAGAGAGTATTAAGAATACTATTTTTCATTATGGTTCTAAGGGTGTTTTTTTGTATTTTTTTCATATGAAACCCAAGAGACAAGTTGAAAATACTATGTTTTATTATGGTTCTAAGGGGGGTATAGACAGGAATCAGCCATCAACCCTGCGCCGAGCATAGAGCCGAGGGTGATGCTGCGTGGCCGTGGTCAGGTCCACGTGTCAACGCCTGGTTAACAGAAGACGATGAACGAAGCCTAGGGTTTAGAGGTTAGGGTTTAGGGGTTTAGGGGTTTAGGGTTTAGGGTTTAGGGTTTAGGGTTTAAGGGTTTAAGGGTTTAAGGGTTTAGGGTTTAAGGGTTTAAGGGTTTAAGATCAAGCTCCTTCCGCGATTAAGAAATGCTGTGAACCGCCAGGCCCAAACAGAAATTTGCTCTTCTGACATCTTTAACCCTAAACGCTCTGCAACATGCGTGGAAGGGCCTTGAGGCTGCTGTACTAGGTGGCAATTTGGGAAACTTTTTAATTTCCCTTATGGTTCTTATAGAGGTGCCTATTCATAAATACTTTTCAGAGCCCCAAAACTACAACCCAGTGTATATTCTCACATGTTTTTGTAGGCGGATGCTCTTGTGGCTCCAAGATCTCCTGAATGTCAGACCTTACCTAGCTAGGATGCCCAGCAGTACCCTTATTCCCTTTTTTGTAGTCCTAGGTTCCTTATAAAGTTACCCAATACCAAAAAGAGAGGCCTTTTTATTCTTAGGTTACTGGGTATCCTAGCCATTGTAGTTCCTGTGTTTGGTTAACCACTTCTATGGTTAGGATCCTATAATAGAGCTTTTGGTTAGCCAAAAAAGGAACTACAATGGAGACTACAGGTAAACCCCAAACCCACCCCAAGCGGTGAATCTTTTGATCTGACTTGTTGCATCTTTCCTGGATCAGAGCTTAAGCCCTTTCTGGGGCGAGAGAGTCTAAGCCTTCAGCCCGGAAAAGCACTACTGTTGATGCTATAAACCCTGCATTACCTTGAGGACCCTAAACAATAGGGATTTTTTGGTATATTCCGAATTATGGGTCATGCAGGTTTTATATCATAGACGGACGGTAGTGAGTGCCGCAGGTCATCATTGAGAGCTATGAGACCAACGACACTTATGCCGTTCTTGGGACGCATACCTCAACCCCAAACCCTATCATGTCAGCAGCTCGAGACGTTGAGGGTTTGGAGTTGGGGTTTCGAGTAGAGACTCAGCTCCCAAGCCACTTAATGACTCCAATCGTGTTTCCTTAAGGATTGCAGTTGCTGTAAGGCTTCCTTTACGCTGTCCTGCAAGGGTTTAAAGGTTAATGTCAAGTCCGAAGCCCGGGATCGCCGACAGAATTTGGTTAAGCTTCCGGGTAATCCCTTGGGTTCCTCGGTAACTTGCAGAACTGCGTCTCCCCGTAAGCCACTTGTTCCCTTTTTGTGGACCCCGATTCCTTCTAAAATTTGCCCAAGACCAACGGTTGAGCCCGTTTTGTTCATCGGTTGGTGGGGATCCTAGCGTAGCCATCATCATGACCCTGAAGCCCGAACCTCTAAACGCGGGTTCGAAAAGATCTGGGGCAGCTTCAGGGGCGGGATAACTATTTCATAATATCCTCGGATAGTTCCTATGGTAAACTGTACTATGAAGAACCCACCCAAAAACAGAGCCTATTCTGTTTAGGCACCGTTCGTAGCTATTGCTACAACAAACTCCAAACCCAAATAATGTAGAAGCCAAAATACTTACCATTATTTTGGGGGTTCCTTATTACGATCATAGTATAGTGGCCCCAAAACCCTATTCTAATTACAAAGGCCCCTATACGACATGCCTAACAGAAGCCTACGGGGCCCTTCTTAAGAACCCTGTTCTAATTTACTAAGGCCCCTATATTACTAGACTATAGTACTCTTGTAGATCCCTTATGGTAACCCTTATAGACCCCTTTAAATGGAAGCCTCCAAGGATCCCTTTAAAGGGAACAGCCCCCATTCTAACTATTAAGGCCCCTAGCTTTAAGGAGATCATTTTTTGGACCCGATATTATGGAATCCTGCTGTAGATCCCTTATAGGGCGCTTTAAGGAGTCCTTTAAAGGGAGCCCTTCTTCTAATTTTTAAGGCCCCCTTGTTGTTAAGAACTCCTAAAATCCTAAAGCCCTAAAGCCAAAACCCTAAAACCCAAGACCCCAAACCCCTCAAACCCTAAAGCCATTCCCTAAAAGTGTTAAGGCCCCCTTTGCCCCACTATAGATCGCTTATAGAGCCCTTTAAAAGGATCCCTTCAAAGGGAGCACCTATTCTAACTATTGAGGCCTGCTTTAAGGAGATGATTTAGGACCCGATATTATAGAACCCTACTTCAGATCCCTTTGTTAAAGGGCCCCATAAAGGGAGCCCCTCTTTTAATTATAAGCCCCCCCTAAACCCTAAACCCTAAACCCTAAACCCTAAGCCCTAAGCCCTAAAACCTAAACCCTAAGCCCTAACCCCCCCCCCCCCCCACTTGTTGTTAAGGAGATGCGGCTGTCGATCTACGGCCGGAGCCTAAAGGAGCGGCCCAAAAGCCCTTCTTGGGGGAATGGATCTTTCAAGGATTCGATACTTGGAGATGGGTAGTTATAAGGGTTCCCTTTAAGGGTCCCTTTAAAGGGATCTATAGGGATTCTAAGGGATTAGGGGACTATTAACCCTTCTTGGGGGAAACTTAGGGAATGCAGGAATGGGGTACAATTATAGTTACTATTACAACCATTCTTCCATTCCCTACTAACCAAAGGTAAGGAATGGATCCCTTAAGGATTCTATAAGGGCTATCATAATAGGGGTTCCCTTTAAAGGGATTCCTTTCAAGGGGTCTATAAGGGTTATGGTGGGGAATGGACCCCGTAAGGATTCTATACTTGGGTGGTTGTCAAACTTATTGTCCTTTTTTGGGTACCCTAAATACTATATTAGGGACCCCAAAAGGGACTTCAATTTTGAGAACCACCCACTTGGAGGACTGGGGATATCAGTAGGGTACTATACTTCTAACCCATATTAGGGGACTTCTAACCCCGATTTATAACTACCCATGAACTTCCAAGTAAGGGTTGCCAGACTAGGGGTTCCCTTTAAAGAGATCGCCCCTGCATTAGCCAAAGCAAGCACGGAGGAGTTCTTGACTCTTTTTTTGAAGGGTTTAGGGTTTAGGTTGAGGGTTTAGGGGTTTACAGGGATTTCAAAAGATTTAAGATTTCAGGGTTCTTTCTTGAAGGGTTAGTTTTCAAAAGCTTCGATTTTCTTGTGTTTTCGAAAGGGTTTTCCAGGGTTCTGACACGGTTTGGGATGTTGGCATTCTGTTTTGAAGGGTTCTACAGGGTTTTCAACAGGTTTTGGAATCTACGGTTTGGGGTTTCGGGTTCAGATCAGGGCTGCTATCCGGGTTTAGGGGTCGAACACTAAAACACCTCAGGGTTACTTGTAGAGGTTAAAGTTTAGGATTTGGTTTGCTCTGAGAATTGCTACACGGAGTTTGAGTAATTTTGAGTTCGGGGCTTGAGGGTTTAAGATGCAAGATTTAGCGTGCCGAGGTTTAAGAGCGTAGGACCTGAGGGTTTGGGGTTGAAGGCGGGACCAGCGGTAGTCCTCATAGAAACCTTACGGCCCTTGACAGTGAGTTTTTTCCAGAGGGTAGCACGTGGGATTTAGTTTAGGAGTTTAGGACTTTGGCGGACGATTTTCGACAAAGGGTCTGGGATGTAGGGCTGATCGTTCGAAACCTCCTGCACACTGAAGAGCTTGCGAGAGCTGTATAAGCTTGATTCGCGGGAGCCCTTGTACATGGAGCCCAAAACCATAGGATAAAGATCTATTATACGAAAAAGATTCTCAATTAAGCTACTCCGGTGAGCCTTCAGCCAAAACCCTAAACCTTACACCCTGAACTTTAAACCCCTAAACCCTAACCCATAATATACCTTAAACCCTCCACCCACAGCCTTAAAACCACAAGCCTAAGAGGAGTGGGATGGCCTGGCAAGCTGGCTGAAGCGCCACTCCCTGCACAGGCCACCCCTTTCTGTGGGATTTTACAAGGGCTCAAAAATTGAAGGTTTGGGGTTTAGAGTTGGAAATTTTGAGGTTTTGGGGTTAAGCATCTAGGATTCCAATTATTAGATTATTGGCATAGAGTAAAGGGGTTCAGAGCTGTTGGGTTACTACAGGGGTCCCGGAAGGGTTGCTATACGGACGTCGGTATAGGGCTTACAGGTTTCGGTTTGGCATTTGGGGGCTTGCATAGAACATTGGGAGACCCGCAGTGTTCGCACACCCGAATCCTTAGACCGTAATTCCCTACACGAAACCCCATTTCCTAAAACCCTAAACCCGAACCTGTCGGGAGATAAGCATCCGAAAGGTGCTTGCGGAGTCTATTGAGCTTCTCCAAACCCCCTACACCCGAATTCAATACCCTAGGGTTTGGAGCCAGGGCCTTGTTGGGGGGCAGTCGAGAGTCGTGTGGGGGTTTTTGGATTCAGGGGTTTTGGATTCAGAGGTTTTGGCTTCAGGGCCCTGCTTGTACGGGTCACGTGACTTAGCAAGCAGGATTACAAGGTATTTGGACCCATAGAGTTATAACGAAAACCCTTACCCGAAACCCTACACCCTGAATCCAACATCCCAGCGTTTTTTCGGAGAAAGGGTGCAGTTCAACATAAAAAAACCTTGAATCCAAACTCCCAGACCCTAACCCGAGACCCTGCAACCCCAAAGAAAGCAACTCGCTTGGAGGCCACCGGCCTCGGACAGGCCTCCGCGGACTCTTTGAGTTGTTTCTTAATCTAGGGATCTAAGGACGCATGTATTAAGGCTTTTGGGCCCAAAGACCATACTATATAATGCTTTTTGGGCTATTTTGATCCCTAGGGTTAGGGCCCATCAAAGTTTAGGATTTCGGGCTTAGAGTTTAGGGTTTGGGGTTTTAAGGTTTAGGGTTGCGTTGTCAAAGAGCCAGCATAGGGCTTTTTTTGCAAGTTGAGACATTGAGAGTTGAAAGGGTTGTATAAGTATGGTCCTTTACTTCAGGGTTCGGCGTTCAGGGTGTCGGGTTTGGGGTCAGGGGGTTTGGGAGTTTGTGGGTAGGGCTTCGGCGTTTGGAGTTTGGGGTTCAGCATGTTGGTATCTGCAATTTAGGGTTTGGGTTTCGATTTTGGGGTAGGCTTTAGGCTCGAGAACTTGGTTCTTTGGTCTTGCTGCCGGGGCTTTCTTTGGAATCTCTGTTTTTCAGTTGCTCATTACATCTTGCAATCATCCTCATTTCTCATCCATTTACTTGGGCAGTATTGTACGGTTATGTCATGGAGCCCCATAGCGTGTTCGAGGAGATTTCCACAGTCTAGGGATATTGGAGTCTTTACGCCCCATGTCCGCATCTGTGCGAGCTTCATCTGAATGGAGCGAGGGCTTTTGGAAGATTTCGGAGCTTCTGTTTCTGCAGTACAGTTCTCTGAACCCCTAAACCCTAATGTAGAGAGCATGGATCAGCGGTTGGTGGTTCTCTTCTTCGGGGTTCGGATTTTTGGGAACGTATGGTCGGGGCCTCAGTTGAGGGGGGAGAGGCGCGGATGATACCATAGTTATCTCAAGGAGCCTTAAGAAAGTTGTTTAGCAGTTAAGCAGGCTTCCTTACGGTTACTGTTTGGAAGTGTTCGGGGTCCCCCATATGGAGGTGTTGTGTTTGGGTGGCAGGGGGTATGCCTTCTTTACGTAATTACCCGAAAACCTTAAACCCTAAACCGTCACATCTGAACCATAAGCTCTAGACGAAGCAGGAACTTGTGGATGGTCCAGATTCCACGTGTCTTTGGTGCAGCCTGGTTGAATTACCCAAAGCAATACCCCTCAATTAAGGAATTTGGCTTAAATTATGTAGGGCTTCATATTCTGGATTAAGCCTTTTTCGTTAATTAAGAGGTATTGGGCTCTCTGGGTCTGGTGCAGGCTGTAGGTTTGTCAGGAGGGCCTAAAACCCTAAACCCAGAACCGAACCCCTAATGCCAAGGAGCAGACTAAGTGGTTTCGGGATGTGGTGTGGGTTCTAGCGTCTTGCGTGGCACAATGCTGTCTTTCAACACGTTAAGGAGACCGAAATATTCATTGCACAAAAAGAAGGTGGAAATACCTGTAGTTTGGTTCTTATTCTGATGACGTTAGAACCCGTCAGTGCGCACCCTTTAGATTTAAACATCCGTGTTCACCTTTTTCGTATCCCCTTTTCGTATTACGAGTATTTCGATGACCCCAGTCAGGCCTACTTTTGAGTCTCAGTCTTGGACTCTAACCACTCCGCCCTTCGACAAGGAACATAAAAGGGATCTGCCCTAAGATTAAACCGCTTGAGACAGAGGGTGCATGAATCAGTGGTTTTCAATTTGGAGAGGCTTGGTTTACCTGAGCGAACATGAGACTCGTAAGATAGTTCAACTGAGGTTCTAAACCCATCAAACTTGTAGCCCTTGCTGCGAGTCAATGTTCAGTGGATCCTCGTACAATATCAGAAGACCTAGCTAGAACGAAGTACGGTGAAATCTTAGATTACCATAGCGACATAGCAGCCTTTGCACGAATTTTCATAGGAACTACGGTTTACAGCTCTCAGGATTCCTGAGCCGGGACCTACTTAAAGGATCATTAGTAGTACTTACTCAGTCCCATGATCCTCCAAGTAGTGTTTAGTTTTCGTTATCATGTTTCAGAGTGAAGGTCTTGTTCTTTGGAAGCCGTAGGGCTCGTGGTGGCTGCTGAGTTTGCAGACTTTCAACTTTGGGACGAATACGAGTCTTTTATGCCTGAAAATGCAAAGCGTCTGGGAGCCTCATAACTCGGCAACTAGGGTTTAAGATCTGGGATATAGAGTATAGAGGGTTGGGCGACAGGCATCGAGTGCCTCGGAGACCGTCGTACACGTAGGAGTACAGCAGCTCCAGAGTGGCCACGGGCAACATATGAGACCGAAATGACATCCCTCATCTCCAACAGTATGCATTGAGCATATGAGGGTTACCGTTCCCAAACCAGGAACTAAGAAGGTCTGCCACACACCGCCGGGACTGCTGCTCAGGAGTACTTCGGTGCTCTGCACGCCTCGGATGCTTTGGTCACTGCCGATGCCTTGAAAGCATGGGCGCAACAGATCCGGGATGAAGAGCACCTGCGGGCTTGAGCCCAGAGGAAGCCCGACGCAAAGAAGGCAGCAGAGTTGTTCGGGTGTGGCTGTTGAGCTTTGGACGGAGTTAGTGGCAATGGTGGAGGATAGGGCCCAAAGACGACGACACCCAAACGGCGGCGAGCGTCGACGACGTGAGTTTTCGGGTTTTAGGGTCAGGTCAGAGTGCCACTTCTTCACTCTACGGCAGAATCTACAGATGATCAGCTGAAGATCTCAACTAGCCCAAAATGCTGTTGCTTCGTCCATGCCGGAAATCCCAAGCCCTTTAAATCCTATAGGGTAGGAACCTATAGCGCTCAATAAGAACAACTTATGAGTAAAGCTCCTAGACCTTTTCGCACCCTCATACGTCAGTGGATGGGCGCGAGGCAGCCACCGTGGCTGGTGCGGTGGACGTGGCTGTGGCACCCGTGGTTGTTGGTGCGCCTGACCCCATGGGTGGGATTGGGGCGGTGGATGCGCCGACAGAGGATGCTGCGGAAGATTCTTCAACATCGAGCAGCTCCACGACGAGGATCCGAGAAAGAGGCCAGGCTGCGCTGCGGCCGACGCACGGGAGCGAGAGTCCCGCGCCAGGGCAGACAAGGCGCGTTTTGAAAGAGAACAAGCTATGGAGCAAGAAATCAAACGACGTGTCCGGCAACGAGTGCATGCACGCGAGTCACAAGCTCACGCCACGGACAGTCTGTGCCACTGCTCTTGGAACTCATTCAACAGAGCCTGGAGACGCAAAGGCTGCAAGCGGAGGTTTTGCGCCAGCTTCAGCAGGGGCTGAAACCCTATATAGGACCCTTACACGTAGACCATTCCAGAACATGTTTCTCAACATCCCTCGAACCCTAAAGCTCTAAACCCTGTACGAAAGCCCTAAACCCAAGGCCCTGCAACCTAAGCCCCTAAAAAAACCCAAGCCCTGAACCCTAAGCCCTTTACAACAAACCCTACGTTAAGCCCTTTACTAAGCCCTAAATCCTCAGCCAAAATCCCGAGACCAAAGAACTCTGCCTTCCCAGGCCTTTTGCAAGCAGGGCTTCGTGCAAAACTTCGAGGAGCCATTTGGGGTTTAGAGTTTAGGGTTTTTTTAGGAGCGTCGGGTGTGCAGGGCTGAGGGGTTGAATTTTCAGCGGTCTCGGTTTTGTTTTTCGGGCTTGAGGTTCTGGGTTTATGTGTAAGGTTCAGGGTTTGGCGTTCAGGTTTAGGGGTTTAGGTGTAGGATCAGGGCTTAGATTAGCAGATTTAGGGTGAAGATTGAGAGTTCTAGGGTTTGGGGAAGTAGTGTGCTGAGAAGGTAGCGACCACGCTCCAAGACCCTCAAGCCCGAAACCCTTCAAGAATCTCCATGTAAGAAGGCTGCGTTCTTGAAAATTTGTGACGCTCAGACTTGTTCTTGGCTCATAGGACCCTCCAAAACAGCACTGTGCAACCTTCGAGACCGCATTGAACCCAATAAGAAGCTCTATGACGCTCTTCCAGATTTGTTCAACGTATCCCGCTTCCTTGCGCAGGAGCTCCTCAACAACATCTTTCAGCCGCTCTTCGAGGCCTCTGTGCGCTTGGATTTTTTGTGCTTGAGATGTTTTAAAAGATCACGGGACTTCTTACATACTTTGAAGGCTGCTCGAAAGGGGTCGTCACGGTTATGTGTAGGGTAACTCTTAGTATGGCCCAAACCTTCAGCTGTCCTTGACTATTCCTAAACCCTAAACCCTGTCAACCCCAGTTCAATTTCTGTAGGCAACCTTCCAGCAATCCCTTTATCCTTATCTAATGGTTCTGGATGAGAAGGGATTGGGGGAATGGGCTATAGGCTATATAGACCCTGCTGTTATAAGATCTACTGTAAGGGGCCTAAGAGACTCTCGTCGGGGTCTCCATGCCCTCTTTCCCTGCTAAGAAGCAGGGTGTTATGCCCTGAACCTTGCTATAAGTGCCGTCATTATTTGGCAAGGCTCCTGATGCTTAGCTTCAGTAGACCCAATCCCCGAAACACCGTGAACCGCTAGAACCCTTATTTCTTAAGTCTTCAACCCTATAAGCCCTTGATCCATGAAGCAACCATTGCAAGTTTGCACCAGGATTCCCAAGGGTTCACCCTTTCAGAAGACCCCCAACTTACCGTTAGCTAGATTCCGGGGTGGGATTCAGGATTTCGGGTGTAGGGTTGAGGGCTTAAGCGTCAAGGTGTGGGGCTGAGGGTTTAGTTTTCGGGTCGAGGGATTACAGTTGAGGGTTGTGGAATCAAAGGTGCAGCGTTGAGTTGAGAGCTTTGGGTTTAGGGTTTGGTATTAGGGTGTTGGAGTAAGGTGAGTAAGGGTCTGGGGTTGAGGGTAGACCCTTTCTACCCTTGTCTACTTCAGCAAGTAAACCCAAAAAGTTGGAAACTGGATACAGGAGGTGTAGTGATTAGTGCTGGAATCTGCTGCGTAATATATGTTTCCGATGGAGTTTAGGGTGGTGTCGTCAAAGCATCATCTGCCTTCGAGCTTGATGCAAAACTTCCGGGAGAACAATAATTGGCGAAGTATAGCTCTGGATGACGATAGCAAACTGAGGGCCGCTGACCACAGGTGGCATTCTCAGGTAGACTTCTACTGTCTGAGCGCCCAGACCAGGCGTCTTTGTGATGCCTTGTGTGGCGGAACTATGTGCTTCAGGCCCACATTCTGACCGCTTGCAGGATCCTCTCCCACCAGCAGCCCGGGTCTTGGAATCAGGTGATCAACAACGCTGCATCCTGCCCGACGTACCAATACTTGCAAGCACATTACATATGGGTAGTTGTCAAAATTAGGGTCCCTTTTCGGGTACCCTAAATAATAGGTGCGGTACTATAATTGGGACCCCAAAAAGGGACCCTAATTTTGACAGCCACCCATATGGAGCTGGGTGTGCCTCCTAGCGGGCACTCGCTATGCCTCAGCGCTAGCATGGTCGGAGTTTCATCCGCGGTTCTTGAGTTGAAGTTGAGTGCAGGCAGGGAGTTGACAGATGTTTGGGCAGGGGTGAGGAGAGCGCCACTAGGATGAGCGGACATATCGTTTACGATTGTAAACATGACCAGTATTGTCACAACATGTTACAACCATGTCCAGCGCCAAGTACCGTAGGCACATCTTTACTTCAGAGTTTCCGAAAATAGGGGACCCTAATATAGTACCCTCCATGGTAGGATCCTGTTTAGAAGGACCGAAACATAAGGAACCCCCCCCCATTTTCGGAAGCTCCCACTTCTCGCCACCTTGGGGCCGCAAGATACCCTAAGCGCGGGATGCGCTCGGCCGCAACCCAGGCCTGTGGTTGCAAGTTCGAAGACCTCGGGTCAGCACTCCGATAGCCCTCGGTACTCAGAGGATCATGGGACTTAGTAAGCAGGTTATAGTTGGGGATATAAGTCCCCTAAGTGGGGTTATCCTAATTATAACCTACTTATAATACTAAGCCCCATGAGCCTTCAAGTAGGGGTCCCCTAGACCCTGAGGCCCAAACCCTACAAAATGGTAGGTTATGACCCCTTCAGTAGAAGGTCTAACCCCTAAAGCAGTCGGTTTTTGGATTTGCAGGTAAACCCTGAACCGTAATTGGGCCACTGGAGTCGCCTACAAAAACCCTGAACCCGCCTCCGCGTGAAAGGTGGCCTTGGACCCGGACGCTGTTCAGCATTGGGCGCTCGCTCCCATAAGGATCACTAGAAGGGTTTCCTTGACGACTTAGGGTTTATAGGGTTTAGTGGTTTAGGGCTTAGGGGTTTAGGGGTTTAAGGGTTTAGGGTTTAGAGTTTAGGGTTTAGGGGTTTAGGGTTCAAGGGTTGTGACTTATGGTTTCGGCCTCTAGGGTGTCGGGTGTGGGTGTGCTTTGTGCTTTGAAGGCCGTGGCCCCAAATCCTGTCTCGTTTCGAGTAGGGACAAAAAATCCCAAGCCTGAAATATTCGGGCTTAGGGTTTTAGGGTATATAGACCTTAAATTAAAAGCCTTTCCTTATTGCTATGAGTAGGTTCCAAACAGACTTGCAGCAGTTTCAAGGGGCAGGGGCCTCTAAGTTGGGGTTGGGGGTGCTGGGCCTCAGGCGCTGAGATACTCACTGAGCCCGACTAAAGTAGGAGCTTTAGTCGCGCGGATTCATGGTTGAGGGTTTAGGACTTGAGGGTTTTAGGGCTTGGGGTTTAGGGGTTTGGGTGTTAGGGTGTGGAGCTTGGGAGTTCGGATTTTTGAGATGGGGTTTTGGGACTAAGTCTTGCTGTCGTATGTTCTGCAGTGGGTTCTGCTCTCCTTTGTCTGATTTTAGCAGCAAGCTACTCCCCTCGTATCGAGTCTAACTGTTTAGGCCCAGGTTGCAATATGAAGCAGGGAACCCACAAGAAGTGCGCGGTGAGCACTGTTGTACCGCCAACAAAGTCCTAGTCCTTTTTCTGGCTGGGATGACGCCCCCAACGGCACTTCTGCATCTTCACTGCAGCAGGCCCAATCGACGACGGCGCAACCAGCACGACACAGGCGAAGGAGCAGGACAAGCGTGCGAAGATCCTTTCCTCCTCATCCTCGGAAGTCTCTTCCTCCGAGGAAAAACGGCCGCCAAGGACCTCGAGATCGAACAATCCAAGGGTAAAAGGATGGACCCTTGATAAGGACCCCTAGGTATATACCCCTAATATAGCTATCATATATATACCCATTATATAGCCCATTATAGGGTAGGGGTCCCCATTAAGGGTCCCTCCTTTACCCCTTTGGAACAAGGGGGCACAAACCCTGACACAACACGAGGATCACAGCATCTCACGGCTATACACTTAGCACCGGCCGCCGAGTAACAACCCTGAACCCAGAACCCTGAACCCTAGATCACAACATAAAAAGCAAAGAACAACCAACGCTACTTGGAGGTCCATTGCTAGTCATAAGTGGGGTTATAAGTAGGGTAACTATACTTATAACCCATATAAGGGGACTTATAATCCCACTTAGAACTACCCATTAACCTCCAAGTAGGCCCTAAACCCTAATCCCTTATAGAATCCCTAGAGATCCCTTTAAAGGGAACCCTTATTACTACCCATGAGCCTCCAAGTACTGAGGCGACCCATCCGGACCTGGCGGAGGTATTGCCAGTAGCATGGCGGCACCCGGACTTAGGACTCAGGGCGAAGGGGGTTTACGGGTTTGAGGTTTGAAGAGTTTTTAAGGGTTTGGGGTTTAGAGGTTCAGGGTTTGAGGGTTGGGGGTCAGACAGGGTTTCGGTTTAAGTGTTATGGTTTAGCCCTCAGGAACCACCAACCTACCCAAATAGTAACTTTTGGGCGAGGGTTTGGGGGCTTCGGTGCAGGGTGACAAGTGCAGTCAGTGTTGAGGATATACGGCTTACGGTTCGCAGGTTTCATGTTTAGAGTGTCAAGGACTACGGCAGGTGTTCCCCTACCTACAGTGTGAAAGCTCTTGTGGCCAGGAGATCCTAACAAAGAGAATTCTACCTGACTGCTGCGTTGGGGATCGGCATTGTGAGCTAAATTTTTTGATGTTCTTGTGGACTTCAGCCCTAAACCCCACATCCTAATCATAAGAACACCCGAAACGGGGCCACCCCGCCTTCAGGCTTCAGGGTCAGGGATGATCCTGGAACAAAGGGGGCTGAATGATTCGGGACATTATTTCGTAGGCTTCCGATTATGAGCATACTGCAGTATACCTCAAAAATTCGTCCTGACTAAGTACATGAGGGCAATAGTTTCATGGTTTAGGATTGCAGGTCATCACTGGAGTGGACAGCGTCGATGACGAGAGCGTTCCGGATCAGCTAACGGTGCGACGTCCGGGTGCCCAGCTGGGTTGTTGCGCGTTTAGGCGATACGGTGTAGGGCTGAGTTGGATCGAGTTTATGGTGAAGGGAGGAAGGGGGGGAAGCAAGCACGTCGTCAGCAGGACTACTGATAGGACAGCCGCAGTGAGGAATCCCCGTATTTCGGGTCGCTCGATCCTCTGCCGTGACATACTTGGAGGTTCCTGGGTAGATATCTTGGCGTTCTTCTGGTTGGATCTTAGGACTTTAACTTCGTGGATTTCTATATGAGCCACAATAAGGAGGCTAAAAGTTTAACTTTTTGGAGGGGTTCAGAAGTCAGCCAAGACATAAGCGGGCTTATCAGCAGGCCCGAAGCCTCAGAACCCTAAGAACCCCCGAACTCCTCAAACCCGAAGCTCAAGAAACGCAAAGGTTTAGGGCTTTAGGGTTCGGGTTTAGAATTAGAGTTTGGGGCTAAGGCCTCAAAAGCCCGAAACCTTGAACCCGAAAGCCCCAAAACTCTAGATCCCCACAGCCCCAAACGCTAAACCCTACTAAACCCCAGACCCTAAACCCTAAACCCCAAACCCTAAACCCGAAATCCCAAAACCCTGAACCTTAAACGCCTAGACACTAAGCCTTGACCCATAAGAGATCCTAAACCCGACGACTCAACCCAAAATCCCAAGCCCTCAAGTTTGCGCCCAAGCCCACGAGGTTCCCAGCTCTACGGAGAGGTCATGGGCTGCTGGGCTGCTGTATGGCTTGGGGTTTAGGGTTGGGGGATGAGTATTTTGCAAGGTCTTAGGGTTTAGGGTTTAGGTAAACTGGGGGATGAGTTTTTTGTAGGGTTTTTCGAGGATTTGGGGGCTTGGAGGTTTAGGCTGTGGGGTTGAGGAAGGGGTGGTTAGGAACTATACTCGGGGATTCGTGGCTACCAGTTCGGGCACTTAGGTGTTTGTGCATCTCGCGGCCGAAGACAGCCTCTGAGAGAACCCTCGCAAGAAAAGTGCAAGTTCTTCCCCTTGGATCTGAGGCCCCGTGGACCCTAAACCCTAAACCCTATACAGGGAACTCCAGAAAGTTGGAATATGGTTTCATGGTAGGATACCTTATAATTTGCCATAGAAGGGTTAGGATAATCATACTCCAACTTTCTGGCTTTTATCTTATACCATAGAAGCCTGAAGACCAGCCCCTGAGATGATCAAGGCCCCCTACTACTCTATAGTATCCTTATAGATCCCTTATGGTAACCCTCATAGTAATAGAGCCTTTTAGAGAGCCCCCCTGGAAGGCCCCGTGGATGGCTCGGACGTCCTTCGGCCAGAGCTCTGGGCGATCGGCGCCTTGGCGTTTTTGGTGTGGCTCTGTACAGTTTCTTTTATTTGGGTGGTTGTCAGAATTAGGGTCCCCGGGGCGTGGAATTGATGATGTCAGAACTTTCTGGCTTGTGTTTTACATGTCGAGAGAGCTCGAATTTGGTGGGTTTGTCAGGCTTCTTATTACTGTTCTACTATATCATGCCCCAAACCTTACTCTAATTGCTCATTAATTAAGGCCCCAGGCGTAGGTTCAGTTTTTAGGCTATGGCATTCGGGCCGGCAATCGGAAGGCTCGGAGAGGGATCTTTCAGAGTATGTGCACGCAGAGCTCTGTGGAGAGTCATGAGAGACGACAGGGCAATCGAGCAGTACTGTGGATTGAGATTTTACGTAGTAAATGCATTAGTTTTGGTAGTCGTGACAAGCAGCCTTCTCCGCCCCAACATGCGGCTATGAACAAATTCTGCATTATCCACAGAGTTTTGTCCATCGAGCAGCACTGTGGATTGAGATGTTACGTAGTAAATGCATTAGTTTTGGTAGTCGTCACAAGCAGCCTTCTCCGCCCCAACATGCGGCTATGAACAAATTCTGCATTATCCACAGAGTTTTGTCCATCGAGCAGCACTGTGGATTGAGATGTTACGTAGTAAATGCATTAGTTTTGGTAGTCGTCACAAGCAGCCTTCTCCGCCCCAACATGCGGCTATGAACAAATTCTGCATTATCCACAGAGTTTTGTCCATCGAGCAGCACTGTGGATTGAGATGTTACGTAGTAAATGCATTAGTTTTGGTAGTCGTCACAAGCAGCCTTCTCCGCCCCAACATGCGGCTATGAACAAATTCTGCATTATCCACAGAGTTTTGTCCATCAGCCGGATAAGACGCAGAATCCAGCAAAGCGCGGTGCAGAGAGACCCGGGTTCTTCCCACCAGGCGAGAACCCGCCGTACTCGTACTACTCCTATTACATCTTCGCGAACATCTGCCGGCCCCGGGGCGGACGGCTCCTATGTCAACCCTAAAGCCCGAAACCTGACCACCCGAAATAATCGCTTCAATTTTAAACCCCTAAAGTAAAAGCCAGAAAGTTGGAATATGATTATCCTGAACCCTTTATGGTAGATTATAAGGTATCCTACCCTGAAATCATATTCCAACTTTCTGGAGTTCCCTGTAGCTCATTACACACTTTAGGGCAGGGGTACAGGAGTCTGCATTCCATTGTCTGGAAATTCCCAGTTCTTCGGCTTTGGGAAAAATAAGTCGTGAGCTTGGAAACCCCTGGCGCATGAACCCCTTTACTATGATGCTTTCGTGGTCCGTCATCAACTGCATTATCATACGCCCCGAAACCTTATTCTGATCCCTGAGGGGCCAAAGGACCTAATGATAAAGTACTTGGGTTTAGGATAGTAGTTATGTAGGTTACTCTTTTGGAGAGTATATGATAATCTAGTACTTGGACCCTTGGGGGATTATTAACTCCCCTCGAGTACGCGCCCTGGAGCCCCCAACCGTAAAATCCAAACATTTCAATCACCCAAACCCGTAGTACCTTTACAGTAAGGAACCCTTTTCAGGAGCCCCTACACCCGTACCCGCTCATGCCTTACAGACCCTAGAAATGAGTACCTTGCCTACCGAAGCGATCAACTTTCCAAGAAGGTCACGGATGAGACCTGCCACCCTCGAAAATAGAACCCTAAATCCCTAACCCTAAACCCTACTCGTACAAAATACGAGGCTCTGCTCTCATAGACAAGGATCGAGGTAGATATTTTCCGTGGATGTGTCCAAGCCTTTCGTGGTTGCCGAGCTCGGGTTCGGCATAAGGGCCAGGGTATGCATAAAGGCGGGGGCCTAGTTTTGAAGTATCAGGGCTTGTGGGACGTTTCCAGAGGTTCTTTAAGAGGGTCTTTAGTGGGTTCAGAGATACTTCTAAGACGGGTTTAGAGTCTAGTGTGCTGCAATTCGGCTTGTAATGAGACGTATAGTTCTCACAACAAGAAGATCCTGCAGCCCTGGACCAGGGGCATTGCGCATTCTCACGGAATCTTGATAGGGCAAGGGTTTAGGGTTTGTAGGGTTAAGGGTTATGAGGATGGGTAGGTCACCTTCAATACTGTATTGGGCATATAGAGTCCTATCATAGTTCAATGCTTAACCGTTTTTTGGGCCAGGGTATTCAGCTTTTGAGAAGCCTCTCTTGGAAGCCTTACCTCTCACGTGCCCCTTTCCGTACACGCCCCCGGGTTCAGGGATTTCGGGACGTCCGCAGGACGACACTATTTTGCGCCGGAAAGCGCCAACATCGGCTTTGTCGCCGTTCTGGCCGATGGGTTGTTGGTGTCGAGACCACAGCAGTCCTTTACCGAACAGTTTATGGATGTGCAGATACGAAAGAGTGACAGACAGGCTGGCCCGCAGGCATGCGGCACATGTATTGCATCGCTCGGTGTACATTGCGGCAGCAGTGAACCTGCACTGGCTTCCTTCAAGGTTTCTGTGAAGCACAGCAGCCAGTGGCAGGAGAGATCACATCTCCTTGCCGTCCATTCTCCGTCGCCCACCTGAGCACAGTGTGCTTAGCGCAAGAGGGGGGGTGCTTCTGCACAATTTCGCCGCTCATATTCGCACAAAGTTCGTCATACCCCTTGAACCGGAACCCAAGTACAATAGAAGCTCAAAAGTTGGAAACCCAATAGCCTCAGTCCTTAAGAGTAATGTAGAGGGAATCCCAGCACTGTGTGGGTTTCCAACTTTCTGGGGTTTACTGTACTAGGATGCCCAGTAGTACCCTTATTCCCTTTTTGTAGTCCTAGGTTCCTTATAAAGTTACCCAATACCAAAAAGAGAGGCCTTTTTTTTCTTAGGTTACTGGGTATCCTAGTGTATTTAAATCCCGAACCCGAATCCGGAAAGCAGGGCCTGGCCCTGTGCTCCTACTTAGAGGATCATGGGACTCAGTAAGGAGGATTCCTTAAAGGGCTTCTTAAAGGGTTTAGGGTTTAGGGATCTATAATATAAGGGTTCAAAAAAGGGGTAGCTTAGGTTACTTAGAGGATCGTGGGACTTAGTAAGTAGGTTATAATTGGGGTTATAAGTCCCCGAAGTGGGGTTATCCTGATTATAACCTACTTATAACCTTAGTTACTAAGTCCCATGTGCCTTCAAGTACACGCTGGATCTTACGGGTTTACATTGTGGCGCTCAGGGTTTGGGGGTTGTGGTTGAGAGTCCTCGGTTCCAAGGTCCGGTGTTGATCTTGGCGTTCTTCTGGTTGGATCTGAGGACTTTAACTGTTTTAGATTCCTATATGATCCATAATAAGGAGGCTAAAAGTTTAACTTTTGGGTGGGTTCAGAAGTCAGCCAAGTTATCCTCCTCGGAGGTAGATTCGTAGATTTGTGTTCACACAGAGAGTCATATGGGTGGCTGTTAAAATTAGGGTCCCTTTCTAGGTCCTGAATATAATACGGCACCTGTTATTTCGGGTACCGAAAAAGGGACCCTGATTTTGACAACCACCCATATGCACTTTCAGTTGCACTTGGGCTTGGCTTAGGCTCGTAATTACTTCCTTACTCCGCTGGTTCTTCGAGTAGACTCTGACGCCGGAATGCCCTACAGAATCTCTCGAAGCCCGGAATCCTACATCCAAGCCCCAGGCTCCCCCAAACCTTGGGTACGGCCCGCACTCAGTAATAGTTGAATAATATTCATAGATTCATAATATAGATATATTAAGACCTTGATAGTAGCCCTACTATAGAGCCTTACTGTATGGGGGCAGCACCGAACCCAAACCAGTCACCGTGAACCCTGATCCCCACCCTGCACTGCCCGAAACACCGAACCCTGATCCCAGAGCCCTTCTGAGTACAGCGAAATAGTCTTTAATTTTTTTGGTGTACTATCTCCCTACATAGTTCCAAAGTCTAACCTTTAGTGCCTCAGGGTACTGAACAAGTAAGCCTAGACGCTCCCCTAAACCCTAAACCCTAAACCCTGCAGGTGGAATCACCTGTGCAAGCTGCTGGGTCGGCCATGGCACTTTACCTACCGGCCACATGCGGGGGAGGTGGGCCAACTCCTAACCCCCAGACCCGAAACCTTGAAGGCCCTTAAACCCGGGGGAACCTCAAAGGCCCTAAACCCTAAACCACACGCCCTAAACCCTGAAGGCCCTAAACCCTAAACCCGAAAGGCCCGAAGCCCCAAACCAAGAGCCCTAAACCCGAAGCCCTGAGCCCTCAACCTGAAGCCCGAAAGCTCCTGAATTACTAAAGGCCCTAAAACTCCTAAGATGCCCAGTAGTACCCTTATTCCCTTTTTGTAGTCCTAGGTTCCTTATAAAGTTACCCCAATACCAAAAAGAGAGCGCCCTTTTTATTCTTAGGTTACTGGGTACCCTAAAACTCCCAAAGGCCCCATAGGCCCTGAGCTGCTGCTTGACGGTTTAGGGTTTAGGGTTTAGGGTTTAGGGTTGAGGGTTTAGGGTTGAGGGCTTGGGGCCGCTTTTGGCTTCCCGGAGGTACTAATTCAGAAAGGCAGAACTTTGACCTCCATTGTACGATTTAAAGTTTAGAGGTTCAGGGGTGTTTAGGGTTTAGGGGTTCAGGGTTTAGGGGTTTAGGGTTCAGAGTTTCGGGGTTGTGCTGAAAATGAAAAGTGCTCACAGTTATTCATAGCTCCTTGTCAGGCAAGGATTGGGGTCTTAGTGTGGAATAGGATTATGAATATATGTTGCTGTCATGAGCTTACGAGCCCTTGCGAAATCGGATCTCTCATTAAGTCGTGCACCTCGTACATATATAAATATTTCTAATATTCTAATATTATATACACATAATCAGGACTTGGGCAACATGTATCTATGTATGCGTGCATGCATGTGTGTATGCATGTCTCTTGATATCTGGACACGCCTTTTACAAAACAAACGCATGTTTCCTTCTTCTGGCAACTTAGAGGCAATACGAACCTCAAGGCCTCAACTCCTTGTACGACTCCAACAAGCCCTCTAAACTCTTGAAGATGGATCTGAATAGTGACTTGCGAAATAGAGTTTAGGGTTGAGAGTTTAGGGTTTAGGGTTTGGGGTTTAGGGAATTCCTTCGCATTCCCTTATTCTGATTCTTCCATTGTTGAACTTGTCTGAATAATAGTTGCGGGTGCTTACAACCAGGATCCGACTAGTCAGAGTTTTTTTAATAGGGGTCCTTCATTATCTCAGGGTCCGGCGCAAAGGCCAGAGAGGTCGCTTAAGCCTGAATCCAAAGCCCAACATCGTAAACCCTCACCCCAAATCCAAATATCCGAAAGCCCATAGAGTATCCCCAACCGAACCTCTTTCAAAGCTGAGTAGAGAGAAGTGGAGTTATGCCTCCCTCCTAAGCCCTCAGGTCCTCTGAGTAATATAGGGGCCTGAATAATTACCAACACTGTTTTGGGGTTCGTTCTTCTGATTGTAATATATAATATACCCCTAAACCATATTCTAACGGAAAAAGGCCACCAATTGAAAACCACGACTGCATGACGAGGCTGGAGAGGTCCACCACCTGGCGACCACTTTCCTCCTGGCCGATGGCACGCCGGCGTTGGTATAGTCGGTTGTGGGGTGTGGGGTCCTTGCTTAGGATCATGCCTAAGCTGGTTGTAGAAGGTCTTGTAAGGCATTATGCAGTTGAATAGGGGCTTTAAGGAATGCAGGTTAGCTACCATGCGAATGTAAGGAGACTATTTGTGGAATGTAGTTGCGGGAACGTAAAACCCGACAGCATGAAACTAGTTGGGCGCTCCGGGTTTTCTTCAGCCAATTGTGTAAACTTAAGCCCTGAGCGCAAATACCTGCACCAGGAAGGTCTGTGCCGTGTAGTCGCCCCTCAACTTTCGGCATCGGGTCGTATTCGCTCTCAGGTTTGCAGGACATAGGATACCAAGCGCTTCAAAGCCACAAGCTCTAAACCCTAAACCCCTAAACCCTAAACCGTTGTTCCATTTTCCTCCGAGCATGTCCGTGAGTCTTATTGGGAGCTGCAGCATGTGTCACTCAGGAAGGTGCTCGCTCGGGAATTAGATTCTGTAGCGCCGGTTAGTGCTTACACCCCTTCTTCCGACTGCTTGGAGGATCATGGAACTTAGTAAGTATCGTTATAAGCACCTTTATTGGGGTTATAGGTATAGTTGCTTTAATAATAACCGTAGTTACTAAGTCCCATGATCCTTTAAGTGCCCATGAGGAAACTGAGTGGTGTTCGGACCTCGAGAGTCTGTTCTTGCAGTACTCACCATGGAGCACCTGAACTTGGGGTTTAGGGTTTAGGGTCTGATGCTAGCATGCTCTTAATCCTACTTCGGGGCGGTTTTGGATTGGGTTCTTGAAGTTTCCGTTGCACAACCTGCTTGAGAGACCACAAACCCTAAACCTCAAGCCCTAAACCCCTCGTTGTAGCAATGGCCCGCCAGACGAATCTGCTTTCGAACATGCACCAAGCTAACACCCGACAAATTTAGATGATTTTGGGGCTTTGGGGTTTAGGGTTTCGGGGTAGTTTAGGGGTGAACGATTAGGGTTTTGGGTTTTTTGGGAGTTTAGGACCGGGCCTAAACCCCACAAGCGGCTCAGGGTTACGGTGTCGGAATTTCTCTGTTTTCATGGAGAACGCGAGTTGTAGCTCCTAGCACCGTTTCGCCTAAACTCAAGAACCAAACCTATTCCTAAAGATTTGATTTCATACTGCTATGATGGTCATACTTGTTGTTGCTATATGCAACCATCAAAATGTCACCCAGTATCTTGTATAGCTGCTGTTATTTGTATTGCTACTATGACACTGCTGATATTATTGTTGATGCTCTTGTCGCCTTGGGTGGTAACCGGGCTAAATTGTAAACGCCGTCGGCAATCCTTTGCTGCCTCTTACTTAGTTGAGAACTAAACCCTAAACCCAACCGGCTGTGAGGCATCAACCATGGCATCAACCTGCAACATTCGCCGGTGCTGCAGCTACTCGGCTTCGGGTTGATGTGCTCTTCGAATTATATAGTGTCTAGGACCAGAGTAAGCCCTTATTCACTTTTTTAGGGTTCATGACCCTTAGAACCCCGTTTAAACCAAAAAGGGCACCCTTTTGTATTCCTAGGTTACTCTTAGGTCCAGGGGTTCACGGTCTCAGGGTTTCAGGTCGGAGGGTTGAGGTGCTTTAGGAGCTGAGGTTTTCCAGTTGTAGTAGGGTGTCAGACCCCGAAGTTGAGGAACCCAAAAACCCAAACGTAAAGCATGAAACCTCAAAACTCAACACCCAAAGCCCCAAATGTAGAGCATGAAGCCTCAAAACCCAAAGCCTTCAAAAATTCAAGCTTCTCACCCAAAGCCCAAAGCGCTGATGGCTTCAGTTCTTGCTAGTTGCAGGTATCTGCAGAGTTGGCTCTGTAGATTCGGCATCTGCGTTTCAACTTTTGCGTTTGCAGTTCTATCGATGAGGGTTCAGGGTATTCAGCTCCCGACACACACTCCGAAAAACACAGGCAGAATCTGAGATTGCCAGTTCTCTCCACCCTAAACCCCGACGCTCGAAGCAGCCGTGAGGTATCTGTACTACGTCGCACAGATCGGCATCAGCGTCGCGCCGCTCTCTAACAACGCGCTCTTCCTCAAGGCCTCGAAGCCCTGCAGCGGTTTAAGGTTCAGGGTTTTAGGTTAGGGTTTAGGGTTTAGGGCTTTAGGGTTTAGGGTCTTAGGGTTTTAGGTTAGGGCTTAGGGTTTTAGGGTTTTCGGGTTTAGGGTTCAGGGTTTTAGGGGTTTGGAGGTTTAAAGGTTTGGAGACTTAGTGTTCAGGGTGTAGGGGTTCAGGGTTCGGGGCTTTGGGGGGGCTTTGGGGGCTTGGGGGGTTTAGAGTTTGAGCTTTCGGGGTGTAGTGTAGGGTTGCGGATGGAGAAAATCCCCGAGTGTTCGCTTAGGAACGTCGTTTCATTTCCGTAGGGAGCTGTAGTATAATGCCAACTGGCTGTTAGAAACAGGATTTTCATTTTAGGTCTAAGGGTAGTGTAATATACCTACCGACACTAAATTTCAGTGTTCCTCTAATGGTTATAGTCTAAACATACCCATGCAGCCCTCTGGCCCCCTATAGTCAGACGCACAGTCGCACAGCTGTACTTTGAGGTCTGAGATGTAATGGATATACCCTCTTGATCCTACCTATACTACTTCCCATTTATATACAGTAGAAGCCAGAAAGTTTGAGCATCATTTTCCCATACCCTTAAGGTAAAGTATAGGGGATCCTGGCACTAATTCTCCGAAATCCATGTTCCAACTTTCTGGCTTCTACTATATCCCCGCCCAGCGCCAGTTCAAGTTGTTGGGGACTCCCCATATTTCGACCCTGTCCCTCTTGCAGTGGTGCTCCCTACTTGGAGGTTCATGTCTAGTTATAAGTGGGGTTATGAGTCGGGTGACCACTTGGCAGCCCGTCCACAGACAGGGCCAATCACGACCAAGCAGATTGCAGACTTCCTGAACCAGAACATCACGTTCATAAAGAAGATGAAGGAGCTCTTGGATATTGCTGATGTTCTGTGCCTGGACCCGCCGCCTAACCTCCTCCTCCAAAGCTGGCTGATCTCAGCTTCTATCTGCTGCCGGAGACGGCCGGACTCAGCCTCCCTCCATCGCGCCCGACTCGGGCGCTCCACCTCATCCTCCTCCTGACCTGTTTGTCTGCGCATCCAATTCTGATGCCAATGACAGCCAACGACATGGTTGCAGGGCATGGCCAACCTCAGTGCCCATGTTGTTCCAAATCGGTTTTAGACAAATCAAGTTTCGAAGTGGGTGTGAAAGGGCTCAAAAGTGCGTTTTATGTGGGGGCCGTTCAGGTTGGGTGGATTCTGGATTCAAATCGGGCTACGTATAACCCATAATATTAGCGGACTTGTAGCCCCACTTATAACTACACATGAACCTCCAAGCAACATCCGAAACTCCCCTCAACGCCCGAAAGCCCGAGCCCCAAACCTTGAAGCCTACCTCAACCCCAATCTGATAGAGATTCTACAGGGGGTCTTCACGGGCTTCACAGGGCTACAGGTGTGGCGGTTTCAGGGTGCAGCTATGCGGTATGTTAGCAGGGTTATGGGCTTCAGTCGCTCTCCGCTCTGTAAAGAGTGTGTAGCAACTTTAGGGGTAGCGCTCTACAAAACCCGCTGCTAGTTACAAAGGCCCTTACCTTAGCCCGTTGCAACGCCCGCCAGATGTCAAAAAGCCCATTCCCCGACTTCTTCCAGCGGGGCCTCAACGCATGGCACTCAGAAGGACTGCGAGGTTTGAACCTGCAAGGATTACTATAAGGGTTAGTGTACGTGCTCACACAAGGCTTCTACAAGGGTTCCGGAGTCCAGGGTTTTGGTATTCAGGCTTACGGTGTCGAGGCTATCGCAGTGGTCGAGCCCAGCTCCTGAACTTGTGGCCTCTTGCAGGTTCGTCCAATTCTGAAAGTGGAAACTTGTGATCGCTAACCGGCCTGAGGAAGTAAATTTTAGGCTGTACGAATACTGCTGTACTGTATAGTGTATAGTGTACTCTCAACGAAAGTACAGCAGAAGCTTCCCCCACTTGGTTCATGGGTGATGTGTAACTGGGTAAAGAAGTCCCCACTGGTTATAACTATAGTTATAGTTGTCCTGCTTGTAAACCTACTTAGAACTACCCATGAACCTCCAAGAAAAGCCCTTGTAGACTTACTGTACCAGAGATTTCGGGCTTAGGGTTAGACCCTGTAGGTTTCAGAGCACAACGCAAGCTTGTGGCAGTTTTGGCAGCGATTGCAGTTTGGGTCCAGGGTTTCGCTTATTGTTGGGGTTGAGGCATGTCTAGTTAAAGTTATACGGCCATGTACACAAGGACGCACTGGCCCCACTGACAACGCTCCTTGCTCAGGGCCTCCATTCACAACGAGCTCGAATCAAGGCACCATTTAAGAGGCCAAAATAAAGCTCGTAGGCCTTTTAACCATCTGCGGGGTACTCAGTCCCCAAGAAAGCCACCTTTGAACATCCCACCCCTACAGCCCAAAAACCCAACACCCCCCCCTAAACCCTGAACCCTAAACCCTAAACCCTAACCCTAAACCCTAAACCCTAAACCCAAAACCCTGAAACCCTGAAACCCTAAACCCTAAACCCTAAGAATCAACCCTGAGAGGTCACCCTATCCACGGATGACCCTTTGATGTTCCACGCGACGAAGGCCTGGCTTTCTTTCGCGTCGCGTTTAACATCGGGGTCTGAATCAGTTTGGAGTCCCTATACTGTCGAATTCCAGCTGTTACGGCCTCTCCTTAAATCCCTTAACAAAGCAGAGGGGGATTTAGGGTTAGGGTTTAGGGTTTAGAATTTACGCAACCTGCCTCCAACCTTTTTGCAAGGCTTGTAGGCTAGGGTTGGGGGCCCTCGCACGGCACGTGCACTTTAAGCTCCATGCCGAACCCCAAGCCCCAAACAAAAACACAAAATCAAGCGCAAACCCCGCCATAAGCCCTAAAACCTACAGCGATGAGCCCTAAAATCCCTGAGCTATAAGGCTCGAATGCTATATGGGTGTTCTTTGGGCATGTCTCGAAGATGCAACTAGGGTCCTTGCTTCGATCTTCAAGAGGGGGTCACCCTGTTGGGAACACTGCAAGGGACTAGTCGTACTTTGCAGAGTCCCCGCTTGTCGAACTGTTGATGATATAAACCCTGCATTACCTTAAGGACCCTGAACCATGGGAATTATGGTATATTCCTTGTTGGTAATGCAGGATTTATACCATCAACCGAATCATCCCTAAGTGCAATCCGAACCCCAAAGCCATCAAGCACCAGAAGCTTTAAGACGGAGCAAAGCGAAGCTTTAGTTATATGGGTAGTTGTCAAAACTAGGATCCCTTCTTGGGCACCCTAAATAATAGGTGCCGTAGTATGATAGGGACCCCAAAAGGGACCAGAATTTTGACAACTACCCATATCCTGCGAGAGCTTCTTGTGGGTTTGGACGTCCCAACTCTCATCTGGGCAAGGTAGTATACTTGAAGGCTCATGGGACTTGGTAAGTAGGGCTTAGGGGTCCCCTTTAAGGGTACTATACGGGCTCTATAACAGGGCTCCCTTTAAGGATTAAGGGTTTAGGGTTTACTTCAAATCTCATGGGACATAGTTAGTAAGGTTATAAGTAGGTTATAATTAGGATAACCCCACGTAGGGGACTTATAACCCCAGTTATAACCTACTTACTAAGTCCCATGATCCTCTAAGTAGGGGCCGAAATAATTACCTATACCATTTTGGGGCTCCTTGTTATACCTTTAGTATAATGGGCCCCAAAACCCTATTCTGATTATTCAGGCCCCTGTATTACAAGAACTGATGGACTCGACTTTTTAGGGTTCACTGGTATACACTGGTAGGGCTACAAGTTATATATGTTTGCCTGAACTTACTAGGTTTCCCAGTAGCACCCTTTTGCCATTTTGGGGGTTCGCTTACTATTGAAACTGAATACCAGGCAAAAATGAGTCATTAAGAAGGGGACACTGGGGAACCCATTCGATTGATTTCCCGTTGCGGTTTAGGGTTTAGGGTTTAGGGTCCACACAGCCCCAAGATCCTCCATGTAAGCTCTTTGATTCATTGGAGAAATGCAGAGGTGCTAACTGTTTGCCAACATGGTTCCTATGGTTCCTAATACTCCCTACGCATAACTATGCTAGAAGATACAAGGGTACTCCAACACCCTATACACAACTTTTCAGGATCCCGTATTTTGCAGCACGATGATTAGTACTGGGATCCCTTATACTTTACTGTAAGGGCATGAGCATGAGGATTAGAATGTTCCAACTTTGTGGCTTCTATTTTGCGTTGCGGAGGAGCCGCTGCTGGAGGAGTACACGACGGCGCGATGCATTTTCGGCTTGAAGATGACGGCCGGGCTCTCGGGGGCGTGACTTTCACCAGGGTTGACGGTTTGGGGTTATCTTATGACTACTATGGCCATGATGATGATGCTGATGATGTTGCTAACGATGAAGATGTTGGACAAGTTTAGCGCACGTCGAAGGTTCAGTTCGGCATCGCTAATGCCCTGCATACCCCCCAGACCCTCACTATAGAGTGGGAATGCTGAGTAGTACTCTTTTCCTTATCGAGCCCGTATACCTATACTGCATTACACTCAAAATCCTATGCTGCGTGTTCACACCCCCGAACTCTTTCGACCCAGGACATGTGCGAGATCGCAGCGAACAGCGTGAGGCAGTCATCCTTCTCCACTCCAGGCGGTGGCTATTCTCCCTGTTGCCGAAATTGGGTGAAGAGGAGAGGTTAGGCTCCTGCGTAGTACCCTTTTGCGGTTTAGGGTTTAGGGTTTAGGGTACCCTTTTGCTGTTTTTCTTTTTGGGCCCCCTGATTATTAAAGCCACTCTGGAACCCAGACCTTGTATCCTGCCCACGTGGGCATGCGTAAGTACGGCAACTATAGTTATGACCCACAGTAAGCGACTTATAACCCACATAGAACTACAGATGAACTTCCAAGCAGACGCGACAGATGTGGCAGGGTGTCCTGACAAAGTCTGATAGCTAGATAGGCCGCAATTCCTAACCATGCTTTTCCAGTTTCCATCTGTTCAGATCGTTCCTTTAAGGGCTGTATTTTTTGTAGCCGTCAACTTATGGGATTTTGGGCTGCGCCCTCAAACTAAAGATTCGCTGGGGAGATCGCTATGTACCTGCAGAAGGAAGAAAGGCTGAGCTGCAGTCCTAATACCCTAAACCCTAAACCGAAGCCCCAAGCCCTTAGCCCAAAGGCCTAACCCAACTAAGGCACTTTTGTAACCCGAGACTCCCTGGACCTTAAACTCTTAAGACCCAACCTGCAAGTACCACAACTACGGTGCTGTTGCAAAGTTTGGGGTTTGGGGTGCAACTAGGGTGCTGTTTCAACCATAAGCCCGAGGAAAAACCCCAATCCCCAACCTTCAAGTGTCCGAGAGCCGCCAAGGAGGCAGGATTTAAGACCGTATTAGGGTTCAGGATTTACGGTTTTTGGGGTTTAGGGTTCGGGTTCGCGCGCCCTGGGTTTAGGTTTTTGGGGTTTATTGTTTAGGGTTCGGGTTCGCGCCCTGACCTCTGAACTTCATCCCGCAGCCCTCAGCAACTCGAGACAGGTGCACATCGAGGGCGGGTGCTAGGACTGTCAAGGTCCGCAGGGATGATTTTACGAAGGTTTTTGAGGCATTTTTTTGAGCGTTTCCGATTGTATGCAGATTGTATGAAGGGCTGTTAAGTCCTTTTGATCAGAGGGTTTTTATTTGAGTTGTTTTGTTTCATTCGCATTCTGATCCGGGTTCTATAATATGCTTTCCTACAAGGCCCGGGGGTTCTAGAAGGGTTTCACAGAGGATCGGGGCCTAGAGTGGGGGCACAGGGCCAAGGGGGGTGCTCTCCGTGGTTCAGGAGTCGCGACTGAGGGCAGAATGCTTGGAGTTGCTATAGGGGCTTAAATAATTATCAATATTATGGTGGGGGATCCGTATTGTTATTATAGTGTAATGGCCCCCAAACCCGATTCTAATTATTAAGGCCTCTACATTAATGTTCAGGGTACGGGCGCGGTTGGAGCTTCAGGTTCATAGGTTTGAGGCGGTTGAGGATATGAAGCGTAGCGTTTCAGGTTCTCACAGGACTGTCGCGCTATTCAGGCACCTATATCGAGAGAAGAGTTTTTGATGAAGGATGGGTTGGTGGTCTTACGCCAATTCGAAGTGTTGGTTTCTACCAAAGGACTCACTGTATCGAACAAGACCTCAAGGAGGCTGGTTTCACAATCCTGAATCTAGCATGTACCAACAAACAGTCGTGTTGTATCCTGTAGAGGGACCCTCATGTAATGACTCCATTATCCCTCAGGGCCCTTTTGGTGAAGGTTAGTGGGTGGGAGCCTGACCTGAGAGAAGAAGCAACTCTCCGCAGGCAGTGGAGCATGGAGCCCACTCTGTCAAACATCCCCCAGCGCCGGCTGAACTTTCGGCGTGGGTGCCGCGGCAAATCCTGGACCTATGTCGATAAACCGAGAGTTCAAGGGTTTGGGGCTTGGGTGTAGGATTATGCTGAGGTAGGTTTGGCGGTTTAGAGCTCAGGGTTCGAGTACTTTGGCTTCATTGACATGTTGCAATCCGGATCTGCTATCGGGATCCAGCTATTGAAGGGTCTGTGTGGGGCTCGGTGACTGTTATGTGTTACATTCACACAGGGAGTCGGAAGTTTCGGGTTTTCGGCTCTGCAGTTGACTGAAGACGGGGTTAAACGGTTACGGCTGCAGGAACCTTTGGGTTTAGGGTACATATAGGGTTGTTACACCAGCGACAGCACGAGCAGTTCCCACAGTGACACAAATAGATGGGCAGCATAATCGTGCATACATGCTGCTATCAACTCTACTGAGCTGTTCAGTATTGAGGTCCGAGGTAGGGCAGTCCGTACACTGAACCCTGAGACCCCTAAGCCTCTGAACCCCAAATGCCCTAAGCCGAGCCCCTAACCCTGAATTTCTAATCCCGAAACCCTGAAGCCTTTTTGCACCCTAAACCCTGAAGCCTTAACCCCCAAAGCCCTAAAACCACCCGTGGTGTGGATCTGGGGGGGCCGCTGTGTGCGGCCCGGTGCAATCCCGGGCTCTCATTCCACTGATGGGCACCGTTGGCCGTGGCTGCCTGCTGAGCTTGCTCCCGGCCAAGGCTGCGTGCGGCCTAGTATACTGGCGCAACGGGGCGGGCTTTACGTCGCTGCGGTACAGTACGTGGTTCGACAATTCCCTGGGGATTTGTTCGTTATGCTTCCGGACCTTACGTGGGGGGGGACGCATTCGCCTGCCAGACCCACGAATTCTTCGGGTATCGTCTAGCCGGCGCCATGGACTCCTTCGTCTTCTTCGAAATGGTCGATTGGGATGTCGAGTCCGCAAACTCTAAACCCTAGCCGGAGCCCAAAACCAGGATCATGATCCATGTGAAAACGCGAGCAAAAGCCTATACAAACCATACTTGGAGCTGCAGCGCAGCTTCTACTTGGGACACGGGATCTTAGGGTTTGGGTTGAGGGTTTAAGGTTTTAGGGCAGTTGGGATGTAGGGTTTAGGTGAAACACTTATTGGGCGTAGTACGCTCGGATTGTGCGTTTTGTAATCTAGGACAGTTTAGGAGTTTAGGAAGGATCAGCTCCGTTTTGGCGGGGTGGTGTTTTGCTCGCAAATTCAGGAGATGGAATCTAAGTTGGAGCAGCCATCAGAATAGGATGCGTTTATGGGGCTTTGTAGACATGCTGGAGTTTGCTGAACAGGGTTTTCTTTGAAGGAGCAATCTAGGACCTAGAGTAGGCCCTTATTCCCTTTGTAAGGGTTCAGGTTCCCTTATAAGTCCCTTTAAACCAAAAAGGGCACCCTTTTTATTGCTAGGTTACTCTTGGGTCTGGCAATGCTGTATCGAAGATCTTGTGTCAGACAACGACTGGCAAGCACGTACACTCTGTCTGATGGTAGTTCCTTTCTGCTTGCATTGCTTCTCCTTGAATTGAAAGCCTTAGACGGAACTGGCCCTAAACCCTAAAGCCCAAGACCCTTAACACCCTAGGGATCAACATAGCCCAATAGCCTTATACAGTATGGTCTTTTGGGCCCAAGAGCCTGAATATATGCGTCCTCAGATCCCTAGGGACACATGGCTGAGCAATGAACGCTGCTCAAAACGGGCGTTGAGCGATCATAGGAGGCCGAAAGGGGCCGCCTCATATTCAGGAATCCCTACCCCAAGAATCTTAAAGCCCCCCTTTTGGCCTCCCATCAAGCGAGGTGCCTGGCCGACGAACTTCGGTACCTCTCTTTGGGCCAGCCATCAGCACCCCGGTCGCAAGTCAGTCTGCTACAGGGGCCTAATAATTACCTATGATAGGACCCTTTTTTGAAGGGGTCCATAAGCGCAATTATAAGGATGTAGTATAGGGGCCTTAACAATTACTATTTTGCGGTCACAAGTCAGTCTGCTACTATGGTTTAGGGTCTTAAGTACAGGGTTTTATAGGGTTCCTTTAAAAGGGGTTACTATAATGGCTACTATAAGGGCTATTACAAGGATGTAGCATAGGGGCCTGAATGATTACCTATACATGTTTTTTTGTTGGGGGTTCCTTACTATAAGTACAGCATAATGAACTCCAAACCCTCTTCTAATTATTATGGGCCCGTACATTACTGTCTTTTGGGAGGATGAAGAGGGCTTGGTTTCTTCATAGGCTGTCCCCCACGAACAAAGGATCTGAACCAGGATCACGGTTGTGAGGTGGGGCCGAAACCCTGGACCCAGAACCCTGAAGCCATAAGCCATGATCCTTCCGTGGAGGTCTGACGGCTTCGTAGTGAATAGTCGTATCTGCAACTAGTCCCTTATAGTTATACTGTAACATGTCATCAACACCTGCTGGAATTCTTCAGACCTGTATATCAAACCACTCCTCAAACCATAACCAAAGCCTTAAGCCCCTTCTAAAACCCTAAACCCTAAACCAAAGCCTGACACTCTAAATCCTAAACCCTAAACCAAAGCCTTAAACCCTAAACCCTTAATCCGAAGCCCAGGGTTTGTAAATGCGACATGACCCGAGGTGATAGCATGATGGAGATATATGTGGCAACAGATTTGCGAAAATGACATCACTCCTTTGCCAGCGTGCCTGCCTCAAGGCCTGGTCCACTTGGTGAACAATGGCTGCCTTCGTAAAGATCCGGCTGAATGCTTGGACGTGACATCGCTGCTTGCGTTCCAGGTGTTGGGAGAGCCGGCGAAAGCATCAGCAAGCGACTTCGCTGATTGGCTGAAGCGCTATGCTGGCGCCGCCGGCGCATAGTTTCCCTACTCATGATCCGGCGGGTGCTTCGTGGATGACGCGCAGGGTGATCTGAAGATTTATTACCTCCAAGTCATGGTTTATTGACGGAAACATCATAACATCGATGCCGTAAGACCAAACGACAGGCCGTGATGATGACACAGCGATGCCTAGTCGGAATGAAACCCTTGGTGGAAAACCTTGCGGCCCGGAGATTTTGCCCGAAGTGTGCTGCAGCTAGCGAACAACTGTCGTGTGAGATTTCCTGTCGCAGCTATGAGGGATAGCATGGCAGACGGTTTCCTCTTATCTTACTAATGATTGCTAGCGAACGAAACTGATGCACGGGGTTCACACGGCTCTGTAGGCCCCACCTCGGTCGACCTCCCCCCGGCACCCCTGCAACAGTTTTATGACACCCTTATCTATAAGACCTTTATCGCAACACCTGTACAGTAAGATCCTTAAACTTCCAGCAAAAAATACTCCCCTCTCCCGTCATTGCTTGAATCCCAAATCCCGCTGTAAGACCTTACGTACCCCTACTACTGTAAGCTTTGATAAAGCCCCGCCACCAAGCCCCAAACCCTACAACACCGGAGACCGCAGGCAAGTCAGAGACGAGATTTCCGCCTTTGCGAAATCCGTATAGTATCTTCATAGCTGGAACACCCTAAGCCCTAAACCCGAGACCCTAAACCGGCGTGAAAGAACAGTCAAGACATTTCAACCCTTGCTAACTCCGCACAAGACCTTGATAACTTGACAACCCGACGCCCTAGACCCTAAACCCTGAACCTTCAATCCGAAACCCTAAACCTTAAATCCCAAACCCTAAACCCTAATCCCTAAACCCTTTAACCTTAAAACCCTAAACCCTAAACCTTAAATCCCAAACCCTAAACCCTAATCCCTAAACCCTTTAACCTTAAAACCCTAAACCCTAAACCTTAAATCCCAAACCCTAAACCCTAATCCCTAAACCCTCTAACCTTAAACCCTAAACCTTAAATCCCAAAGCCTAAACCCTTCACGCCTGGTCCGAGGCCAAAGAGCTCCCGGAAGTGCCGGCCGTGGATTGGACGGAAGTCGATCTTGGAGGCCTCGCCGATAGCTTTAGGGGTTTGGGTTTAGGGTTTAGGGTTTAGGGTTCAGGGTTTAGGGTTTAGGGTATATCGAAGCCCGAAACTCCTCCGTTCGTGTGCGTATGCATACCTGTGCTCTTCGAAGCCCTGTAGGGCCTAATAACATCAACGAACTAGTTGATGGACAAAATCCTGCATGACCTTAAGGACCCTAAATTATGGGAATTATGGTATATTCCTTAAAATGGGTAATGCAGGATTTTGTCCATCAACACTACCTCGCCAATCTGGGGCTCCTTTGGCATGATTTCCTTGTAAAGCCTTTAGGGTGGTAGGAAAACTAGGGTCCAGGTAGGAATTGAATTTCTAGTTTCAGTGTGCATAGTTAAAGTTTTAGGGTTCAGGGCTTAGGATCAATGCTATGGCTGTTGACAGAAGGCTTAGTGCTCAAGGCTCAGGGCCTAGGGTTCTGGGCTCAATTAAGGTTCAGGGTAGTAGGACTCAGAGCTCCGGGTCAAAGCTTCACCCTCCAAATTCCTTGAGCGGTGGTAGGGTTTGTGGGGTATAGGCTAGGGTGTAGCCTTAACCCTACACGTGGACGCTTATGGCTGCTTGCAAGTGGCGTTGCAAGTAACTATACGGGCTACAACAAAAGGCATGCTGGTTATGACCCTACCTGTAGCTACCCATGACCCTCACGCAATTTCAATGCTGTCAACCTGTGCAGATGCTCCGGCAGTGGCTGCCAGAGTGAGCATACCTTAGCTAGTTGCAGGAGTAGTAAAGAAGACAGCGCCCTTGCGCACCCAAGTCGTGAAACCAACTCTAAGACCAACACCCTACACCCCGGCACCCAAACCCTAGAACCCTAAAGCCCTAAACCTTTTGACAGCCTACACCCTAAACCTTGACTCCTTAATGCATAAAAAAGGGGGGCCTCGGAACTTCTCCGGGGCCCTGCCGTGCACGTTGCATCCGAGTCCCATCCACTCCGAAGGAGTGGACGAGGCGTAGACCTCTAGGGCACTCTAGGGCCGAAGTACCAAAAACAGGGTTCTGAATCTATGTATGCGTGTATACATATACATATACATATACATACACAATATACATATATACACATACAGATTGTTCTTTTCAGCGGGTGTCCAACAGAGGTTCCATAAGGGCAGTCTAAGGGTTTGATACTAAAGATGTTGCTGTGACGGAATGTCTAAAGGCCAACAGGCAAGTTTTCAGAGAGCCTGAAAGGAGCTTGAGGGCAAAAAAAGCACCAAGGTAAGTGGCTATATATGGTTTTGGAACGGCTTTTTCCGGGGTTTCATAAGGGTCTTGCAAAGCGTTACCGGGAATTCCACAATGAGGGCTCCATAAGCCCTAAGCCCGCAGACCACTCAACCCTAAACCCCTAGCTCTAACCCCCGACACTCTTCGGGGGATCCATGAAGAGATCTTCTCCTGGCGAGGGGTCGCAAAGGTCGTCGGGGGGTCCAAGAACCCTGAACCCAAAAGCGTAGGCAAAGGTATCCTTGGATCGGGGTTTTTGAGTATGTAGTAATCGCTTATTGAACCTTGGACACTGCCACCTTCAACCCTAAGCCCAAGATCGCGAAACCATAAACTTGCCATTTAAATCCCCAATCCCAAAGCTTGCACGCGAAAAAACAGCCACAGCCCTCATCCCAAAGCCTTTAGCTTGAACCCGACACCAACTGTTTAGTTCATGGTCCTTTTGTTTTGGTACTTCGGCCATTCATGGAATAGTTGAGACGCTCCTTCCGAGAAGGAGTATCATCGTGGAAGGTCTGGTCATCAGTTCAAGGTGTAGTTTAGAGAAACACCCCTGAACCCTGCACCCTAAGCCCAAAAAGCCTAAACCCTCAGCTTCAAACCCTGAACCGGTATACGTGAGGTTGTAGGTAGGGTACGGTAGCTATAGTTATAACCCATATTACGGGACGTTTAACTGCACGTATAACTACGCATGAACTTCCAAGTAGGCTCCAAGACTCCAAAAGCCCTTTCGCTTTACAAAAGTATTTACCCAATATTGAGGATCCCTCCAGAGTTGGAGGTGTATTCCTTTCAGTCTCCGGAAGGCCAAGCCCTCAAGAAAGCGGCCCTGTATAGGGGTTAACATACAGAAAGCTTGCTTGGTACTTAGAAGAGGGTGGGTTGAGGCTTGAGGGTACTGGGAAGATGGTTTGGGAGTGTTTTGGAAAGTGGACAGTACTTTCAACGACAATTCCAAAAGCCCTGTAGAACCCTGAAGGAACCGTCATAGATTGAGGGTACACATACCTTAGAAGCCGTCGCTGCGCATTCGACGGATTGTTTAGCTCCAAACCTGTGCGGCGGACGCTCAGCGAAAACACAAAAAGGGACCGTCAAAGGGTTCAGCTTATGTTGGTATGATTAAGGGTTAAGGGCGTAGGATTTAATTCACGCGCCTCAATAAATAAGTAATTAGCGTTTTGTTCGCTAGATGAAGAGTCGTAGAGGTTTTTTTGGAACTCAAACACCGCGGCAACATCTGGAAGCTGGAATAATTAGAAACGTATCCCGCTTTAGTAGGATTTGTCGACGCATGTTCTTAAGTTTTGATGTATTTTGAGGATTTTGTAGTAGAGCTTTATACGGACGTACGGCACATGCCATTACTACTGATTCCGACACATGTAACAAAGCACAGTGTTGCTATGGAGGCTGGACGGCAGGTTCCGAATGAATGCTTAATATCTATTTCCCAACCCCAAAGTTCGAAACCCTAAAGCCCCAAGCCCAAACACCCGTAAGCCACAAAGATTTGAACCCGAAATCCAAGTACGTACATGCAGCTATTTTGCTGACCTTTGACCCTGGGATTGCGTTGAGGGATCATCGGGATTAGAGTGGGGCTCAAGGCTTTTGGGTTAAGGTTCAGTGTTGACTTGGAGTTCGAAGATTGCTTAGAAGTAAGGTGACACGTACCCGTCACTTTGGCAGCATTTCCAACTCCATACTTATGCGTGGATTCCCCACACACACACACACACCCCAACCCTAAACCCTAAACTCTAAACCCTGAACCCTCCGATAGGCACTCTGCAGTTCGAAAAGGAGCCCTTAAAAAACAAAAAAACCCTGAACCCTTAACCCTGAAACCAATTCCCCTGCGCAGCTGGTTGGAAACTCCGTGGGGCCGCGCGTGGTGGTCGACCCGTTGGGCCCCTGGCTGTCTGCGAGTTTATCTTTTGGGGGTTGACGGCTTGGGGTCGGAGGTTGATGATATGGGAGTTTCCGAAAATTGGGGACCCTGCTATGGTACCGTAAGTAGTAGGATCCTTATTATAAGGACCCCTAAATAAGGTACCCCAAGTTTTCGGAAACTCCCATATAAATCCCGCATTTCCCAAAATCAGGAATATGCCATAATCCCCATGGTTGAGGGTGCTTAGGGCAATGCAGGATTCGTTTCATCAACAGTAGTAGAGGTGTCTTAATAATAATGGCCAGTAGTTCCCACCCCGGGAATCTAGATACGTTACAACGTACACCGAAAGAAGCTCTAAAACCCTAGCGGTGGTGTTGTCTTGCAGTTCACATTTCAAGTGGCGGTTGGCTTCGACACATTTGGACGCGCTTTGCTTCAGGGCTTGGGGCAACCGCCGTAGCTTAAAGAAGTCGGCGGAGGTTTCTTAAACTGGGGGTAGGCACCACTTTAGGGGGCCTTGTATCAAATATTAGGGTCCTACCAGTTGGGGGTTAACAATGTGGTGTCATTTTCTGAACCTTTCAGTCTAAGCTCAGTTTGGCTCCTATGTAAAAAGAATAGAACTTATCAAACTCCGATATGCAGCCACGTAAAGCGTTGTAGACTTCGATGAACGTGCTGATGAGCCCGAACCCATGCTCATGCTCAACCATATACTCTGCAAGCCCAATGCCCCAAAGACCCCCCCCAAACCGCCGAAAGCCAACATCCGCAAATCTTCCAAAGCCCCAGACACCGAAAAACTCCGACACCCCAAAGCACCAACCCCACAAACATCCAAGACACCGCAAACCCCTACACCCCAAAAACAAGTTAAACTCCGGCCAAAACCACCCAAAAAACCCCAAACCTAGCCCAAAACCTCCATAGCAACCCTTCAAATGAACCCTTAAAACCTTTGGTCGCAACCCCTTAAACACCCTTACCCTGTTGCTCAAAATGGCTTAAAAGCCTTATATAATATGGACTTTAGGCCCAAAAGCCTTAAAAGCATGAGTCCTTAGAGCCTTAGGGTTAAACGGAACACCCGAAACTCTGAGGCCGTTACACCCTAAACCTTAGGAGTCGTAACCCTTTAGGAACCCTTAAAGGAACACCCGGAGAAACTCTGAGGCCGAACCTCGATTTCGGGAACGTGAAGTGCTTGGAGCCCATCACAAGGTCGCCTGGCTGCGATTTGGTCCGAGAGTTCAAGAATTTGGGGTTGGCATGTAGGGTTTAGGGTTTGGGGTTTTAGGGCTTTTAGGCTTCCTTTTCGGGGTTTTTAGGGTTTGGGGTCTAGTTTGGGGTTTTAGGGGTTTAGGCTTGATTTTCGGGGCTTTTGGGGTTTGGGGTCTAGTTTGGGGTGTGGGGTTTTAGGATCTCGTTTGGGGCTTTAGGGTTTGGGGTTTATGGTTTTCGGGTTATAGGGGTTCCATTTGAAGGGCTCGTTCAAGGGATCTATGGAGTCTACTATAGACTACAGGGGTTTTAGGGTTTAGTTTGGGGTTTGGGGTGTTAGGGTTCAGGGCGACGCAGCAACTGCATGCAGTTCTTTTTTGGCAACCCTTCATTATGCAACTACATCATCACATATCCCCAAAGCTCTGTTGTAACTAACGAGGCTCCTACATTAGGCGTCGGGGCGCAGGTTTGTAGATTTGAATGTCTCTGCAGCTGTGGGCGAGCAGTTGTGGATGGCGTGCTGGCACGGCGATGATTAGGGCTACTTCATGATATCCCTGTAATGTTTTGGCTTTGATGTGGCGAACAGGGCTTGGGGGTATATGAGTTGTACAACTTATTTTAAGGAACCCGGAGGAACAGTATTGACAATGATTCAGGCCACGAAAGTACGCACTGCCCTTTCTAGGAAGTCTGGCTCTGCCACTTTTGCCTGCTGGGCTTCCATCCCGGAAGCCATTGCTTGACCTTTCAGAACCATTCTACGACGGCTTTGAGGCTTTGAGGATCTGACCGAAACCCGAAAGCCCATGAGCTTAAGCCTCAATTCTTCTGAAGCGGTGAGTCGGGTAGCTGGCAGCCAAGAGGTCTGACTTTGTAGAGTGTAGCACTGTCGGAGTTAGTGACATGAAACGCTAAAGTGCTAAAGTTCCATTGCGCTCGCGAAGTCGGTTTAGTAACTGTGCATCAGCCGATAAGCCGATCGGCTGATCACCTGGACGGCTTGCACTCCAGGTCAAGACTGGCTGCTCGGCTGATCGGCTTATCGGCTGATCGGCTGATCGGCTTATCGGCGTATCGGCTGATCGGCTTACTATTCTGATCGGCGAGTTGGGAACAGAGCATCCATGCCCAAGGCCAAGACCTAATGACGTCCATGGTGTAGTGTGAGTTGGGAACAGAGCATCCATGCCCAAGACCTAGTGACGTCCATGGTCTAGTGCGACCTCATAACGTCCACGGTCTACTGCTCTTTGGGAAAAGAGCTGCCATGTCAAAGCACCCATGTCCAAGACCTAATGACGTCCATGGTCTAGTGCGACGGCTGATCGGCTGGATCATGTCCAAGGCCTGATGACGTCCCTGGTCTACTGCGAGCTCCCATGTCCAACGCCTATAACGCCTGATGACGTCCATGGTCTACTGGGAAAAAGCTCCCATGTCCAACGCCCGATGACGTCCATGGTCTACTGCGATTCGGGAACCATCCATGCCAACGCCTGATGACATCCATGGCTTTAAAGTTCGAGTTCCTAAACCCTAAACCCTTGGGACCTTAGCTCCCAAGCCCCAGAAGCCTTAAGGCCTGAACGCCCCAAGCCGTGGCATGGCACATTCTCAAAGAACGAAATTCCACGATTTACCCTATGGGGCTTGGATGTAGGGTCCAGGGAGTACAAGTTTTGAGCTTAGGTTCTGTAAGTTTTCAATTTGGCATCTGGGGTGCAGAGTTTCGGGCTTTTTGAGGCGAAGTTACCATGCACCCCTCATGCCTCAGTAGACTTCGTCCATCGTAGCTTCGAAGGCACGTCCGGTTGACGAACTTCTCGTGCATCGACGCTTCGGTGAGGGCCTTCATGAACGAGAGGAAGTCCCTTCCGGCATGTTGATTCTAGGTGTTTAGGTTTAGGGTCTGCTAGAGGTACTATAGGGGCGTGAATAATTACCTATACTACTTCGGGGGCTCCTTATTAATTATTGTAATTATCGTATATATAATGGGCCCCAAAACCTTATCCCAATTATTAAGGCCCCTACATTACCTTTCCACGCTTTGTATGTTGGGGTTGAAACGGATATGTAAATGGCAAAAAGATACTCTGGGTATTCAGGTGATACTGATTGGGGCCTCCCGGGTTTGGGGCTTATGGAAGAGTGCTGCTTGCAGCAGGAGCTTTAGCACCTTTTGGCACTTGTAGCAATGCTTCCTGTATTCGTTCCATTGCTTTAAGATTAATGCAGAGCCTGGTGGGATACCCCGCCCGCCCGTGTTTTTTAGCACCTCTGTTGTATCTCCTTACACCTTAAACCCCTAAACCCTAAGCCCCTAAACCCTAAACCCCTAAACCCTAGGCCCGAATCCCTAAACCCCTAAACCCCTAAACCCTAAACCCCTAAACCCTAGGCAGAGCCCTACCCCGACCCTGCACCTAGAGTTCACAGCTGTTGGCCTGGAGAAGGCATCCCCTTCCGACAAGGATCCTCTGATCAAGAGGTTCGCCGCTTGTCTGAAGCGCTGAACACGAGAACAAGGGATGCCGACACCACCCCGGCATGTGATGCCTCGGGCTCCGCAAGCTCCCGCTCTGAACCTTCTCGCCCGACACCGGAGGCCCGGCCACGGACGAGGCCTACTTCCGGGAATGAGACCTCCACTGATGCCGGTTCGAGAACCTCCCCTATGACGATGAACGAGGCCCTGGACCTCTGGCTCATTGTCCTGGGCATGACGCACGAAGACGCGGAGCCAGGAAGTTTCCCTACAACATTTCAATATAATATCATCTCGGAAACTGTCTTGGGTTTTGGCCTCCAGGACAGGGTGACGTTCATGGCAGGGTTGACACGGGTGACCACGCGTATCCTGGAAGCTGTCGGCAACCTGGTTGCCTTGGCACTGGCAGTGCACGGGCAAATACAAGCCGCTGCGCATGCATTGGTTGTGGTACGGGGTCCTCATGCGCACATCCGTGATCTGAAGGTGCGCCGTGGACTGGGATGCCTTTTCCAAGGTGTTCCCAAGCCAATGGGAAAAGGCTGTGGGAGACTTCGGCAGTGCAGCGGCCGTCAAGGCCATGCAAACGCCGTGCTGTGGTATGAACTATGCGCCGTACAAGGACTGCATTTGCAAAGTGGGCTTGGGTAGATTTTGACTTTGGGATGTTGGGAGGACGGTCCGGGCATGATGGTCGAGCTCCTCCTCTCCTCCAGTAGCCAATCTGCCTCAGGCAGCGGCGCTGGAGGGGGGGAGGAGTGGGTCTCGATGCCATCGGAGGTTCTCCCCGAACAGGCCATGAACCGCCTCGCAGAGGCGACAGCGGAGTGGCACAAGGCCCACCCACTAACGTGTGGTTTTTCAACGGTGAGGGCTGCATACTTGCGAAGGCGATGACTTTGTCCACTCCGGAGTTGTGGGACACCATCCTCAAAAGCCAGGTGCATCCCAGCAACTACAACACGGCTATCATTGAAGGCCTAGACTGCCATTGTGCCCTGGCAGGATAAGGGTTGATTTGTGCAGGCAGGGGTGAAAACTCGATGACGGTTGAGGCATCGGCAAATTCCTTCTCGCGGACTTCCGCGCCAAAGGGGGAGCGGCCATTACGATTGGGCAATGGCTGAAGTGGTTCATGCAGATGGAGGCATGGGCCAACAACACCCTTTCAACGGGCAAGTTCCCCACGCTAACACTGCTCAAACAGGATTGCGAAAAATACATTAAAGGGCACCCGAACTGCTGATCGTCATAGGGCCGTCAATCGTCCGCAGGACGCGACGGTGCAGCTAGGCTAGGAAGGGTACATACCATGCACATATTATGTAGTACCAGCAGATGCTCATCAGATCATTTTTTGCAATCTTGATTGGAGGTGATGTTTCGAAGCGTCAACCATCCACAGGATGCGACGCGGAGAACATCATTTCCTGCCGCATTTCATTGAAGGGGTGCTGTTTCGACGCGTCAATCATCCACAGGATGCGACGCGGAGAACATCATTTCCTGCCACACGGGGCTCGCCGCAGCGTCAAACGTCCACAGGACGCGACGCAGAAGGCTTGTCCCCGCACAGGGTACAGTTCGTCCTACCATCGTTAGATGTGCAATCCATGTGTCCATATACACACTAAATTGTTGATATTGTTGTTATTGGCTTGTTTCTGCACGTGTTTGTCCAGACAGTCTTCCCACTGTTGTGCGGGCACTCGCGGGCGCAAACAACGACGGTGATTTTAGTTGCGGGTTTGAAGCATATAACGCGTCGACCATTGATTGCACGATTGTTCGCCCCTCCTTACAGCTCGGCACCTTGGCTCACAGCTCCATTCGCCAATGGCGTGCCACGGTGCCGCTGCACGGGACCCAGTTTTAGTCGACCAGGAGGAAGCTGGACTTATGCAGACACATCTCGCCGCGAAGGGATACCTGCGGACACGCAAAATGCCTTGTGGTTCCAGTACCTGGCTGAACTGCGCGAGCAGCTTGAGGCCATGTGCCCGGAAGACCGATGCTCTTTCTCGCTCCTCCTCTTACGGCTCCTGGATTGGAGATGCACCAATACGGCAGGCGGCCATGTGTTGGGGCATGTCAGATGACGGGCACAAGATCTCCTTGCACTCCTCACGGTCGCGCACGACGACCAAAAGTACCAGGTGCCCGACGGTATCATCCATTGCGAAGATAATTTCCTAACCGACTCACATGGTACTGCCCGGCATTGTACCATATAACTATTCACAACACATTTCTGGACAAGGAGATCTTCCAGATCTCACCGCACCCACCATTGCAACATCACTTTGACGTCTACACAGACGTATGTGCTCTATTACCTGCCTATACATGGGCTTTCACGCAATGGGGCCGCATCCCACGCGCTTACATTCTACCCAAGCGCAAAAAGCTATTTGCAAAAGGCCGCCCCATAGTGGCGTTTATTGACACCATGGGCAGAAAACTCTGGGAAGCACTGGCTGACGTCTTGCAGCTGATGACATTTCAGGCATGTCCAGATTCATTTCATCAGGGGGATGGCATCACCCAGCTCAAGCAAACAGCACTTTTTCTGAGACAGCGACAAAAGCTGCGGGACACAACGGAATATGTCCTATACAATCGGACAGGGAAGATGAGCAACAGGCGGAAGCTGAGCAAGAAAGGGTTGAAAGAGAAGAACTCTACCTCAAAGGGCTGGTTAACGAACACATCCTGGAGCAACAACGTGAAGAAGGGCGACGCTATCAGGAATGGGAAAACTTTGTCTTGGCCCGAGCCATGGAGGCACCGCGACACCGAAAACGGCGGCAATGCCTTCAAGTGGAACTCAGCTCCAGCAGCACGGGCCGCCCGGTTCGAGCCAGGCGAGTCCAAGTGCCACCGCAAGCAGGGGTGGACGTGCAATTCCGTATGGTGGAAGCTGATGACACCAGCGAGGCTGAAACCGAAGTGGCTCAGGAAGTACCGGCTGCCCAGAATCGGTGGTTGACATGCTCCAGCTGCAATGGGCAATGGGACAGACAGAAACGGCGCCTACGCAGCCACTCCATGACAGGCCTTGGCAAGATATCGACCGCGCCCACCGGCAGTGGGTTAGTGGTGCCCTCACTGATGACGCGGTGATACAGCACTTTGGAAGCAATGTCCTTGAGCTCTTCCAGGCCCAACGTGACCTGCGCCAGGAAAGGACTTGGCATCGGGAGGACTTGGATGCAGGGTTTGGGGCTATGGCAGAACCGGGCGACAATGAGGTGATCTCGGCGGTCGACAACGAGGCTCAGGTGCAACAGGCTGTCGAGGACGTCCTCGCAACAGGGCCGGGGGTGGCATCGACTGACGGCAATGACGGAGGCAATGACCGTGCTTTGTGGCCGTTGGCGTGTATGCCGAATGATGCTGTCGACCAGGGTGACTAGTGAACCATGTACACGTATCGGAATCCTGGGTGAGGCTTGCTGAGGCCGACTACGCCGTGGATGTATGTGTGTTTTCCTGTCGGGACCGTAAATGTCCGGACCTCCTGGCTTGCTGAAGCCTCGCAGACCTCTCGGGCGAGGCAGAAAAGTAGCTTAAACAAAAAAAACCTTAAACCCCTAAACCCAGGATCCTGAGGAGGTGTGTCCGAGCTTTCCTTCTGGCAGTTCAAGAATCGTTTCCAACATCACCTGCTCTCCGGCCCAAATCCTGCGGTTAGGGCTTAGGGTTTAGGGGTTTAGGGTTTAGGGTTGTTCACGGCTTTACAGGTGGTGGGCTTCTTGTGGCATCATCGGAGATGATACCTTTGGGCTTACGATGTACGGTTCAGGTTGGTAGCAGAGTGTGGGGGATAGGGTGTAGGGTTTAAGTAGTAGGGTTTGGGGGCAGCGGGTGTGGGGTTCAGGGTCCAGAGCAACGTCTTGGCTCCTTGGTAGCAATAGTCTACTCATGGTTCGGCAACTCTTGCGCTCCATTCGACCCTGCAAAGACAAGCGCCCAAACAGTGTGCGAACCAGATCTGCTTCGTCTCATAGCTGAGAGCGGTTGCAGCTCCAGTAGCATTGGAATAGCGGCGGTACATGTTGAAGTTCCGCTTTTCGAAGGTACCTGACACAATTGTTTGTGTTGGTAGTCGAACCTATAATCTAAGCTCGAAACCTTCAATTCCACAGATATGTTACCATACGCCTGAACAAAGCGTGGTACCCCGGGACAAAAGATCTAACCTTCACAAAAGACCCAGGCCCTAAGGTGGGTTTTAGAGTTTACGGTTTAGCTAGCGTTCAGCCAGCTCCACTGAACTCGAAACCCCAAAGGCCAAACTGACGAAAACCAAGCCAAACCCGAAACTCGAGCCCCAAATCGGCTGATGCCACGAAGCAGCTTTGAGCCAGGTCGCTTTGGACCGTCCACCCGAAAGTCATCCACCTCTCGCCTCAGGAGCACCAAGGGCTAATCAGGAGTTTCGGAATTAATTATGCGGTTTTGGTAAGGCTTCATGCGCGTTCAGGGTGTAGAGTTTAGCGGCCTATGGGGTATGGTAAGGATATAGGGATATTCTTATTGCACCAAGGGCTCACGGTAGTCCTACATGTGCCCATGTTAATTAGGGGTCGTTTTGGGGATCCCGCTAATGAGCTTGCCGAGGCGCTTGCGGCTCCACAGTAGGTTAAAGGTTTAGGGTTTAGGATTTAGGGTCCTTTTGGGACTCCTTTAAGTGCTTCCTTTAAGGGTTTCTTGTTGGGGGATCCCTCCTCCGAGCCTGGAAAGGAGCCCTTATAGATCTCTTTAAGGAACCCCTAACACTAACGGATCCCTTCAAGGAGCCCTTAAACCAACCCTTAGTGGGGCTTGTTCAATTGCTTCCTTTTGGATCCCTGAACCCTAAACCCTAAAACCCTAAACCTTAAAACCCAACCTAAACCCTAAAACCCTAAAACCCTAAACCCTACACCCTAAAACCCTAAAACCATAAACCCTAAAACCCTTAACCCTAAAACTCTAAGACCCTAAACCTGGAAGCTCCAAGGAGACCCTGCAGCTGGCTCTGACGCTCCGCATGGATGAGACCTGCCAGTCGGTAGCCTGGGCCTCGGCCGGTTTAGGGTTTAGGGTTGGGGGTTCCTTTAAAGGGTCCCTGAAAGGGGTCTATAAGGGATCTTGAGTCGGTTTAGTCGGGTTCTATAGTGGTGGCCTTACAAATTTCCGATACATTTTTCGGGGGTTCCTGATTATATTTATACTAGAATGGGCTTTGGCTTTGGCGTATGGGGGGTGAGGGTTCAGATTTTGGGGAGGGTTCCTTCGAGGGGTCTTATGAGGGTGCAGAGTTTAGGGGCTAGAGGTTTCAGAGCTCCTTTGAGGGGCCTGATGGGGGTTGCGGTTCAGTGCAGTTTCGGAGGCTTGGGGGCTCTGGTCTCTTTGAGATTCAGCACGCTCCAGAGTGTGCCGCTTCTGGTGTTTTCCTAGATCCCCGTAGCTGTTTTGGGTTACTATGGAGAAGAAACCCAACCTGGTTCTCGGGCCATGAGGAACACGCCCTGTAGAAGCCCGATATAGAACCAGGAGGTTTCGGGGTTTGGTTGTCTGGGCGCATTTAGGGGTTTAGGGGTTTGGCAAACAAACTCTAAACCGACAAGCCCTCTGAGGACACATTGAATCTCATCGTGGCCGAGGGTGACGATTTGACTGTCCAGGCATTGACATTGAGTACTGGTTCAGGGGCTGGCAGAGAGTACAAAATGTGGAGCATGCAAGGGCGGTAGAATGGCTTTCACTGCTTCTCGTCTATCAGGGCTAAAAAAGGCGTAACAAGTGTTCTGTAAGTACACCCAGCCAGGGACCCTGTGTCCCAAGCTTCCAAGAAGATGGGGATAGAGGTCCGGCCCCAAAAGACCATCCTTGGTGGTGTGGGTTTGGGGGCTTAACTCCTTCATGGTAGTATATAAGGACCCTCTTGGATAAAACCCTAACCCTAAACCCAATCAAGCCCGAAGTAAGCTCGAAGTCCTAAGATGCCGAAAGGCGAGGATTCTCACTTGGAAGAACCCCGTAAGGCGAATTATGGTTTAGGGTTTAGGGTTGATTGTCAGATGACTTTGATGTGGTCTCGATGCCGCTGTCAGTGCCCTTAGCTCCCAAACCCTAAACCCCAAACCCCGAACCATACACCATGAACCCATAACCCTAAGCCTTTGCTCCCGAAGCCTAAGCCTTACACGGGTCCCCAGCAACATGCAGCGTTTGACTCTGCCCAGGGATGAATACTTTGGGTCCCCGGCCCTGTTCCGTCAACCCCAGGCCGTAGAATCCCAGACCACATGGGGTTTGGGATTTAGGTTTTAGGGGTAGAGTCAAGGGGTTTAGGCTGTTTAGAACTTAGGGCTTAGGGTTAACGACTCAAAGAGTTTAGGATTCAGAGTTTAGAGTGTAGGGTCATACACTGCATGGCTTGGCAATTCGGAATTTCCGTATTTGTGACGGCCACGGGCGCTCCAGCGCCGAACTGAACTTCTCGCCGCTTGCAAAATCAGTCGATGCCCGGATTTACGGGGTGGCGGGCGTTTCGCATTGCCACACTCCGCCAACCAGATCTTGAGCTTTGAAGACAATGTTCTGCAGGGTTTGGGGGTTTGAAGGTTTAGGGTTAAGGGTTTAGGGTGGGCGGAAAGGTTTAATTAGGGTTTTTAAGGTTTAGGGCGTTAGGGTCTAGGGCTTTACGGTTCAGGGTTTAAGGCTTTAACCTTAGAGTTTAGGGCTGGCTTAGGGTAGGGTACCATTTGCATAGCGAAAGAGATGCCAGCCAGCTACTATCTGTTCTCCAGTGCTATGTCGGTGAAGCAGATCAAATCTCTGCTCAGCTGACAGAGCTGCCAAATATGTCTAGAAGCCTCTTGGGATGGCCTGCTGCTGAACACATATGGGAGTTTCGGAAAATTAGGGGTACCTGATTTCAGGGTCCGGGTAATAAGGATCCTGCTAGGCACTATATATTAGGGTCCCCTATTTTCGGAAGCTCCCATATGCTGGAGTCCAACATTTTGTGAGCAAGTGTTGTCACAGTTGGCAGTCGGGCTAAGTCGTAGTTGGTTGGTTTTGCGTACATACTTTCTATGTGGCAGCTAGACAATGCTCACCCGGTCACCCCTCGCTCCATACGTCTTGAAAATCCGCGCCCACCCCAAAAACGAAAGCAGAAAGACGATACTCATGCCCTAAACACTTGTAAAAAGAAAAAGGTTGTCTTAGTGGAGCGCCAGGTGCGAGGCAAAGGTGGAGCGACTGCTGCCGACACACCGGTCACCTGTGACGAGGTGGGTGGCTTTTGATTTTGGGCTTCTTATGTAGGCTTAACTTGTCTTGGGCAAGGATACTCAGCCGCTATGGCTTAGGGTTTAGGAATTTTTGGTTGACAGGCCGAAAAGGGCTTGGATGCACTGGTTTAGGTACTGAAGCTGGGTCTACCGGTACGAATGTTTATTGATACCTTAGGCCGAGCTGCGTGAGACATGGGCTGTAGATACTTGCCCAAAGCCCCCTAGGTAGTTCCTTTTGGGGGTTCATATATAGAATCCTAGAAGGTAATCCCAAAGAGGAACTACTATGGGGCCTCTGGGTAAACCTTGCAGTAGCGCTATGAACTCCATTGACGCCTGTAGGTCATGTGAGGATCGTGCTCAGGATTTCGGCCTTGAGCCCCAAAAATTTCTTTGGACAGCAACTGCTAGCAGCCACGCTTTTAAAGGGAACTCCAGAAAGTTGGAATATGGAATAATGGCAGGATCCCCTATAAATTAACTTGATAGGGATTATGATACTGCTATTCCGACTTTCCGGCTTCTACTGCATGACTGCCCCTGATCCAAGTTGAGATGCCCATAAGCAGACCTTAGGCCCTGAACCTGAAGAGGAGCGCCTCAGAGGTCTTGAGTTCAGAAGCGGGTTTAGGGTTTTTAGGGTTTAGGGTTTAGGGTCCAGAGATCCCAATACCCCTTAATTAAGGAATATACCTGGAATCATAATATTAGGGCCTCTATAATTTAAGGTATATTCCTTAATTAAGGGGTATTGGGATCTCTGGGAATCGTGCGGCTTCTACCTGCCATACCTGGGCCCCATGAGTTGAGTTCCTCATCGTCCCGTGCTGTCGCTCGCGCTTTTTCATCGTGTTCTATTCTTGCCACTGCTCTTATGATTGTGAGACGTAGAGCTTAAGCTTCTAGGATTGGAGTGAGCGTATTGCCCCTACGAAAACCCCAAACCCTTACTGAACCCTCAACCTTAAACCCTAAACCCTCAACCTTCAACCCTAAACTTGGTTGAGGGAGGTTTTCGGGCTTGCGCGGTTGATTCTTAGAGTCCCCCGAAGCCCTGGACTTCTCCAACAAGCATCCTAAAGTAGAGCCCCCAAACATGCAGAGGGCTTTTTTTCTACGCACTGCTCCTAAACCTTAAAACCCCAAAACCTTAAACCCTGCAGCCAATCAGCAGAAAGCTTGACCCTGAATCCTAAACAAACTTCAGGAGCTGGACTTCCTCGACTTTGGCACACACTTCACGACGCAGACCTGCTGCCGTGAGGCTGCAGACGAAGTCTGGAGTTCGGAGGTTTAGGGCTTTCAGGAGATCTTGAGGGTCTACAGGTTTTATTTTTATTTTTGGGAGTTCTGTCTACAGGGTCTACAGGTTTTAGGGTTTATGCTTTTTTGTGGAGTTCTGACATCAGCACATCCTTACGCCGTGACAGCCCGTTCTACACGCCAGCATGAAACCAGTGAAAGCCCAGCCCAGCAGAGGGCACAAGCTTGAAATTTCAATTCGGTGTGTATGGCTCCCTACTAGCAAGTATTTGGGGTGTAGAAGAGACGCTTAGCCGAAAAACCTGCTGGCGATTATGAGGGTAGATAGAGAATCGTGGTCCAGTATGTCTTCGGGATGTGTCCCGAATATCTTATCTAGTGCTCCGAACAACTACCTGTAGTATTCCTTTGGTTCCTTCGAGTGGTTCCTTATATTGCTCAAACTATATTGTACCCCAGGCCCCAAAGCCATGTTCGAGTTATTCTAGATATTCAGGTCCTTGTAATTCTAGGACAAAGAGTAAGCCCTTATTCCCTTTTTTAGGGTTCAGTTTCCCTTATAAGCCCCTTTAAACCAAAAAGGGCACCCTTTTTATTCCTAGGTTACTCTTAGGTCTAGTAATTCTTCCACCCAGAGCCCAGCTCCTGCTCAGATCATCATCAAGAACCACGGCCAGTTTGGTCGGAGACTGTCGTGGTCCAAGGATAAGGCCATCGAGCGATTCGAAGAGAGTTTAGGGTTGAGCGATGTTGAGCGTTTAGGGTTTGGGGTTTGGATTTGGGGTTGAGGGTATTACTGCTGCAGCCCAAACCCACCCAAATTAAGCTGCAAACTACGACCCGGATCTAGAAATCCGAACCCTGAACCCCTAAACCCCTAAACCTAGCTAAGCCTTGAACTTGGGTTCCAGCGTGTCGGGCCAGCGAAGTAGTCTTCGTATCCTGGTTGTAGCAGACTGGTCGCATTTTACTGCCAAGTCTCTTGCAGTCTAAATCGACAACCTGAAGCATGTCAAGGAACCTGAAGATTGAAATTCTGCGATCCGAACACCCTACGCCGAGCCCTCGAAGCCGTCAACAGCTGCTGCTTCTGTAGTGGCTGCCAGCCAACTCATCGACAACTCCGTGGGCCCTAAAACCAAGAATCTGCACCTTAAGCTCTGAATCCTGAAACCCAGACCCCACATCTTGAACCTTAATGCCTAAGCCCGAATGCCTTGAACCCCAAACACTGAATTTTGAGGCCCGTCTGGCTACCCTTGACACTGAACTAAACCCTAAATCCTTAACTTATGGTTCTCTTTTGGTATCCTCCTGCAGCTCTGCCAGGACAAAGACAAGAAGAACAAAGACAAGAAGGAGGACCTTCTTCTGCCAGCCCAGAACCCTAAAAGCTGGTATAGGGTATTCGACGGTTTTAGTTACCTATACTGTTGTCGGAGGTCCTGATTACAGCTATCGTATATTGGGCCCCAGAAACCTATTCCAATCATTACGGCCCCTGTATTATTGCTGAATTTGCAATATCCTTCCCGTGAGCTTTTCCAGACCACAGCCCTCTTCTTGAAGGCCTTAAACGGGTTGTCTGCAGGATTCATGGAGGTTGTGTGATAGTTGTACAGGCCGTAACAAGCATATCATAAGTGCTGCGCACCGAAATTGTAAACCTCAACCAACGCGGACAAAACCCCCCAAACCGCCGCGGAACCCGTATCGAAGACGAAAGCAGCGAAGCTCATGCTCCTTAACCGCAACTCGTAAACCCTACCACACCCCATGCTAAAACATAATTCTGAACAAACTGAACCCAGACCAGGAACCCTAAGCGTAAAGTAACAATCTAGCAAGCCCGGACGTTTTGAACCCGCAAGCCTACCAAAACCTAAAGCCCCACAGAACTCCAGAAATTGTTGAAGCCCCAAGACTCCGCAACCCTAGAGTTTAAAACACAAAAACGCCGAACAAAACTAAGAGTCCGCCCCAAACTCGAAAATTTGGGTTTAGGGTTTAGGGTTTAGGGTTTAGGGAAATCCTGAAACTGGGAAGCCACACCAACAGGAGCCGAAGCGGCAGCGGAACAAGAAGGAGGTGGAGGCGCGCTCTGGGAGTTTTTGGGAGTCAGGAGGGCTTTTCCCAAAGGCTCCATGTACCCTTATAGTAGATACTTAAGCCCCAAAGTAGTCCCTATATAGGTACTTTAAAGCCTAAGTATCTACTATAAGGGTACATGGAGCCTTAGGGTTTGGAATCATGGAGACAGAGATCAGGGGAGTTTTTGGCTTTCGAGCCTCGAGTTTAGAGAATTTCTGGAGCTTTGAGCCTTTCGATTTGAGTCGGTTCGGGTTTAGCCTATATTATAAAATCTCAGAGGTAGCATGGTGGCGGTGGTCGTGGCGGCGGAGCAGTAGCAGCATCATCGCCAGCAGCAACAGTAGCAAGAGCAGCAGTAGGAGGCATTGCATGAAGGCTTGTAGTTAAGGGCCTGTTTAGGTGCACCACCCATCGAAGTGCATGCCCCCAAACCGCGGCCAAAGAACCGCCTAAAGCCTGCACCCCGAAACCCCTAAACCCCAAACCCCTACAACCCTGAACCCTAAATCCCATCCATCCCGGAGCCGAAATGCGACTGGGTATCGAGCCCTCTGACTTGGTAGGTAATACGCAGGTGTATAGGGTTTAGAGTAATCCTGTTGATGGTATAAATCCTGCATTACTTTAAGGACCCTAAACTATGGGAAAAGTGGCATATTCCTTATTACGGGTAGTGCAGGATTTATGTCATCAACCGTACTACCATCTAGTTTCTAGATGTCGTACCTAACAAGGTAAAACTACCACACCTTAAACCCTAACCCTGAACCCTAAACCCTAAACCCTGAATCCTAAACCCTAAACCCTGAACCCTAAACCCTAAACCCTAAACCCTGAACCCTGAACCCCCTAAAAGAAGGCCCCTGTGGTTTTCCGCGTGGAGCCTGAGTCGGTGTTGCTGGACCCGAAGACGGCGTACAGGCCCCCTGCTTAGAGGATCATGGGACTTAGTAAGTAGGGGGTCCTTAAAGGGTTCCTTTAAGGGATATACAAGGGATCTATAAGGGTTCGATAAGGGGAGTTTAGGGTACTTAGAGGATCATGGGACTTAGGGTTCCTTAAAGGGCTCCTTAAGGGTGTAGGGTTTAGGGATCTATAATATAAGGGTTCTATAAGGTGTAGTTTAGGTTACTTAGAGGATCATGGGGCTTAGTAAGTAGGTTATAATTGGGGTTATAAGTCCCCTAAGTGGGGTTATCTTAATTATAACCTACTTATAATCTTACTTACTAAGTCCCATGAGCCTTCAAGTAGGTAGTATTATTTGGGGTTTCCCAAAACAGGGGACCCTAATCTAGTACCCCAGTAGTAGGATCCTTAGCCTGAGGACCCCCAAATAAGGTACCACTACGTTTGGGAAACTCCCGTTTGAGAGACCCCTTAAAGGGTACCCCTTCTGAACCCTACTTCTGGCTCTCTTCAAGGGATTGAGAGGGTCTTTATCCCCAAGGGTCCCCCTAGCTAATCCTAACTCCCATCCTCTATGGGACTGGGGCGGAGGGGTTGGTGGGATTTCGCAGGGCTCCGAGAGGGGTTGCTGGGATTGCTAGGGTAGGGTTTCGTACGATAAGGAGGCTTGTATCGCTACTTTATGAGATATCTAAGATTTGGTAGATCTCTTCTCATGCATTGACATGGTTCTGTATCGTTTCTTGGTGCGTGTTCCCGTTCTCCTCTGCCAAGGTGTGATAGGAGTTTACAGGGTTCTAAGCTTCCAAAGTATGTTTCATGTAGAATGTAGAAGCTTTGCACGGCTTCTGGACTCTTTAGTAGGTGCGCTTTGTCAAGGTCGCACATGGCGCAACAAGGGATTCAGTTAGTATAGGGCGCTGCTTAGCACGTATAGACACCAGAGGTTCTGTCAGATTTAGGGAAGGTCAGAGAGCCGGAGCGGACGAACTTACATGGGCTTGAAAGCCCGAGCTTCACCAGCAGGAACCCTCAAATCAAAGGGTAAAAGGAGGGACCCCTAATAAGGACCCCCAGCTATATACCCATAATATAGCCATTATATACCCATTATATAGCCCATTATAGGGTAGGGGTCCCCATTAAGGGTCCCTCCTTTTACCCTTTGATCAGAACTTCAAGCTTGACTATAATGCAGGGGTCGGTAGTTTCTGATACTGTACTTGTATAGTTTTTTGTAGTCCCTAGACTTACAAGCCCTAACGTTTTGTGGTCTTTTGAGACCACTATGTTGCACTCCTCAACCCCCAGAGCCCGAAATCCCCTAACACCCCAAACCCTAAATCCGTAAACCCTCAAGCCCAAAGCCAACAAGACGAAACGCCCCCCTCATAGTCCCTATGTTACTATACTATATATATCACTCTCAACTCAACTCCATTCGAATAATTAAGGCCCACATATCGCCTAAGCCTTTGTTGAACCGATAACCACAATCAAAAACCCTAAAGCGCCCACGGTGCAGGTTCACCTTCATGGCTCTTAGCCCCACACCCGGCACGGTTGAGGCGGCCCGGGTTTCTCTGGGTTTCCAGAAAACTCAAGCCAAACAATTAAGCGAGATAACCTGAACCTTAAACCTTAGACCATAAGCCCCAAGCCCTAAACGCTAAACAGTATTGGGAGATCCTCAAGATGATTTGGGGTATATTCCTTAATTCCAGAGTCTTGGGGTTTCTGAGTTGCCGGGATTCAAGAAGTCGCAAGGTAAAGGGAGAGTTTAGGTTTGATGCTTCGGTACAACGAGGCACCCTTCCTGTGACCTCGCTAGAGCTGGAGTGTAGTTCTGCCATCCGGCCGACACTCCGGGGCCCCATTACTTGAAGGCTCATGGGACTTAGTAAGTAAGGTTATAAGTAGGTTATAAATAGGATAACCCCACTTCGGGGACTTATAACCCCAGTTACAACCTACTTACTAAGTCCCATGATCCTTTAAGTAAGTCCTGGAGCGGGGAGCTAGGCTTAATGTAGAATGCACCCTTGCATTTCTCAACTCTGGTGGATGAGCCTGTGCCGACAACGAACGTCTTTCACTTGGATGCTACCTCCTGAACCATGAGATGAGGGTTTCAGAGATCAAGGAACTGAAACTGTGCGCACCTAGGCCCAGACAGATGCTCCACAGAATCAAATCACAAAACAGAAACAAGAACCCTAAACCCTAAACCCTAAATCCTAAACCCTAAATCCTGAACCCTAAATCCTAAACCCTAAACCCTAAACCCTCTATGATGCAGACCCTTGATTTTGCATCCGGAAGCTCCTTTTCCTTAAGCCCAGCTCCTGAATCTAATCTCCTACGTCCGAGGTGCCTACTTAGAGGATCAGGGGACTTAGTAAGTAGGTTATAACTGGGGTTATAAGTCCCCTAAGTGGGGTTATCCTAATTATAACCTACTTATAATCTTACTTACTAAGTCCCATGAGCCATCAAGTAGGCTCTAACTTCAAGAGCATGATGCGCTCAAGGAGTTCTGCAACCAGGAACCGTCGGAATGATATGGGAGTTTCCGAAAATTGTGGGGTATTATTTTGGGGTCCTTATAATTATGGATCCTACTATTTAGGGTGCTAGATTAGGGTTCCCTATTTTCGGAAGCTCCTATATGTAATCGTGGCATCACAAATAACCAATGAACAGCAACCAAGAGCGTCTAATGACAAGCACTGGTACCGCCTGAACCGTAAACGCTAGCCCTAAACCCTAAACTACGCCCAAGAGCCGTGCCTTGCAGCTCTCAGAAAAAGCGATGTTCGGCTGTAGTGAGAATGGCCAGAGTTGGTTTTAGGGTTTGGGTTTGGTGGTTTCAGGGTTTAATGCTTTTGGAACTGGAGCTTAGCGTTTCAGGTGATAGCATTACAACTGGTAATCGTCGTGCGAGTCGCCAGAATAGACAGCAATCAAGATGAGAACGCGATTAGTTAGTGACATGCTTACCATTCTTGTAATATTAGCGGCTTTCTCCTCGCAACCCTTAACTCCAGCGTTTTACCCGACACTTTTCTGCCGACCACTCGGGGCCGCGCGAAGGACGAGCTGGTTTGCTCTGAGATCGTCGAAAAGGGGGGAGGCGGCAAGAGCATTTTCAGGACGGGTGCGAAAATGTACTTAGAGGATCATGGGACTTAGTAATTACGGTTATTATTAAGGTAACTATCTATACTTATGACCCCAATTAAGGTACTTATAAACAAACTTACTAGGTCCCATGATCCTCCAAGTAGGGTTTCAGATAATGCGGTTTCTTGACGACGATTGGTTTATGTATTCTACGCCCAAAACCCTGTTCGAATTGTGAAGGCCCTGATACTGAATCCAAGGGTTCGAGCAATTGGATTACATCGGGGACTCTAAGACTGCCTGGGGTAGTGGCACCCTCAAAAACAACGTACATGAAGCTGAGCGCTGTGGCTGGCAGGAAACAAATCTTGAATTATCTTGAGCATCCCAAATTGTGGCAACTAATGGTGTCTATACCCGCGATGAGCCCTAAACCATACACCCGAACACCCTAAACCCAAACGCCCTAAACCCTGAAACCCTTACCCGTTATCATGGATGCTGCAGGATTGTTGCCGATCCACCCTTAGCCAGTTAGTCCCTGGAAGCGCTAAATCCTTAACCCTAAGATTGGAGGACACACCTCAAGGCTACCTTCGTTGCACCGCAACTGAAGCCCGGGCCCCTATGGGCAGGTTGTGTCGGAAGAAAATCTGAGTAGAGTAGGTCAGCTGAATCCTTGTGGGGCTCATAATTATAACCCTACCGTAATTCGGAGGTTAGCTTTTTTGGGCTTGGGTACTCAGCCCCTAAGAACGATGGAGGATCCGGGGTTCGGGGTTTTGGGGGCTTTGAGGAGGATTCGGTGGTAGAGAACTCAAACTTTCTAAGCCCAACTTAAACACGAAAAAGTTCTTGGGGCTTGGGGTCCGGGCATTATCCCATAGGTGCCAGTAATTGCCCTCTTTGTGCGGGCAACAAGGAAGGAATACATGGCTAGAAAAGGGTCTAGGAGTGCGTTACGGCAATACTTTACCAGGACTATAAAGGGATAGCATTGCTGCTTGTTCAGACCTGGATATTGGTTGTATGCGGGGTCTCAAGGGGTGCATACTGGTTTTTTGGATATCCAAACAGGCGTACTTTCAGCCGGGCACTTACAACTAATTGCTCACGATCGTTCTGGAAGTCTCTTCGGGAGTTCCACGGTGTCTAGAGCACATGCCAGACTGGTAGGTTTCAGTGCTTCCTATGCGAATGGCTCCTCCTTCCACTGCCGTCCGCCTCGTGACCGTGATCACTCAGAATCCGTGGGTTCAGGGTTTGTTACAGTCTAGGGGTTCTTCGTGTTTGCTCTTGGTGTTCAGAGGTTTCGGCTTCTGGATTTAAAGTTTGGCTTGGGGTTTAGGCTTCATGGGTTCTCAAAAAACTGGGCTCTCTTTTCTTTGAGGGCCTTCACTGACAGACTGATGCCTCATTTCGGGCATTCCAAGCGGGGCTTTAGCCCGCGTCTGAGAGAACTACCTACATCCCGTTTTCGCGTTCTGCAGCGCTGTGCTGTTTTGCTTTTGATTTACATTTGGTTTCCGTACAGGAGCCAGTATAGACTAGTTTCGGATGTTTTCTCTTCTGTTACTTCAGAGCTTACTTCTGATTGGCTCAGGGTTCTTTTGAGGCGTGTTGTGTTTTTCCTGTGTGTTTGGTTTCCAGGATTTACGGTTGTGACTTATCTCCAGAGCACACTGCACTGAAGGAGAGTGGAGATATACTGTACCAACTAAAGAGACCGGGGGAATCTTTCAGCGGGGGTACAGAAGTCGGCTGAGGCACCTTGCGCTCTATCGTTCACAGTAGGAGTGTCGGTGGTGACAGTAGCGACATGCGCAAGAACTCATCCCATATCGCCCCTAAACTTTGTGCTTTAGCCGTTTATGGTGTTTCCTTGTCGTGGATACTGCAGGAGTTTGTCCGTTTGCAGTAGTCTCCCAATGTCCTGAACTAAACCCGAAATCCATAACACTAAATCCGAAAACTCTAAACCTCACACCCTACGTAAACCCTAGGTTGTCAAAATTATGGTCCCTTTTTTGGGTCCCTAATATAGTATACGGCACCTCATATTTAGGACCATAAATGTTGTTAACGACTTACGTAAAACCCGAAAGGAATCAACTCGAGGCTCTCGAAGAACCGGCTCGAGTTTGAGTTCCTCTGGGACAAGCATCGGCAGCGGCCCCAAGCTTGTTTTTATAGTGCAGCTTTAGGGGTCAGGGTTTTTAGAAGCTGGGGCTTAGAGTTGAGGGCGAACCCTAAAGTGATATGATACACCAGAAGCCGCGCAGACATCCGAAACCCGCAGTTTTCAACTAGGTTTGCCATTTCAAAGGCCTGCCTGACGTTAACTAGGATGCCCAGTAGTACCCATACTCCCTTTTTGTAGTCCTAGGTTCCTTATAAAGTTACCCAATACCAAAAAGAGAGGCCTTCTTATTCTTAGGTTACTGGGTATCCTGGTTAACGTCGCAGTAGCAGGAGCCAGAGTCGCTTGCCTGCTGCACGCAAGTAATTCTATGACCCGCCGTTTACGAACATGTCTGCAGCACTCATCAGAGCGATATGGCTGTAGATGCTCAACATGCCGAAAAGTACCTGAAACCCGAAAAGAAAGCGTAATGCCCGAAGCCGCCCGCCCTTGAGGCCCATCGCATCCATCACCGAGCCCCTGCGGCTGGAGAACACAGGACCCCTTGAGGCGGATCTGGGCAGTTTCGGGGTTTAGGGTTTAGAGTTTGGGGGTTCGGATTTTAGGGTTTTGATGTTAGGGTTTCGGGGTGCAGGGTTTACTATAGGGGCTTAAATAATTACCGATACTATTTTGGGGCCCCGAAACCCTGGTCTAATTATTGAGGCCCCTACAATTGGGTTTTGGCGGTCAGGGCACCGTCCTGCAGTCTTGAGGGCAGGAGCCCAGCTTCCTCCAACATACCAAGACGGTTTGAGTACTACACTTGTACTCTAACATGCTTCCAAATCCCTAAACCCCTAAACCCCTAAACCCCTAAACCCCTAAACCCCTAAACCCCTAAACCCTAAACCCTAAACCCTAAACCTAACTCTCTGCGAAGGTCGAATCTGAGATGTGAAGCCCACAGGCTAAGACACCTAAGTTGGGTGGTTGTCAAAATTATGGTCCCTTTTTGGGTACCCGAAATATAAGGTGCCGTATTAAAATTGGGATCCAAAAAGGGACCCTAATTTTGACGCCGAAGTCTGCAGGTAGCTTCATTACCGAGCATCCCTTCCTCCGTGCTTCCCCCCTTTGCCTGCTCCATGGCTCCTAAATTCGGAGCGAGCCGTCGTGACAGCGCCAGCTCTTCCTCCAGAGCTCCGAATCCGCGAGTCGCAAGGATTGCAAAAGTCGATGTTTCCATGACCCTTTCTGCAATTCCGTTTGGCTTGAATGGCTCCTATGTGTCAGAGGGCATGAGTGACACAGAGTGTCATGTCTGGATTCTCGACCTCGACGCCGCATCCACAAAAGTCTATGACGGAAGCGTGCAATGGGCAGAGTACCTCAAGTGCGAGCACCGTAAGACCAGCACCCATCCTGCCTCGTCCAACCACCCACTATGTCGGAGCATCTCTTCTGAGGCTTCGCATTTCGGGTTAAGTCTCCTTCGGAGCATCGATGTTCGGATGTTTGGAGTATATTAGGGTGGTTGTCAAAATTATGGTCCCTTTTTGGATACCTTAAATATTAGGTGCCGTGCGATAGTAAGGACCCAACAAGGGACCATAATTTTGACAACCACCCATTAGGACCCCAGCCCTTCTTGTCCTTTATGGTGGGTATTTAGGGTATATTCGAGGGTAGTTGGGGAGTCTAAATAGGAAGGAGTATCAGGGTCAATTATTTCTGGTCGTGCAAACCATACTTGTACACATTCATTCCCAGGTACTTGAAGGCTCATGGGAGTTAGTAAGTAAGGTTATAAGTAGGATATAATTAATTAGGATAACCCCACTTAGGGGACTTATAGCCCCAACTATAACCTACTTACTAAGTCCCATGATCCTCTAAGTAGTCCAATCTCTGCTGGTTGCCGAGTCCTGTCCGAAATCTCACAAAGGACTTCCCCGTGATGTGACATTCCCCCTAAACCCTAAACCCTGGTCCTTTCGGTCGCTGGAGCATGCCCCCAATTCCTAGCCCAGGAGTGTACTGTGATGGCCCGGAAAGGGCCGGCTCAGGTCACGCTTTGGTTTCGGATGCGCTCCGAAATGTGAAGGTTGTTGATTCAACTCCATTTACAGGGGAACGTCCCCTAATGTCCACATATAACCATCGGATTACATACTCCTTCTCCCTACTCTGAATTTTTTTTTAAGGCTCCCCATCTTGCGCGACCATACGGTTTCGGAGGGTTTTCGCCCAAAGGAATTAGGCTTTGGGGTTGAGTTTATATAGGGTGTCGATCCTTAAGCCCGAAATCCAAGAAGCTAGGATGCCCAGTAGTACTCTTATTCCCCTTTTGTAGTCCTAGGTTCCTTATAAAGTTACCCAATACCAAAAAGAGAGGCCTTTTTATTCTTAGGTTACTGGGTATCCTAGGAAGCCTTCTTATTGTCTGGAAGGTGCGCTTCACGGTACAGGCTGGGCCTTGGGGCACCTGAGGGCTTTCAGTTTAGGGTTTAGGGTTTAGGGTTTAGGGTTTAGTCAGGGTAGTGTTGGGGCCGTGAGAAACCCCTCAACCCTGAACCCAAAAGCCTTCGAGACCAAAAACCCAGAGCCTAAACCCCAAAGCACGAAAGCCTTGAACACCAACCCCTAAATCATGTAATGTATGTGTCTATTTATATTTTATGTTTATACTGTAATAATATGGTTTAAGACTACATAATCTAATATTCTAGTCTAGTGTAGTATAGTATAATATATAGTATGTCATATTACAATACTGTGTATATATATATATATATGTATGTATGTATGTATGTATGTATGTATGTATGTATGTATTGTATGTACTGTATGTACTGTATGAAGTATGTACAACACGCGGTTTTTCGGGGTTCCAGAGAGCCGGACACTAAACAACACTTTCCAGGCTTCCGGGTATTTGGAGCGCAGGGCTTTGGGTGTAGGCTTTGGGGCTTAGGGTTTAGGGCTTACTTTGGGGTTTAATTAGGGTTTAGGGCTTAGGGTTTAGGGCTTAGGCTTTAGGCTTTGGGGTTTGGGGCTTAGGGTTTGGGCCTCAGGGTTTAGAGCTTGAGGCTCAGAGTTTAGGTTGCTGGAGCTCTTGTGCGGGGTCAAGTAGCTACTTACCTACCTATACTATTTCGAGGGGTTCCTTTTTATACTGACTTATAGTATAGTATACTCCAAAACCCTATTCTAATTATGCAGGCCCTTATGGTTCATAAACTCTCTGTAGTGGAAGCGCCCGACTCTGGATTCCGCTCTTTATGTGGCCTCCTAGATTAATAATCCCCCTTGAAGGCTCATGGGACTTAGTAAGTAAGGTTATAAGTAGGTGATAGTTCGGACAACCCCACTTAGGGGACTTATAACCCCAATTATAACCTACTTACTAAGTCCCATGATCCTCTAAGCCCTGAGCATTTTCAGTCCGCTGGAGTTTCTGAGCGTTTCGGCGCCTCCAAATCATCTTTGGGCCAAAGTTGTTTGGGGGAGCTGGGTCTATAGCAAAAGCCAGAAAGTTGGAAACATGGCTTTAGGAGGATTAGTGCTAGGATCCTGTATACTTTACCTTAAGGCCATGAGGATACTGATGTTCCAACTTTCTGGCTTCTACTATAAGCTGTTCGGGGCTGGGTCTCTTCCGGGCCTCTTCTGTTCTTCTACTGGGCCTCTTCTGGGCTTCTTCTCGGACGAAAAGAAGAAGCAGGAGGCTAAGTCTTTCAAACTCCGCGAGCAGCTCGCTGCCTCTCAGGCCAAGCTCGAGGTCTTTGCGTATTCTGCAGCCACGAAGCCTCTGGAGGACAACTCCATACACTTCAGGCACACCGATGGAGGCAGTCGCAGAGTGCGGGCGATTCCATTTTTTCGGATTGAAGAGTTGCTTTCGATGCAGATGTCAGAGAAGTTGCGACCACGAGTACCTCTTCCGCTACCTGGTGAAGAAGGAGGCTCTCTCAAACGATCCAAGGTCCCTTTCGCGGCGCGACAGGAAGCCCTTAAACCCCCCAAACCCTGAACCTTAAGTCTGGCTAGCTGGCTAGCCGGGTTTAGGGCTTAGGGTTTAGGGTTTAGGGGCCACTGTCTCTCCTCTTCCAGGGCGTCAGTTTTAGTAGGAGTGTCTACTTCCCATGTTTCGGGACGGGAATTTAGGACTATTGACGGGAAGTATACTGTATTATTCTGCGCATGCCGAGTTTAGCTCCATGGAGGGGACCCTTCCAGTATTCCGTGCAGGCCGAGTTTAGCTCTATTGAGAGGACCATGACTATTAGTTCGTAGCAGCTGTTTATCGAAATAGCGCATGAATGATGATCACAGACGGGCAATTACCATGAGTTCTTCGGTTGACGTAGCTGAGTTTGCGAGTGGTTGAAACGAGTCATGATGGCTGTACTGAGTTCAAGCACCATAGCTGATGTGGGGGAGGCTCCCTTCTCCAGCTTCCGTAGTGCTACTCTGTTCTTACCTTAACTTCCTTACTTAGCCTATTGGAGAACTTTAAACTTTTTGGCTTCATATATTTGGTCTACCTCAAATAGTTTGAACTTTGTTTGGGCCTGGCTATTGGAGAAGAGAGCTTCTGTCTACCTTGCATCGAATGTACTCCCTGCAGCTCGACATACCCCGAACTCGGGCCATAATCCAAACATGCCTTCCCGCCTACCGAGGCTGTTGGGTTTGCTTCTTCATGGCTGTACGCTGCATATGGGGGTTTCCGAAAATTAGGGGTACCTTGTTTAGGGGTTCTTATAATAAGGTTCCTACTATTCGGGGTACTATGTTAGGGTCCCCTGTTTTTGGAAACTCCCATATGAGTACGGCTCACATCACCACCGTTATCACAGTCACGCTGCTAACAGGGCTGGCATCCCTGGTGCTGCACTTGCCTCACGGATGTTGCATCTTTCGGAGAACTGCTGTAGTGCTTGCCAGTCCTACAAACTTAAGCCCCAAGCGCTACAAGGTCGGAAAAACCCTAAAGTCCTAAACCCTGAAAGCCCTAAACCGTAAAGCCCTAAGCCCTGAACTGTCGGAGCCCTAAACCTTGAAGGGTTTAGGGTTTAGGGTTTAGGGTTTAGGGGTTTAGGGTTTAGGGTTTAGGGTTTAGGGTTTAGGGTGCACCGCCCCAGGTCCAGTACCCTTTCAGCACGGATATCGAGGAGGGCGGCATTCCCCCCAACGGGGTGCAAGAGCGACTCCACTGAGCGTCGAGTGAAGGGCGGTGCCAGGTTTGGGCTTTAGGACTTATCGGGGTTCTAGGCTGGATTCGATAACGGAGTTGGTTGTTTAGGGTTTCCGGTTTGCAAGTTTTTGGGGCTTTAGGGTTTCGGTACAGGTTTCATTCGGACGAACGGAATAGCCGAGCCTGTCTTCGTCTGGACTGTGGATCGTTTCTTCAGAGGGTTCGAGTCCCGCCAATAATTCGGATTAGGGGGGTGGGGCTTCAGGAGCAAGACAAGAGAAGGAGCAAAAGAAGGAACAAGAGTCAAGAGCAAGAGCAGGATCAAGAGCAAGAGCAGACCAAGAGCGTACTATAGGGGCCCAAATTGCCAATACTAGTTTGGGGGCTCCTCATTATGTTTATAGTATAATGGCCTCAAAACCCTATTGTATATCAGGGGGAAGGCATTCATGTGGAAGCCTTGAAATAGCGGGAACAGTGGCCAATTTTCGGGTTCCTCATATAAATACAGTAGAATATGTTCCGAAAACCTTTCGATAAAGGCCCCTTTCTTGAAAGGGCCCAATCCTACGCCCAAAACTTGAAAGTTACCCTCAGTTTTTGGGCTTGGGGCTTAGGGGTTTTGAGGTCTGCGCCCCTTTTTTCGGGGAATGGCTGGACCCCTACAGAGACCTCAACGGAAACAACCCGGCAGCCAAGGATTCTGGTAGACTTTGATCCCAGCTACAAGGCGCGCAAGAGCAAGGGGGACGCTTCGCACTGCAGAAACCTGCAACCCCGCATTCCTAGTTTTTGGTTTAAGGTTTCTCGGCTTTAGGGGCGACGGTAACAACCCTAAACCCCAAAGCACACCAGAGTTCTGGAAAAAACCCTAGCATGTTTTGGCAGCTGGTGTGTGCGTGTGTGTGTGTGTGTGTGTGCGCATATTCCAGCCATAGGGCATGCGATCCCAAGCAAATAAACATCCGCCACAGCTGCCGTACATGACCGCATCGGGTCATGTTGTAGCATGCTGATAAGGACCCCTAGGCGGGTAGGGGGAGGGGGGCTTAATACATGTCTTTATAAGGCCTATTTAAGGACCTCTGACATGAGTTCATTAGGCGCTGCATCTCGCCGGACACGAAGCCACGATTCAGTTTTCCTCCTTCCTCATATCTTGATCTAAACAAGGACCATCACTGAGCATGCCCGGCGGAGTTGAGCAATAGCTTGTCGCCTCCATTGACGCAAACATGGGACATCGATGACCATTTCATGTCCTGCAGGGTGCTTTTGGCACACTGCAGGCCTTAGGGACTCCGGATCCAGGGCCGGCATGCAAACGGCAAACGTGAAAAAGCACGAGGCAGATTAAGCTTTGATGTCCGCCTTGTGCACAGTAGACTTGCCTGGTGGTTCTGTAGAAAACAGGAAAGAGGAATTCTGGGTGAAATGCAAGAACAGCGCGCCTCCGGCACCTGCAGCCGAGAAGGTGCAACAAGAAAGGCGTATTGGTTCATCCTAGTGGCAGCATGTTTTCCTGAAGCATTAAATTCATGTCTGGTTTGCCTCGGAGTCCTCTTCGATCGGGCCGTATTCTTGACAAGATCACGACTAGGATATGTCTTGATGTCCTTGTGTACATTACAGACTACAGACAGTTTCGTTTTTTGGCTGTCATAGTGCTTTCTGTCCCTCTGAGACTCGTTTGGGGTTTAAGACCAGGTAGGCTTTCGGGTTCTTGATTTAGGGCTTAGTGAGTGTCTAGGATGTATGGGTGTCGGGTTTAGGGATTTGGGTTATTCCGGAGATGTAAGATCCCGACGAAACCCTCACAAAAATCGAGGTGGCCAACCGAAAGAAGAAAATACATTGAAGATTTGCGCGAAAAATGCAACCCATGTAAGACCCTACAAGAAAACGAAGCTATGCAAAGCCCGCAGGATAAGTGCCTTTGCACCACTCTTGCTAAACAAGGCTTTCGATGCCCACAAATCCCAAACCGAAGCCCTGCAAGAAGCATTTTGGCGCTTTACAGAGAAACCCACCCCTACACCCTGAAGCCCTAAATCTTAGGCCATGAAAAATGCGGTTGAGTTGAAGCGAGGCCTTTAGGGACCTGAGTATGAGACTTTGAAATGTACGGACTCTCCAAGCAGGCGCCTGCTTGCATGGAAAGCAGCCACCAACCTTAACGTATAGTCCTTAAGAAAAGGGTCTTGGGCTTCCAACAGCCCACATTACAGAACACCACCCCAACCCTAAACCCGAAGCTCTAAACCTGCAGGTAGATTGCAATTCCCAAAACCACCAAAAAACGCAAACCCCTAAATCCGAAAACCTCGAGTCCGCAGGTAGATCGCAAGAGCGGCACCGTCAAGCAACGCAAGAAGCCCAGTGAGCGGACCGGTCCCATGGTGTGAACTTGAAATCTGGAGATCCATAAACGAATGATGATTCCATAGACGTGCTTTCTGCATGTGTGTACATGCACATACATCCATACATCCATCCATACATGCATGCATGCATGAGTGCATGCATACATACATGCATACATACATGCATACATACATGCATGCATACTTGCATCCATGCATCCGTGCATACTTGCATACATGCATACATGCATACATGCATATACAGACATACACACACATACATACATACATACACATACATACACATACATACACATACATACACATACATACACATACATACACATACATACACATACATACACATACATACACATACACATACACACGCAGAGGCCGTGTTTCTGGGATTTGGGGGAGTAGTCCTGGATTAAGGCATTTGGGAGTCTGGGGGAAAGCCTGCAACCTGACTCCGAAACCTCCCCAAACTACGAGCTAGGGCTGAGCCTTAACCCTAAACCCCCTAACCCATACCTCTAAACCCTGAACTCCCTAAAAAACCTAAATGAATCCCAAACTCTAAGACCCTAAAGCCCCTGCTGTCTCCTGTTCTTTAGAAGGCTCCAACAGCAGATGGCCCTCTGACAACACACCGAAGCCCTGGGTGTTAAGGATCACTGAAGAAGGGGTTTAGGGCTTACCCCTACATCATAGAACCCGTTTATAGTTCCCCTGTAGAACCCCTTAAGGATCCCTTTAAAGGAGTCCCTCGTCAAATGATAAAGGTCCCTATCTAAAGCCCTTTTGATTCGCGGTTTAGTAGTTCAGGACTTTCCATCCCGGCCCCTGCAACCCGAGCCCTAGACTCTAAAGCGGTTTAGGGTATAGAGTTATGCCATAATCTACCGCAGCAGCCTCTTCTATTATCTTGTTTTTCGCTTGATCGACGTGCCGTCCCAGCACCCCGAACCCTGAACGTTTTTAATCCTACTTGTAAGCCTCAGAGGCATGACAATCCAGTACGATGAGCATCCCGCCGTCAATGTGGTTGACTTGATTGGCAAGGCGACGACACTCCCAATCTGAACCCCAACCCCAAAACCCTCAACCCCTAAATCCATAAACCCCTAAACCCTGTATAAACCCCTGAACCCCTAAACCCTAAACCCTAAACCCTGAACCCCTAAACCCTAAACCCTAAACCCTGAACCCCTAAACCCTAAACCCTAAACCCTGAACCCCTAAACCCTAAACCCTAAACCCTAAACCCTAAACCCTAAACCCTAAACCCCCAAACTCCAAACCGGAAGCCATGAACCCAAATCCGAACCCCAAGGCCCTGCAAGCCAAACCCATGACCCCACGTGCTTACACCTAAGCCCCCTTGCGGATCCCTTGTGATAGGGTTTAGGGTTTAGGGTTTAGGGTTTAGGGTTTAGGGTTTAGGGTTTAGGGTTTAGGGTTTAGGGTTTAGGGTTTAGGGTTGGATCCCTTGTGATAGCGCTTTAGGCCCTGTAGAAGATCCTGTCATGGAGGCGCGTAAACGAATCCGAAGACTGGAAAAGCGATGCCGTAAACCCTGAAACCCTAACTCGAAGACCGAGAGTTCGCAAGGTAGCACAGGGCTTACGATTTAGAGTGTAGAGTGTATAGGGCTCAGGGTTCAGGGTTTAGACTAGAGATTCAGGATTTATGGCTTAGGATGTAGAGGTTCAGCCCAGCCACTTCCAATGAAAGCGAACTGTCCGACACCCTCAGTCCTGTTCCACCCACAATCCAGCGGACAGCAGCAGAGGCGAGCCACCCCCAAGACGGAGGGGTCACTTCGTGATTTCCAGGCACTCAACAGCCGGAAGCCGAAATACAGGCGTCGACGAACGGGAGGAGAACCAGGACGACAGCGCAGTTACAGCTGGCCTCCGCGAGTGGCGATTCTTGGTTATGGCATCGGGAAGTACGTCGAGGACTTCGACCAGCCACGAAGAATAAAAAAATCTCCTGAGCAGATTGGCAGAGGAGGTGCCAGGCGAACCCCCTCCCGAATCCATGATCGAATCCGAATGCAGAGCGCTTCTTATAGGACCCCTACACTTCCAAAGAGCCCGACATCCGAAATTCCCTGACCTTGTTCGACTACTAAACCCTAAACCATGCCCTTTACGACACAGGGTTCAAGACGTCACAGCATGAAGCCCTTTTGGGGTTTGGGTTTAAGAGTTCAGGGTGCGAGAGGTTTGGGTTTGGGAGTTTAAACTTGTTTTGGTTTGTGGGGGGGGGGGTTCAAGGTTTTGGGTTTTGGAATTTGAGGGTTAGCGTGTTGTTTTGGTGGGTCGGTTTAGGGATCGTGTGTTTTTTGTTGAGGGGCAGGGGGAGGTTTTGGGGTATAGGGGTTGGTGTTTTTTGTTCTTGAAGGGGGGGGTTAGGGCTTTGGGTTTGTGCGGGAGAACAGGAGGACCACGCATTCGCTTTGGGGTTTTGGGGTGGGGGGCGTCCGTCGAGAGGTTAGCACATTTCACCTTGACACTTAACGCCCAAAACATCCTAAAACCTAATCCCGAACGCCTTGACCCCTAATCCTAAAGCCAAACCCCCCAAACCCAATCCTGAAACCTTGACCCTAAGTCCCAAAGACCTAAAAACTCCCCAGCTGGAACAGTAAGCGTTTACGGCTTACTTGTACTGGGAGGATCATGGGACTTAGTAAGTATGGTTATAGTACCTTAATTGGGGCTTTAAGTAGAGTTACCTCAATAATAACCGTAATTAAGTCCCATGATCCTTTAGGTAAGGGGTTGAGGATTCAGGGAATCCAGGTAAGGGTTCACAGTTGCGGTTCATGGTCGCAGCTCCTTAAACCCTTAGCCTGAGCGAAAGGTCGAGATTAGCAGGGTTGTTGAAGGATGTTAGGGGTTATGTTTTGCTTTAAGATAGGTAGGGATTGGGTACGGCCCCCACTCAGTAATTGTGGAATAATATTTATAATATAGATAATATTAGGACCTTTATCGTAGCCCTATTATAGACTCTTACTGTATGGGGGTAGTACCTAAGGTAGGGACTAGAGGTACCTCCAGAAGCAGTTATAAATTTAAAAGTTACTCTACTTACAGCCCCAGTCAGTTAGTCAGTCCACTAATCCGACAGCTAATGCCTCGATCTTTTGCCGTGACCCGTGGGAACCCCTCAGACAATGTTGCTTCGAGGGGATAGTGCTTCCGCCTTTCTAAACCCTAAACCCTGAACCGAACGTTTAGACTGGTATTGTCATGCATCTTGGGAACATAGGCCCTGGGAACCTCCTGCTCTTTCCCAAATGCCCAGCCGTCAAAAAGTTGTCCCCAAAGGAAAAATCGGAAACCCTCCCTAAACTCTAAGCCCTTGTAGTCATTCCTAAGCCTCCCTAAGCCCTTCCTCAATGCTGCTGAACCCTCGACCCCTCCCCAAGCCAGCATTGAAGCGGGTCTTTGCAGCCAATCGAAGAACTTCAAAACCCTACAGTTTGACTTGGTTTAGTGGCTCGTTTGGCAACCCCTGCAGCAAGCCCAGCCACCTTTAAGCTCTAAAGCCTAACACAGCCACTTGAAGGTGGTCTGGCCGAACATTGAACTCGCCCGGCCCTCACCTATCTCAGGGGTCGCAGTTGTTCAAAACGTTCGAAGTTTGGGGGTTCCAGTGTTCCATACAGCGGGCTTTTCGGGTTTAAAGTCAGGTGTTCCAGCGTTCCTGTAAGTTGGCTCTATAACGGATCTCTGAGGTTTCTATCATCATGCTCAATACGACAGGCTCTGCGAAAATGGGAAAGCTCTTGTTGACCACAGGCTTGGAAATTGGAAAACTACTTGTGTCCTCCTGCACGCCACGGCCTGAAAGCAAGATCTCCTAGTAGCTGAGTCGATATTTTTCGTCCTTCCTCTCTCTCTCTCTCTCTCTCGCTTTTTCTACTCCTTTCGCTCTTTCTTTCTCTTCTGTTGCCTAGGACCTAGAGTAGGCCCTTATTCCCTTTTTAAGGGTTCAGGTCCCTTATAAGCCCCTTTAAAACAAAAAGGGCTAAATTTCTGAGCTGTTCAATTGGACCACGGTTTACTCCCGTGTGGGTTCCCAGGCTGGTGGCATCATGGGAGGCCTTCTGCAGGTTTATATATGGGAGTTTCCGAAAATGGGGGGACCCTAATATGGTACCCCAAATAGTAGGATCCTTATTATAAGGACCCCCAAAATATGGTACCCCTAATTTTCGGAAACTCCCATATATAACCCTACTAAACCCTAAACCTTAAACCTTGAGCCCTAGGACAGCTGCCCGCACGGCCTTCAGGCCCCAATCAATGACAAATACGGTAAACTACCAAACCCGACTATTTTGTAGGTTCTTATTATGAACCCTGATTTGGAATTTATAGGGACCCTACAAAAAAGTAGGTTTTGGTAGGTTAAGGTACGGTAAACTCCCCTTTAATCTTGGAAATCATCAACCGTAGTACAGGGCTGTCCCTAAGCCGTAAGCCCTAAACCCAGTATGTAGTGAGGTTGCATGTAGCACTCACAGGCTTCACCCCCAAGCCCGGCTTTGAGGATTTAACATACTACTCTAAGCCTTAAGCTCAAAAACCTGAACCCTAAACCCTAGGGTAAAAAACCAGAAAGTTGGAATATGATTATCCTAACCCCTTCTATGGTAAACTATAGGGTATCCTAGCATGAAACCATATTCCAACTTTCTGGAGTTCCCTGTAGGCCCTAAACTCTGAACCTACTATTTGCTTAAGAAACCCCCAAAAAATAAAAATAATAATCCCTATATTACCCCCATAAGGAATATATTTTTTATTTTTTGGGGGTTCTTAAGCAAATAGTAGGAACCCTGAACCCTAAAGCCGGAAAGCTCCAAGCCCAAAGCAGCTATGCTGTCATGCGTCCCAAGACTCTGGGCCCTACGGCTTGAAGCCGCTTTCATGCTGCAGAGACCCTGAGCACTAAACTGCAGACCCGAAGCCCTTTTAATAATGGGATCGAAATAACTAGCAAGCATAATGTTCCTTGAAAGTGCCGATGATAAGTATGCCGCAGTATATCCCCACACCCTATTCCCTATTCCAACCTTTCTCTGTTTGGCTGGGCACCCTCAACCCTAAACCCCAAACCCTGAAACCTAAACAGTCAGCTCTTTCTGCAGATATGGCTTGGCCGGTCTAGATTCAGACCTCTAGTCCAGCGATGATGGGTTGTGCTTTGGGACAATCTTTAATTTCCCTTATTTCCTTATAAAGGGAACCTATTCACAAATAATTTTCACAGGGTTCAAAGCACAACCCAGGCTGGGAAGCACGCCAGGCTGAGCAAAAGGCTCATTCCCGGGCTGGTTGTCAGGCCTTTCCATACTTCCCCAAGTCTTGTATGGCCACGGTGCGTGGTGCTTCCGCACATGTGGACGGAAATGACTTGAGTGCTTCCGCTTCGACGGGATCCTCGTCGCTCTGCAGACATTTGGGATCTTTGTTTTTGAGGTTTAGGGTTTAGGGGTTTTAAGGCTTAGGGGTTTACGGTTGAGGGTTTAGGGTTTGGGATCTTTGTTGTAACCCTAATAGCCCAAGGATCCATGTACCCAAATAGTATATATATATATATATATATATATACACCTTAACTTACCAAACCCTACAAAAAAGTAGGGTCCCTATAAATTCCATATTAAGGTTCATAGTAGGAACCACAAAAAGTTAGGGTTTGGTAGGCTAAGGTATATATACTTTGGCCTTAAAGTACTCGCTATGTAGGTACATTGGTCCGGACCCTTCGGGTAAAGTTTCCCTCATGTCGCTTTTGGTTTCGGCATTGGGGTTTAGGGTTTAGAGTTTAGGGGTTTAGGGTTTAGGGTTTAGTACGAACATCTTGCAGAGGCTTGAGAGTGCCAACTCAGGTCAGGTTCATCGTCCCTCTGGGTACGCCGTCTCCATGAATCAAAGTGGCAGATTGGGTTCAGGGTTTGAGGGTTCATGTAGGGTTTGGGATTTGGGGTTTGCTGTACTTTTACCCGAAGGCTCAAAATAGCCCGAAAGCCTTATTTGGTATGGTCTTTGGGCCCAAAAGCCTTAATATATGTGTCCTTAGAGCCTTAGGGTTAGATGCGTTTTTTTAATCTGCCCTTGTGGACTTTGTGGCGGTACCTCTTCATGCATGTTTTGAGGGGTTGGGAAACCCGAAACGCAGAACCCAGGAATCGATTCTCACGGACCTCCAAGACTCAGACGAGTCCGATGGCCCGGCTCCGGATCATGATGGAGACTGGGGTTTAACATGCGTTTCTACAGTATCTGTAAGGGTTCCTTTGAGGGTTCTTGCTAAGGGATTTAGTTTAAGTTGCCCTAATAAGGAAACCGCATGATAACATCATTTGTCATGATCGAGACTGGGTTCTTCTTAGGGGGATTCAATGTAGGTTACCATGATAGGGATCTATAACGGGTTCCTTTAAGGGATCTATAAGGGTTCATTTACAGGGTTTAGGATTTATGTTTTAAGTTACCATAATATGGAAACCTGTCATTATTTACCATAGATCCCGATTATGGTATGTCAATTGATTTAGGTTACCATAATAAGTAAGCCCTACGACCTATGACTTACTATAGACCCCTATTATGGTAAAAAATCAAGTTCCTTAACATGAACCCTTAAAGGAAACCTTCACCATTTGCCATAGATCCCTCTTATGGTAATTAAACTCATCTCCTTCAGCAGAGCCCAGGGGCGGCGACCGAAGACGTGGGAGCACAGGAAGTGCAGGGAGAAGCGAGCAGCCAGCCAGCTTGCGATCCCTGCCTCTTTTTTTTTAGTCGGAGGGGTTGCTAGGTGGCACTTTGGGAAACTTGTATTTACACGTAGAGTCATATAGAGATACCGACCTGTTCGTAAACACCCTTGCCCTGAGCCCGAAAAGGAGAACACGCGGCCCAGGTTGTACCAAAGGGTCTGCATGCGGCTACTGCCACTTGGACCACCCCCACTTGCAGCGCGCTGCCCGCCGACCTCGACGTCAGGCGCGTGAGCGCTACAAGCGCAGTGTACTGCGGCTGCTCGGGCGTTTAAGCAGACTCAAGTCTTGGGCCCATACGGGGCATTACAAGGTGGATCCCCGAAAAACCTAGTCGTGAGATCGTAATGTCACGGTGTCTTCTGGGCCCTATGAGTATATTCCTTCGGTTTAGGGTTTAGGGTTTAGGGTGTCATGTGTAGTGTAATGTCGACCCGAGGGGTTCTTACATATGTTTCATTTTGGGTCAAAGTGGCTCATGGGTCAATATGGCTAATATGGGGGCCGAAATATCCACTGCCTCTGCAATCTTGGGGGGTTCCTTGTGGTAATTCTAGTATACAAGATGGGCCCCAAAGCCTTATTCTAATTGTTAAGGCCCCTACATTAAGGAGTTTGAGTATGAGGGATCCTCATCATGACCACTCCCCGTTAGAGCAGCCCTAGGGCTTAGTGCTTAGGGTACCAGTAGCAGCCGGATCGACCATGCGCCGTGATTGTTTGATTGTGTCGTCGAGCCCCAAACCCCAAACATTCTGAGGCCCCACGCCCCTAGTTGTTAAAGGTAAGGTTATAAGTAAGAAATCTCACTCACTCTCTCTCTCTCTCTCTCTCTCTCTCTCTCTCTCTCTCTCTATATATATATATATGCATGACCCCCCATATTCGGGGACTGATAGCCCCATATAACTACCCATGAGCCTCCAAGTATAGACCCTAAACCATGCATTCCCGATCCCCTGCTCAATCATCTACATCCCTTGTTGAATCCTGCGTGGCAATCTTACCGATACTTCAAGCACCCTTCTCGTACCTTTGTAGATCCCTTGCATTTTAGCACCTTCATGTGATCCTCATATATCCTTTGCAAACCGCAGAAAGCCCTCAGCCTCGTATGGTTCTGTTCTCCTCTCTAAAGGCACAGGTTTCCAAGGGAGATATATCCCTTAACCCTAAACCTTGCGTAACTCCCAAAACGTCCCTAAAGGATCCCTCAACCCTAAACCCTCTGATGCCTCCCAGTTGAACCACACCCGAAAAGTCCCGAGCCCTGAACCCTAAGCCCCGAACCCCCTACAAGATCCTAAAAGCTTAGAAAGATCCTAAAACTTTGTCATAGTTGGGTAACAATTTATATTTTTGTGGTGACTTAATAAACCCAATAAGGAAGAATAATATACATTTTAAACCTATCCCAACCATGAACTAGAAAATCTTAGGCTCCTTCACAGCCAAGTCGATCTCGAACAGATTCACGACGAACTGCAGGAGCGAATTGTGCAAGAATCGAACCGCCAAATCTCCAAAGGTTTCAGGCTTTAGGGTTTAGGATTAGGGTTTCAGGGAGTGTTTCGGGTTTAGGGTTTTAGTTTAGAATGTGGTGGTGCTTAAGGTTCAGCAGGTAGGAGTTGAATTAGTATACTGACTCTTATAGTATACCTTATCTTATACTAGTATCTTATCTTATACTAGCCCTATACCGTTATCGTGTTATAGTATATCAGGGTTTGCAGGCGTTTTGGCTTCGGCTTCGTTTAGGAGGGGTCCAGGGTTTAGAGTTCGGAGCTTGGGTTCCGGG